AGCGGAGTATTGGGATCGGGGTCCACGTTGTAATCCTCCAAAAATGTTATGTAGTCCTGCACCTTCTGGCTGGACGGTTCCAGTTGGAGATAGTGATACGCTCCGATGAGGGCCTTGGCGCAATCGAGGAGATTCTTGTAGACGGTCAATCGATAGAGCGCGAGTTCTTCCACGGTGTAGCCATTCTGGTGGATGATCTTCATCTGCTTTACGATCGTTGATTTGCCGCTTTCTCCGGATCCTGTGTGAGAGTTTTGAAGTTAGCGATGGATTCTCCAATCAAACCCCAGGCTACCTACCCAAAAGAAGAATCTTGCATTCTTTCCGTAGTCGCCTAGAATCCTCTTCTAGCTTGCGATCGATCATTTGGCTTCGCTTCTTCTGATCCACGTCCCCCGTGGACTCTGAGCTGAAACACGACCCCATTGCGGAATCGTCAGTGACCCAGACCCGCAGGGAGGAGACTCATTAACCCGCGCGCAGGAACAAAATGTGCCGGTCGAGACGGCCGGAGCCTTTCGCTTGGGAAGACCAAGTGCCACGGGAATAGAAGGGTCTTGGTGCGATGGGGGTATAGAAATGGGCGAGTGGGAAACCAAGATGGGAGAAGTCAGGTTGAAGTCAGGTGGAAGTCAGGTTGAGGCTGAAGGACGGAAGGGAGAGTCGGGTATAGCGGATGGGGGTAAACGCGGAGAGAATAATAAAAGGGTATTAAAAAGGTGAGAGTAAGGGTAATGAAAGTGTCAAGAGTTTAAAGAATCAGAGTGCGACCATCGTCATGCTGGGGGTGGAGATGGGGAAAAGGGTAAGAAATGTGTAAGAAACATGTATTTCAGCTTACATTTGGTAATGTATTTAGCCTGTTTCTGGTTTTTTTTCTGTAATATGAAATGTTTCCATTAATTTATTATATCTTATTACATATCTATCCGTATGCATTTTACCTAGGAAAAACCCGGGGGAAATTGGGCACGTTCCGTATCTACTCTGAACCCGGGCATTAAATACTATAAAAACTGTTTTTAACCGAGCCCGGTTCAAATTTAATGGGGCGCCAGATGACCATCGGATCGTTTTTTGGGTTTTTTTTATAGATTTATAGATTTACTGATTGACCGATTGACTGCAAATCTTCCAAAGCAAATCTCTAGGAGTTCTGTACTCCGTACTCCATTCCATACTCTTTTCAACCCACTCTGGAGCTTAAAAGTGGAGAGTGACGCAAAAGATGCCTCAGGCAGGGCGGGGTTGTATTGGGTCCTTTTCGGTATTCTGACACTTATATTTATGTGATGTATACTGGTACTTGTATCTATAAGTCGATGAATCGTTATTGGGGTTGGTTTCTCTCGGTTATGCGGTGAGCCGGGCACTGACCCCCAGGGAAATCAATTCAGCCTTGTGGACAGATGTACAAGGGGGCCAGAATCAAAGCCTTGGAAAAATACCTCGATATTATTACCACCTAGGTGTAAAGTAAGAGTGATGGTCAGGCACAGAATGTCACTATAGAGAGAGAGAGAGATATCCCGAATATTTAGTTATGTAAACGAACGTGCACGTTAACGTGCAGATGCATCTAAGGAAATATGAAACGCCGAAGGGTAACTCCAGAGTTTAAAATGAGTTGACTTTTATCCAGTCACCACGTTCAAATGTCTTTGTTGCAGGTCTTTGTTGCATATCCGCAGTTACATGTCATGTCGGCCGTAGCGTGGATATTGTTTCACATGTCTCGGCCGCCAGATTCACATCCGCATCAGACGGTGACAGGATGACCGCATCCCCCTTGAAACTGATATTGGAGCCAGAGTATCCGGTTAATTCCCTTGTTGCAATGTACATGGTCATTGCGGCTGGGTGCTGATTCCTAATCCTTGATATATATATATATATATATATATATATACACATGATGTACGATGTACAACACAGCAATGAGATGGGAGATGTTGCAAGCTAAAGAAGATCACGCCATAAAAGGTTAGCACTGGCCTAGGGGAAGGGACAGGGATGTATTTGATATGAGGGGGGTGTCTTTCTAGATTTGCTCGTACAGATCAATATGAGCCGGGATAAGTCTACCGGACCTATAAGAACATCAGAGATAACCATGGGAAGCTATAGAGCTTAGATCCATATCGAGATAAAATTCCAATGTTTATCATCTTTACTTAAGGAGACCGAAGGTGAGGGGTCATACTCTGACCCGCCAAGGTTCTAAATAGAGGGCCCAAGAACCCTCCATATACTGTTTTTCCCGGCGAGTTAAGCGCAAGTTAATAAAAAGGATTGTATAAAGTAGCTAGATCTTATCAAATTAAACTATCTATAAGTTCTATAGTTTATATCAAATCAAATCAAAGAGCAACGCTGTTCAAGGGAAACCTCTTCCGAGACAAGACCAGGGTCTGGGCCGCGTGGTAGTGGAGCGAGGGCAACCTTGAGAAGTTCACACAAATCAAGAGACAACATGGAATATGATTGTGAATTGTATAAGAGATATAAGGGGAAAATAGATTCAATTAGATATTTTAAACATATACATATAGAAGCAACAATCTTAAAGCCCATTTTAATACCTAGCCTTGAGGCTGAGTCAGCATAAAACTGGATCTCGCCAACGTCATCGGCCTTGTTTTCTGCGCTTTTCAGTCTCTTCCCCACATCTGTTGCCAACACACTTGCTTTCTTCGCGACCCCCTTTCTTCTTCCTTTGTTAAGATCCCTCATTTTGACCTGAGATTCTTATTTGAATCTTTTCTCTTTTCTCCTTTTATCTTTGCCTGTATACCCCCACCTTTCATCATGGCGGAATTCGTGCGTGCCCAGATTTTCGGCACCACCTTTGAGATCACCAGCCGGTTCGCAATGCCCTATTATGCAACATTTACGATGGGCGCTTCAGCAGGCGCATTCAAGGGAATCTTGCTAACTTGATTTTTAGGTATACGGAACTGCAGCCGGTGGGAATGGGTGCCTTCGGACTGGTCTGGTATGTTGCATTCAGTGTCGCACGAGATATTTCCAAGCCCAAGTCCATGCTAACTAGGTTATCAATATAACAGCTCTGCCAAAGATCAATTGACTGCCCAACCAGTTGCAGTTAAAAAAATCATGAAGCCTTTCAGTACCCCCGTTCTGTCCAAGCGAACCTACCGTGAGCTGAAGCTGCTCAAACACCTTCGTCATGAGAACGTCCGTACTCCATCCAGATAAATGGATTAGGATTGCTTGCTGACATCCCGCAGATTATCAGCTTGAGTGACATTTTCATTTCGCCTTTGGAAGACATGTATGTTCCCCCTTATCTGCAAGGCGGGGTTAAAAATGTGTATACTAATGATCACAGCTATTTCGTCACCGAACTTCTGGGAACTGACCTCCACCGACTTCTTACTTCGCGACCTCTTGAAAAGCAATTCATTCAGTACTTCTTATACCAAATTCTGGTAAGATCTCCACGGGCATCATATTCCGGGACAGAATCTGACTTTGTGATAGCGTGGCTTGAAATATGTTCACTCCGCCGGTGTGGTCCACCGAGATCTGAAACCTAGCAATATCCTGATTAACGAGAACTGTGATCTGAAAATCTGCGACTTTGGTCTTGCCCGCATCCAGGACCCCCAAATGACCGGCTATGTCTCAACACGATACTACCGCGCCCCCGAGATCATGCTTACTTGGCAAAAGTACGATGTCGAAGTAGACATCTGGAGTGCGGGTTGCATCTTCGCCGAGATGCTGGAAGGAAAGCCGCTGTTCCCCGGAAAGGACCATGTCAACCAATTCTCCATCATTACCGAGCTGCTCGGAACTCCTCCCGATGACGTGATCCAAACCATCTGCAGCGAGAACGTGAGTTATTGTTATTCCTTTGGAAAAAGACGAAAACATGCTAATATATGACGACCTAGACCCTCCGATTTGTCAAGTCCCTACCAAAGCGCGAGCGCCAACCCCTCGCTAATAAATTCAAGAACGCTGATGCCGATGGTACGTGATATTTGAGCCGACTATGGGGATTATGAACATCACGCTAACTTGGCTTTTTTTTTAGCGGTTGACCTGCTCGAGCGGATGCTGGTTTTCAACCCGAAGAAGCGCATTCAAGCCCCCGAAGCATTAGCGCATGAGTACCTGGCGCCCTACCATGACCCGACCGACGAGCCTGTCGCACAAGAGAAGTTTGATTGGTCGTTCAACGATGCCGATCTGCCCGTAGATACTTGGAAGATCATGATGTACGTGCTAGATCTGTTACCCCGCCACCATTCCTTTTTTACTAATTTTCCACCATAGGTACTCGGAAATTCTCGACTTCCACAACATTGAACAAGGCAACGATGCTGCCCAAGCCCTGGTACAGGGTGCAGTGCAGGGTGATGCTACTGGACAGGCATTCGCATAATGGTTTGACGAGAAAACTCCCAAAGAAACGCCCTTCTGCCATTGAATTCCGGTCTCAAAAATTTGAAGTCTGGCTCTATTTCTGTTCAAGGGTGCTATGAAGCTGGCGTGCTCATTTGTTTTCATTTTATTTTTCCTTTCATACTTTGTTTTTTTTTTTTGTCTTTCTGGAAATCATTGTCCATAGCTCGTCCGGCGTCGTCAAGAATTGGTTGGTGATTAGGAGAAATCATACGGGAGATCTGATTTAGTTCAGCGACGGGGAACCTCATAACCTTTAATCCTTTTGAAATATCTGTGCAATCCAAGTTATTCCCCCAAATTTATAGCTTCTCCCTAGTTAACTATATGCTGTTGATGCCTTCAGATATTGCGGGGCTACCGCTCACCGCCCGTGCGATAACCGTATCAGTGATGTTCCCCTGTTTGCGACGATCTTGGTCTCATGGGAAACTCACATCGAGGTTTTGGAGGAGAAGCACCTCTTTTCTACACATTGAAATCCATTCACTTGACCTTTTAATTCTCAGCATTTTAATTGCATTTCACACAGCCGAACCCAGTACCCTGTCGCAAGGTTCGGCGCGATGGCCGTCCAGCATAAACAAGACCCAATTGTCTTGGTCATAGATTTCCACCATGCACGGTGAGCCATGAGACGTTGGAAACTCCCGGACTCGGATCTCTGAAACGAAGACAAAGACCGATCCATGATGGAACCTGGCTGATTGAGACATACTCCTACAGCGGCCCCGAGATTGAGCATTGCATTGCCGACGAAGGAACCGACCCAGCAACCGAGAATGACTGGTCTCTGCTCCCATTCATGGCCCTATCTGACGGCGCACATCTGTAAGATACCCCTATCCCCGACAACTAATTCGTTCTCTCCCCTTCTTGGTCTCCTTTGGCGCAACCCCGCGATAAGGAGAGCCGATTTGCGCCAGACCAACTAACGCGTCGGATTGCAGATCGACCGAGGAATTCTCATACTTCACACTTTGCCGAAAGGAAACATCCACTACACCCGCAACCTCCCTCTTCGGTATCGCCTGCTCCCGCCAGGTCGATTCGAGTTTGCTTATCAACCGCTCGTCCGATGTGACTCGATCAACGGTACAGAAGGCCGTTGTGGTCGTGACAGATACTCCGCAGCGAGTGGGTCAATTGCGCGAGAAGCTCTCCGTGGTGACTTCGGCTTGGTTCGCGCAACGGTATGTGGGATATACTTCCCCCTGGTGGACTATCTGCTTCCCTAATGCGCTGGCATGGGATATGGATAGGAAGCGACTCAAAATGTGGAAATGTGGCTAATTGAGCACTTTTCTGAACAGTGACTTCTCGGACATTGATATCTTGAAGGTATATACTTAATGCGACGGCTATGGAATGAAATGCTAACATGGTTACAGAAATTCCGCGAGGGCTTGGTGATTGCTTTATTGAATGATGGCCCAAAAGATCAGAACTTGGGTAAGGATATCATCCATTCGGATATGTGTAGAACTTTGCTAATTTACGAAGGCCTTTCGCTCCGGGAGATGATTCACGAATTCAAATTTCAGACTTTGGTCCTTTTCAAGGCACTACTGTTGCAGCCCAAGATGCTTTTCTTCGGGACACGCTGTGAGCGCTTGTGCATGATTCAGTTCTCACTTATATCTTTAATACCCGGCCTCCTCAACTATTTGCAGGACTGCGCGGATCCTGCTTTTGACACCTATTCTCAAACTGTTGAGAAACCAACGTCTCTCAAGACGAGTGATAGAAGCTCTTTGTTGGCATACATGGGGCTTCCACTACAGATTTTCGGAAAGGGAAGCATGTTTGGCCCCTATACACCTCTCCAGCTGCTGGATCTGCTGGCGGATGATGGCACAAAATCATATGTGGTTGGCTCAACAAACTCGCTACTTCTCCAGCAAAAGGACCGCTACAGTGATATTCTAATTAACCTCGACGAAGACAGCATCGTCATAAATTCTCCTTCTCTCCGCAGTGCCCTGGTCCTTTCCGCGGCCGATCGGCGCTGGATTGATCTGCTCACACAAATTGTCAATGACACCTGGGACGAGGAACATCCTTCACAACCCAAGACCCTTGGATTTATGGGCTCGGAAGAATTCATTCGACTACAGTTCGAAGAATACTTGCTGGCGTTATTATCGTCCATGAAATACCACGAGGAGCTCTATCCCAGCGATACCGGAGAACCGGGGAATCTCAGCAGAACCCAGCTGCAAAACTTGAACATTGAAGGGGATCCTGCCATCGACTTCAATACGGAATTCCTAGCCCAGTGGAAAACCACATCCAACTATGCCCTGTTTTCGCGCCTCACTTCGGATGCGCTTCTATTTTCCATCACTGAGCCACGACACCCAAACGCCGGCGGTCTGACGATGGAAGATGTCCAAAGACGACTCACCCAACAGGTAGCAGACCTCCACCTCGATGAACGTGTCCGTGAAGGCCGCGAGGCCCTGAACCGTCACATCTCAACCGGACAAAAGAAAGTGAGCGCGGCATTCACCAGCTTCTGGTCAGATATCGAGACAATGCGCGAAGCGCAACGCAAACGCAATGAAGAGAGAACAGCCTCCCAATCCCAATCCCAACGCGCCTCCATTGACAAAGAAACCCCAATATCACCAACCCCCTCTTCACAGGACCCCGCCGATGCCTCCTGGCTCGCAGGCCGGCAAAGGCCATCCGTCGACCTGACACAGGCCCAGGCCTCCGTGACCGTAGCCAGCCAAAAAGCCGGCTCCTATCTCAGCTCGTGGGGTTCATGGGCAAGCGAAAAGCGCCGCGAATGGCAAGACAAGCGCGTGACGTCCCCGACCCCGAATGCCACTGCCACTGCCAATGCCGGGATGACTTCACCATCCACCCCGGTCTTGTCCGTTGTTACTGAAACAGCCGAGGCGGACCGCGGCCGTCGCCGTTCCATCCAACATGACAGCGAAGGTAACGATAGCTCCGAGGGTGGTCTTACTCGCAGCGTCAGCCGAAGAAAGAGATGGAGCAATATCCTGCTCAGACGCGACAGCGGCGAGATCCAGCGTTACGATGATGTCTCCACGTCCGATCCTGCCGAAACCCCCTTCCCCAAGTCTCCTCTGTCGCAGGGATTCCCGGCTTATGCGGATGATTCGGAACACAAGCAGACGCAGGACCACGTTATCCAGGATATAAAGACTACTGGCTATGATACCGTTGATGCAGATGGATTCTCGTCTGTGGCTCTCACGCCAAATGAAGGTCTGGGGTTGAAGCTGAAGACGGAGGAGACTGTTTCCCAGAGCCAGAAGGAAAAAGAACCCACACCTTCGAGTGATGTAGTAGTAGATACACAGCCTGAGGAGTTAGTGACAGCACTCCCTGTCACAGAGGAGACGCATCCGGCCCAGAGCAAAGACTCGTCTGGTACGAACTAGCGCGCTGGATTTGGGAGCTGGGTGTTGATTTGCATTTTTCACATCTAGGGCAATGATGTACTGAACGGACTTTGGTACTTCTGTCTTCTTGTCTCTAGCTTCGCATAGCATATCTATCCATTCTAGCATAGTTCTTATGTTGATTATGCATAAATATAAACTGGGTCTGCCCAATACTACGTGTATTAATCTTTCATTGTGCCTTGTTGCAGACTTCCTAAGAAGCTAGTTTTCTATCAATCGGCATATTCGAAGTCCTAATAACCAGCCGTGCCGAACAGAATCATCAATTTATTATGTAGTATTTTCAGAGAGAAAAAAAAAGTAAAACAGAGAGCGAAGAGCAAAGAAGTCATCAATTGTTTGTCGTCTCAGCGCTATGAAGTAAAAACATAAAATAAATCGCCGACACAATGAGAAGAATTCATGCTCCTATCAGCCTGATTCCATCCGCCAGCTATCCATTGCAGGGGTCCTATCCTGTATTAGTACAAGTTCCATTGCCCATTGCTTGCTTTTCCATCATCGATGGAATAGAAGGCAGGAACACAGGAAGTCACTAGTTCTCGAAAGAGACAGAAGCAAAAGCAGAGAGCAACAGAAAAGAAGGGGATAGAAGCAAGTTTCTTGTGCAATGAGAGAAAGGGGAGGGGTTTAATTTGATTTAAGCAATGTATGAGATTTCATCGCCGTCCATGCGCTCAATGTAATCCTTCTCCATGAGAGCTTCAATATTCTTCTTGATGTCGGGGATTTTAGGTGGGAAGCGGGATTTGACCTGCTGAATGACCTCCTGGACAAGCTGGACGTGTTTCATCTTCTTGCGCGACTTCATGATTCGGACAATGGCGGACTACAGCAGCATTAGGACAAATGGACTGTGTGGGAGTTGATAATTAGCTAGGAGACATACCTGGAGCAGGAGCTTCCTGTCCTCTTCTATCGTTTTGTGGGTGTCATCGGCCTCGACCTTTTGCTCAGACTTGATTTGAATGTTAAGGTTGATTTTCACCTTCTTACTCTTGAAGTTGTAGTTCAATGTGAACGAAGTGGAGGGCTCGGGCTTAGCGCCCTCGGGGCTGGCGATGAGGACCTTGGCCTTGAGCAGGATGCTCAGGTTGGGATCGAGGATTTCGGATGCCAGAGTGGTGGCCTTTTCGATCTCATCGTAGGACAGAGTATCGGCTTCGTTGAAAAGGAGCAGAATACCCATCTGGTAGGTCGACACCTGGAAGGTGTAGGGCACTTTGGCATTTTTGATATAGTTAGCCTTGATTTCGCCCTTGCATAGCTGCCACAGCCATGTCAACTTGCGGCCGCTGTGCTTGTCAAAGTAGAATGTCTGGAACCGTTCGGCAGTCTTGACTATCTCCGGTGGCGCAAGGAATGGTGTAGTCGGCGCATTGAGCGGCCAGAAGCCAGTTCCCAAGATCTGGAAGTGGGCATCGGTCTGTCTCTTTCGGTCCTCATCATCTAGCACTTTGTCCTGCCAGTCCTTGTAGTTGTTATTAAGATCCTTGGAGATCTGCATGTCCTGGAACATGCGTTGCAGCTTGTTGGTATATTCGAAACCACATGCCTCCTTCAGCTTGCTGATCATGCTTGTTTCAGCGTCGTCAGAAACAGAGCTCACATGAACGAGACGTTTGGCCAGGTTCTTAGAATAGAACTTCTGGAAGACGTCTTTGTCTTCGATGTACTTAAAGACTGTCATAATTTGCACCAGCATATCCTCAAGCTCCGATTCTTCAGCCGACTTGGATCCTTTTTTGAGCAATGAGTCCGTGTATTTTGCCAGCAGCTCGGGTGACTTAGAAGAGCTGGTCTTGCAGATGCGGTTCCGATTGACAAACTCCCGGCAGGCGTTATCAAGAGAACGCACGAACTCGGCCTCACCATTGAAGGCCTCATCAACCAAGCTCTGGTACCGCGTGTGAACTTGCAGTAGAGCATCAACGTACAACTTGGGCTCGAGTGTTTCTCCTTCCGAGGCAACCTTTTCAACAGCAGCCAGACCAGCCCGTCTCACGTGGTTCTCAAACGTCGTGCGCAGAGGATCCAAACCTTCCTTGATCCGTGATAAGAGTCGATACATACGAGCAAGATCCTCCTGGCGTTCGTTATCCAGCAAGACTTGGAACTCATCACGAAGCAAAGTCGAGTGGGCGGTGACAAGAACAGACAGACAGGTATCGGTCAAGCTCTTGGTGACATCTGGATGCAAATACAAGCCGACCCGCTCCTTCTCCTCCTTCAGACGAGCTTCTGCCTTCTTCATATATTCCACCACACTGTTTTCGGCCACGAACTGCCGTGACTCATTTTCGTAATAGGTTTTGGTGTCACGGATGAACGGCAGCTGGAAGTACTGCCGATAAACATCCAGTGTTGACTTGGAGCTATCATTCTCATCCAAACCCAGTGACACGAACGAGTCCACAATGGATTTAATCTGTGACTGCTCGATGGTTTCTCCGTTCCGTTGCTTCTCGATCAGATTCAGAACAGCGTCCATGACCTTCTCATGGACTTTTTCGAAGAAGTCCCCTTTCCATTTGACCAAGTGTAGGGTGTAAACATCGTATACGTTTTTCTTACCCTCGTCGATCTCACGCTTTACCCAATGACGATTGAGATAGCGGAAAAGGTGGTTCACGTACTTGGCGGCGGTCGTGTAGCGGTACCATTCACGGATGTAGAAGCCAAGCAGGCCTTCCTCGGTGTGGCTCTGTGATTGCTTGAAGACTCCACTCAGATGGCGGGAGAGGTATTCGCCGAGTAATTTGTAAAGTTCCTCGCCCAGCAAATGGGCTTTGATCCAGGTCAGCTCAGAACGGGAAGCCGAGGGTGCGGCACGAAGGAGAGAAAACGAACCTCCACGTCCGCCTTGTAGGCCTTGACCGCTAGCAACGGCTTTTTGGGATGTGCAGAAATTATGGACAGCCCTAATTATGAAATTGTGAGCGCAGTTCTGGTCAGATAAGAGGTAGGGTCGAATCTTGAACACACGTGTATAGACCCATGTACTAGACAAAAACAGTCAGTTAGCTTCTATTTTCAAACACTCTCGCCGGCAGGTGGTAAACATTTCAGTATTTCACCTACAGTCTTCATATCGATACCGGAGTCAAGGTTGAGCATGACGCTCTCGATTCCTGTCTCTAGGAATGACCAACTAACCCACAGTTAGCTCACGCTGTACCGCCGTGCTAAAGCAAATCCCCGATCATTGTTTGCTCACGTTGAATCAAGGTCATCCTTGTGAGGTACCGGTGGCATTGCGAGAGACATCGCGGTTGCTGGGGAGTCGAGTGGGATGCGGAAGAAAGCGAGTGGTCGAGGTCGGGGGTCCTGCTCCACCAATCAGCAACGCACTCTTGACTCTCAATAGTAACCTGTAAGTTACACATCATGAATTATTACCTCAAGACGGTTGTAGCGCCACAGTCACGCCTCAAAGATCCTCGAGTGATCAAATGAGTGTTGGCGCTTGGGAGGGGGAGAGGGGTTGGCAGGAGCGGGGTTCGGGCAATCAAAGAAGACAAGCCAGAAGAAAAACAATACCCTCGGGATCTTCCAGAGTAAATATGAGAAAAGAGATTAGGCAGAAGGGGAGCAGAGAGTGATGAGGCTGAGAAGGACCAGAGCGTGGGGATGGCCTTGTTGCCGCAGGCGGTGAGGTGGCGGAGCTTTCCCGCCAAATCTACATCATCGGCTTGGATGCTTTGACAAGTCAAGACACCTAATATAAATCCCAACATTAGTTATTTAGTATTTACTTTGGAATACGATGATATACATATTTTGGATTCATCTCTCTATAAACCTATATCTTTGTAGTATCACAACACATATATCTCTGACATTTGAATAGATTTATGTTTCTTACTACTGCTATAGACTTTGCGTATCAAACTCACCTAGGCATGTACTATTAACATGGCTTGAGTAAAACAAGTACCTTGCTATCTCGGAACCTTGGGGACATATGAGAATTATTGTCCTACAACCTTCAAGTTTCCTGATTAAGTATCTGTACAAATATACCTATGACGACATTAACACATCCTAAGGTCAATACATACTTGTTTATGTTTGCCGAGCAAATGCATTTTATGTGTTAACGACATTCATAGAGAAAGAAGAAGTAATCAATTGCAGATTTCCCATCTAGCGGATATTCTTGGTTCTCATCAGCTTGAATTATTCCGTATGGTGATAATTGTATATAGAAAAGTCGATATAGTTCGCAACTTCTTTCCGCCTTTTTCTGCCGCCTAGTTATCTAAAAATATACTGATAAAATATTTGAGACTACTAAAAAGATCTCACAAGCCCACATAAAAGTACGTAGTACTCCGTACTCTCGTTTAATATAGAAACAATATACCCCTGTGGAGGCACGTGATTCCGGTTTGAGCAGTCCTCGAATCACGTGGTACTGTTCTCCTGAGCTGTTTCTTAGCTTTACAAGTGTTGAAAACTAATATTATATTACTATTAAAATGTTGAGGATCTCCACCGACTTTCGGGCAACTCCAAACAAGGCTAGGACAGACATCCTCGCCATGTCCGGACCTGGCTCCGATACGACTCTCTCCACCAGCCTGCGCCATGAGCGGGTTGGACGATACGCCTAATTGCCATCTTATCCGATTCAGCACGAACGAGCACCGTGACCGACTGCACTCGAGGCTCTTCCAGCAGCGCTTTTAATATATGGGTTTCAAGGAAGCCGGTACCGCCTGTTAACAGGACGCGGCCACTCCAACTCGACAGTCATTCCCGTTGGAACGTCCACCGAGACTGGAATTCGCCAATTGCCACGAATATGCGCAGATACCACGTATTCTTTACTATATAACGTGATACTCTGATCAAAAATTCATTGTCAGCGGTGGCTTTTGCTCCACGCCTAGCGTGGTAGGCGGCATCGAACCCATGAGAGCCACATTGCGAACAGTTAAGCCGGATCGGAAGAGCGGTGCCATAGGCAAATGAACACCGAAGCGGCTGGAGATAGCCTTGGAGATAGCCATCATGTCAATATAGTCCAGACCGACGTACTTTATAGCATGTACGATTGAAGCCTTCGGCCCCAAGGAATGAGACTAATCTAAAAAGCTGATATGCCTGTACATGATGCTGAATAGAAAATGCAAGGGTTCGGCTGCATGTATGTTTAGATAGATGTATATTCCTTTTGGGGCTAACCTTGATTTATACTCTATGCATGGACATACCGACATGTAGCTGTAAGATTTGAGCGCTAGTGATCTCCGTACAATATTAGGACGCTACGGTGTAGATAATATATATTCTAGTATTTGATTAACCTGGGGTTTTGTACCATATTGTAGTAAGTCGATATAGTGCAGGTGGGAAGTACTGAAACGAATTTAGGTGTGCACAGAGTACGAATACAACCCATAGCCGAGGGCGCAGTCCTCAAATATGTTCAAGTGAACTCCTCTAATACGATTTGACCGTGAACCTGGAATGTCATATTAACTTATAAACTTATATACTTCTAGATACCTGCCCCCACCATGAATGACGTCACTTGTCTGAAGTAGATTACAACCTGTAGATTTATCCAATTCAACCTAACTCTTTTCTCCATGCAAAAGCCAGCAGACCAAAATAGAGACCCCCCAATGGCTATAACTCCAATTTCGAACATTCGAGTGACCACTCGCCAGATTCCCGAGTGGCACTATATACCGAACACTTCGATGCAATCTAAACCGCTCATGATATACCATGGAGCCTTCGATGCCACATCTGCAGAGCTCGAGGGTCACCTGGAGACAGTGGGTGAGGTCGTTCCTCATTGGGTATATAGCATGTACAGCCAAACCCACTTCCATTCCACAACGCAAGAGGTACTCGGGATCATTTCAGGGAGTGCGCGTCTTGTTTTGGAGGCGACGATAACCCTGAGCGATTTGAACCGACGGTCCAGCGCGGTGATTTGATCATTGTACCCGCGGGGGTGGGCCATCGACTCTTGGAGGACCTGCATGGGAACCAGGAAGAGTTCCAAATGGTTGGCGCATATCCACACGGAAAACAGTGGGATATGTGTTATGGGAAACCAGAAGAGAAAGCAAAGGTGCAGAGAATCAAGGATGTGGCGTGGTTCCGTCAAGATCCGTTGTATGGCGTTGACGGCCCAGCGTTGCACGTCTAGCTAAAATTGCGCCTGCGCAAAATTAAGTCCCGCTTAAGTGGTATATTTAATCAACAGTCAAAAAATGAAAACACAACGAGACTCGGCTATCACTGTGCCACTCGTTCGACAAGCCTAACAGAGAGTTAGAAAATGGAGTATGCCGATTACAGACAAGGGGGCTTACCTGAGAACGCTTATCGAAAATGTCATGAGCCAAGCCAAAAGTGCAACCAGCAGTACGGAAGCAAGTGCCTTCTGTCGCACACATATACCAGTATTTTGAGGATTGAGCTGTTGGTTGATCTCTGCTTCAGTGCAGGCTCCTGTCACCTCGGAAAGTGAAAAAAATGCCAAACTGAGATTGGCGGAATCGAAGACGATGAAGAAGATATCCAGGAGGAGGAGACGCGTTTTAGCCGAGGCAGAGCGCAAACCCAACGGTTTTGAAGTGTATTCATCAAAGGTGATGTATAGGAGGTAAACCAGTGCGACTGCATCGACGATGATCGCCATCAATGCAGATGGGCCTTGAGAGCGACGTCCTTCGTTGGCCATGTGCTGAATCGATCCACCTAGAGCTAATGCAGAGAGCGAGAAGCACCAAACAGTCATTCGAAGAATCATGGGCACCATCGGGCTTCGTAGAATTGTCTTCTTGAAACGTTTGATCCAGATATCCCTTCGGCCTCCACTGTGTAGCGGATACTCCGGACTATCGCCCTCCAGGTGCTTTCCTCGCCATGGTTGCAAGTAGTCGCCGTGATTCTCATTTAACCATTCTGGAGTGACTTGTTGTTCCTCTCTACCGGCTTCTCGGGGGTATTGGATGGTTCGTGAGAATGTCATCCAGCGCGATTCCCGGTTGACAAATGGTGTGTCATCCTCAAACAGACCGTTGTTGATCCCACGAGTAGGTTGGGTCTTGGATGATGCGTAGGGCGAATGGTTGTGCTGAGCGACAAATGCGCCATTTGGTTGGGAAGGCAATAAGTGATCGGTTGCCGTAGCTTCATCTTCATCCTCCTCGGGCTCATCGACCGACCGAATCCAGGCTACAATGATCTGGAATTAGTGAATGCTCGTCAATTCGAGCTTTAAATGGGACCATACCAGGTAGAGATCGTAAGGCGGAGTGTTGGGAGTACGCGATTTCTTCCGCTGTCTGACCGTCTGTACGTGAAAGTGTTGAATCGGAGGTTTTATTGCGAACGGCAGAATGAGTATCGATGCTAAGCTGGTTTGGCAGTGATGACTCTGGGATGGTCGGGATCTTCTCTGCCAGCTTCTCACTAAAGACTCGCCCTGAAGCGCTGTCTTTGGAGCTGTCCATGGTAAGAGAAACCAAACACCAAACTTGAAACTCTGGAGTCGCGGGAAACTTCAATCAGTACATATGTAGTTTGCCCGCGAATCCCCAATTGTTCAAGTTAGGAGTTCAGGGCAGGATGATCTCAGGACGAAAATGGCGCCGGGAATGACGTCTGGATACCTGCTTACCTCCCGCGTCTATCCCTTTTCACCACACTAAAAAACCCAAAAAAACCTTCGACACCATTTATTGTGAAGTTTTTCACTATTTCTATTTTCTATCCTGAACCATTTGCTATCTATCATCCCCGCGATTGTCTCTTCTCGATTGTCAATTGTCTTAAGACATCCACCATGCGCCTTTTCCTAGTTCCGATCTCGACAAAACGAATCCTCATATATGCTCGACCCCTTAGCAGGGATTTATCGAAAGAGGTTTCAATCCTCGATAGGATCACAACAAAGGCAGCTGAAACATGGGCGCAGTGGGAGGAAGCTGACAAAGGATGGAAGATGCACCTTGTTCGCTGGGGTAATAGTGTCCAGCAACGGATACCATACGAAGAATGGGCCCTCAAAAGCATTCCTTCACTCAAAGCCCAGCAGAAAATCAATGGAGATCATGGAAAGACCAAGATTGATGTGCTGTTCCCCGGTAACGCGGTGCGGTTGGACCGAATTCAGGATGTGCTGCGCAAGATCGCCACAGAGAGACAAGAACTTCACCGGAAGAAGATGATGTGGAGCTTGATTGTTGCGCCGATTACAGCACCCCTTGGGTTGATACCAGTGTATGCGAATACCTTGAATCTTCCGTGATTTGATATACTAATACAGAGCAGGGTTCCGAATATTCCGTTTTTCTACCTGGCATACCGGGGTTGGTCCCACTGGCGTGGTTAGTTTGATCTTCTACAGCGACGTGGCCTATGAAACTGACGAGAATACACAGCATTGAATGGCTCAAAACATCTCGAACTTCTCGTTGAAAGGAACATCCTCAACCCCATCTCATTACCGGAGCTAGAACAGCTATATGCCAAACGCGCATCTGGAACACTCGAAGGCACCACGACCGACACACCATATTCCGAGGTTGCCGATGACATAGAACAGAGTGAGGATCGGGTCCTGTTGAAGATGTCGGATGCCAAGAAGTTGGCTACGATCTTGGAAGCACCGGAGCTTGCGTTAGAGGCCGAACGAGCGATCATTCAAGTCAGGGAGCAGCTGGAGGCTACAGCGAAGGCCAAACAACAGGAGAAAGACGAGAAGAAGGATTCATAACGCCAAGGATTTAATCACTATGTTCTGAGGAAAGAAGATATCGAGCTCTTCTACTCAACACGGAGGTCATGTACGATAATGACACACGAACATGTCAGATTCCAATAGATATAACCTTATAGACGATAATTATTTTAAAGACTTCAGTATGAAATACTACAAAGAAGGAGAATTACATTGCAAGTCCAATGACCTCAGAGCCCCTGACGGAAGTAGGTAAATCCGAATCTCTCCCCCCATTGTTCCCACCTCATCCATCACCCCATTCATCGGAGCTCCATACATCATGTCTACCAAAAAGATTGAGCAATGGGAGATTGAGCGATATTGGGAGATTTTTGCCTCATTATCAAATGGCCAAAAACACCTTAACAGCTCCCAAGCCGCCTCCGTGCTGAGGAACAGCCGGCTGAGCGACGACCAACTCGAGAAGGTCTGGGACATTGCCGATGTCGACGGAGACGGGGAGCTGGACTTCGAAGAGTTTTGTGTTGCGATGCGCTTGGTCTTCGACCTGGTCAACGGCGTAAGTGACCCACCCTCTCAAATTGTCACTAAATCGGTCTAACACGGCATCTTTACACAGGAACTACAGGATGTCCCGAGGGTCTTGCCAGATTGGCTAGTCCCAGAGTCTAAATCACATCTCGTCCATGCGACCCGCGCACTAAGCAGCGGACAAGAGCAATTTGAACGGATAGAGGACGAGGACGACTCGCTCGGTCTGAAGGACGGCTTTGATTGGTATATGAAGCCCGACGACAAGAACAAGTACACTGAGATCTACGACGCCAACCGGAACGCGCGCGGTCAAATAGAATGTGAGTAGCCCGCACAGCGCGCTGTGCGCGCCCAGAAAAATCACCTGCTGACCACACCCCCCAGTCCAGCAATTACAACCACTCTACGAATCACTTGACGTCCCCGACACCGATGTCCGCTCCGCCTGGAACCTAGTCAACCCCTCCGCATCACCCGCAATCAACAAAGATTCCACACTCGCCTTCCTGCACATCCTGAACTTCCGCCACGAGGGTTTCCGCATCCCACGCACCATCCCCGCATCGCTGCGCGCCTCGTTCGAGACCAACCAGATCGACTACCAAGTCGACAAGGCGCGACCCGCACAGCGCTACGGCGCAGATGGCGACATGGAAACACGGACAGGTCGCAAGGCCAAGTTCGGCGATACCTACCTCGGCCGTCTAGGCGTTGGCGGCAAGGGATCTTATCAGCCTAAGGGAACCGATTTCAGCGACACAATCCAAGACGAGGAGTGGGAGAAGGTGCGGCTACGCCGCGAGCTCGCGGAGCTGGAGAAGAAGCTGGAATCCGCCACTAAAGCATCCGAATCTCGGCGGGATGGGCCGCGCCATGATGGCCGGCCCAACTGGGTTCTGATTAAGAAGGAGGCGCTTTCGCTCTTGGAGTATAAAGAGCGGGAGTTGCGGGAGCTGCGTGAGGGTACTGGCCGTGCTAAGGACGGTCAGGAGTTGGAGCGACTTCGGGAGGACGTTAAGGCTGTTGGAGAACAAGTGGACGGGTTGAAGAGCCACATGGCCCAACGGCATGATGTCCTTTCAGACCTCCGTAGGCAGATTGAGGACGAGAAAGCTCGGCGGTAATTGATTATTGTGTGAATATGGACTAGCGGAATCGTTGGCCTAATACCTTTTGTTGCTTATCTTCTTTCTATGGCCCCTTTAGCTGCACATATGTCCTATCTCGTTGATTCTCGCGAACTATCATGTACAGCCATTTTTTTGTTAGGGAGCTTCAGGCGTCAAATGGATATTCTTTGCCTTTTCATTTCTGGTTAGGGCAAGAGACATGTAATAATTTAAATATAGTGAAATAGCGAGGCATCATGGTCTATCTTGTAGTACCTCCCACACACGAACTAGTTGTCCATCATATATATATATTCAAGCTAACCAATCCTGTCCGTCCATCATACAATCTATAGTCATGCAACCACTACACATCGAGCGTATAGTTTGGATGGAAAATCAATAAATAGAGAAAGTGGACAGCCATTAGACACAAGAGAGAATGCTCTCGCCAAGATCATGCTTCATTTCAACTGTAACAAACGCAGCCCCATTCCGGTGGAGCTCGGGAGCTTTCAAGTTTAAGTGTCTAGGTGGTTCAGGTGTTAGCTGTAGGTCTAGGTTGTATATCTAACGCTAATACTAAACCCCTATCTCGATTTTCTCCTAGGAAATAGCTATTTCGGTTGAGTAATTCCATCATATAACCCATTCGCAGCCTGGGGCAAGCTGCAGGTCCCAGATGTTCCTGGGCCTCAGCTAGATTCTGTGCAACACCCAGGTCTATCAAGATGCCCCTTGAGCCTTGCTGGCCCGGGACATCTATCATGATAATACTCTGCGTACACACGTCCCGATAAAGAAAATCCAGACGATTGAAGTATATTGCATTCCTTTTTATTTGAGTTTGTTCAAGGAGAAAGCTCATGTATAATGAAACCGAGGTGGATAAATACCACTATCGTGGGATTATTTCTGGCTGGTTTCGTATACATCTCCATAATTTCTCCATAGTTTCTCCATAGTTTTTTCCTACCCTTGTAGCCCTAAGTGCAGTGAGATTTCCCCCGCAGCCTTCCCACCCGTGATACCCATGAAAGGTTGCCAATGGCGAGGTGAATTGGGACATGTGGGATGATTTGAGAAGTAAATAAGGATGATCGTCACGGCGACTTATATGTACCTTTTTTGGTTGGTGGATCTTGTAATTGCGTGGGTAGTTTCAAGCTTGCAAACACAGCCACAATGCCAATGCTTGGGAATCTTGGCTTTTGTCATCTTCACAAGAATCGTGCCTTGGTATTGGTTAGGTATGTGCCAAGCCGGAGAATCAGCTGTTAGAAAATGTCTTATATTCCGGCGGAAATGTAGAGATAGAATTCATCCAATCCCAACTGGGACCTGGACCCTGCGTAAATAGTGAGATTCGTGGGGTAATGCATCAAAATCCATCCAGTCAGATGTCGTTCAATTTCTTCATGGATGATGTGGAGTCCGAGGTTGTATATGTCACTTGAGACAGTACGGATTAAATCCTGTCTTGTTATGACCTCCAAAGGTATAAAAGACCACTCGTTGACCCTCAATTTGATCAACCATAAGCTAAACAAGATGCATTCCAGCGCTATCATCCTCGGCCTCATTGGCATTGCCAGTGCCCAGACACTTAACATTCCCTCTCGTGTGGGTAGCATCGTCTCTTTGCCTTCTCCCAGTGTGATCAAAGGCAGTGTTGATCTCGGAAATCGGGAGTACGATCGTGGCCGCGCCTGCGACAATGACGATGATACTGGTATGTCCATATACAAAATGAGTCCAAATGAATGGAGCTAATTGAATAGGCGATGACAATGCCGTGTTCATCTTGGAGGATGGAGCATCGCTAAGCAATGTGATCATTGGAGAGGATCAACTTGAAGGCATCCACTGCAAAGGATCCTGCACGCTGACCAACGTCTGGTTCCGTGATGTCTGCGAGGTGAGTGCCACCGATGTCTGTCTGGTCTACCAATGCTAATATACCACCAATAGGACGCCATTTCCATCATCGGAACCGGAGATGCACTCATCAAAGGTGGCGGTGCCCAGGAGGCCAAAGATAAGGTGGTGCAGCACAACGGCCAAGGAACTGTCACCATTGATGGATTCACTGTGGTGAATGCGGGTAAGCTGTACAGATCGTGCGGCAACTGCAGCAACAACAAGAGCAAAAGCCCACGGAAGGTGGTGGTCAAGAACGTCAAGGCCAAGAATGTCTCTACCTTGGTGGGAATCAACTCCAACTATGGCGATACGTCAAGTGTGAGCGGCACGTGTGGATCTAGCGTCAGCCATGTGTGCCAGGAGTTTGAGGGAGTGGACAAGTCAGAGGGAAGAGAGAGCCCGAAGCTGGGAACCACTGCTTCGTGCAAGGGCCAGGCGTCTCTGTCTTCTTGCTAAGTTCACATTGGTCTTTTGATTGAAGAGGGAATGGAGAAGGAGGAAGAAGGAAGATGAGAGGAGGTCGTGGGTAAACAGATATTGAAAGCCAGAGGCCATCACATCATTCCCCTCGGACTAGCTACCAATCTCATACAAAACGGTGTCGAAAAACCTGAATGCCCCCTAATCATTAGTAAATAGTAAAACAGCACGTCACAGTTCTAAACCGACTGAGCCATCAAATTTTCCATTTGACTATTTTGCTGTAGTGGCGATAGAACATTATACTTCCTAACCGAATCTGACATACTGTTTTATGGTCCTAAAGGATTTGATACTGTAAGATCTGCCATCTCTAAGCAGGTTGCACACCATTGAATATTCAGTCTAATTAAGGTAGGGAGAGAATCCATGTCATTAAACTGAAGCCCGGATGTTGACCCGGTTGAGGCTCAAGGGCTGATATCCACTTCTGACCCACAGTTGACCCACTCGTCTTTCCACTATTTTTTATTTCCCAGAGACCAATATACTGCCTTCAAAAGGTATTGCATGGATTTTGACCACATATTTACATTAGAGCTTATACTGTGTAGTAAGTAACCACGAGCTAATGCATGGGGTATACTCGGCGAAGATGGAATACAGATGGTTATTCGAACTGCCATTAAGAGTTACTCCTGATGTCCCAAGATCGTTAAATTAGATGCTTTGCGCTCTAGTTTACAGGACATATATGTGGCAACAGAAGAGAATGTTAGGGTTTCAGGCACATCGAACAATAGTTATTCTTTGCAATTGTATTTCTGATTAGAGCAAGAAGCAAAATAATTTAACATAAGATACAATATGTATCACCCGATATGGTGTTACACTCTAGTACTAGACATTATCCGGCTTGTAGAAAGCAAGGAGATACAGTAGAGTCATTGAACACCTCAAGAGAGAATGCTCTCACCAGAATCGCGCTTCGTTTCAACTGCAATAAACGCAGCCCCTTTTTGATCCAGACCCTTCTCAGCACGCAGGTAAGCCTCTTCGGAACGATCAGTCAAGATGTCCAGATCTTCATTCGACAAGATCGAGGCAGGATCAACACCAACTTCAAACCGCTCGAACTCATTCTCACCAAGAACCTTGCGCAATTCATCCATATCCTGGGAATTCGCACTGGGGTCAAGCAAAGAGCGGAATTTCCCCTTCTGAATCACCAGACGCTCGAGACGGCGCTTGGTATCCGCTTTCTCAAGGAGTGTCTGCTCAACGGTACCCTTTGTCGCCAATCTGTAGATAATCACTGGCCTGGTCTGGCCAATGCGGTGGGCTCGATCCTGGGCCTGTAGATCCTGCTGGGGATTCCAGTCCGAATCGAAGATAATAACAGTGTCAGCGGCGGTGAGATTGATTCCTTGACCACCAGCTCGGGTGCTCAGGAGGAAGATCTTGTGACTTTTCTTGGTATTAAAATCTTTGATCTGAGCCTGGCGATCTGATTGTGCAATAGCGCCGTCGATTCGGCAACACTCCCAGGAACGGAGTGTTGTGGCCCACTCTTCAATGATATCAAGCTGTGTCTTGAACTGAGAGAAAATGAGAATCTTATGGCCTTTCTTAAGCAAACACGAGACCAAGCGGTCTAACAAAAGCATCTTTCCGGAGGCGGAGACGAGGGTTTCATCTACAGACGAGGACTCGCCCATCCAGGGCCAGTAGAAGTTGTGCGGAGAGTTGCAGGCAAGGCGAGCCTGCAGGACCGGGTTTTGCATCTTCTTTTGCCCAATCTCTTTCTCTGCACGAACATATTAGCGAAAAGATCCTATGAAATATGGGTTAAAAGGGACGTACTAGCAAGCTTCAGATTCGCAGCCCGCTGCATCTCTTCAAGCTCGGTATCGCTGGGCTCGGTCTTCTTTTCCTCTTCTTCAATTCCCAGCTCGAGTTTGCGCAAATGCTCATCAAACTCTTCTTCACTTAGATCATTGTAACTCTGACGCGTGCTGCGTCGGCGTCGGCGGTTAGAGTTATTCCCATTACTAGCTGGCGTGGACGTCCCGCTAGATCTGACACTCTTGACTGGCGTTGCATCATCATTGCCATTCCGTTTGCGTTTCGTACTTTGCGAGCGTTTAGAGCTGCCATTCTTAGTTTCCAGACGTTCCAGAGCCTTTCCCTCGAGGTACTGACGCCCTGTACCATTGATGATTTCTCGATAGAGATCTTTCTGTTCAGGGGTCAGAGGTGCGTACAGAATGTACTCCCGCTTCTTGGGAAGTGTGCTTTCCACGTCAGTTTTGAGCCGACGTAGAAGGAACGGCTTGAGGATAGCGTGCATGCTGGTAACTAAGTTACGGCGACGTTTTTCAATAACATCTGCCTGGCCCTTGTTGTCCAGCACGGAGGAGAAGTCAAACCAGCCCTCAAACGAGTTGAGATCGTTGAAAACCTCAGGAAGCAAGAAATGTAGAAGTGACCACAGCTCTGAGATGTTGTTTTGGAGGGGTGTCCCGGTAATTAGAAGACGATTGGCCGAATTATAGGTCAAAAGCTCTTTGATGAGCTTGCAATTCATGTTTTTCAGACGATGACCCTCATCCTATAAATGGATTAGCGTTTTGTAAATGAGAAAGAATTGAAGCAAACATACAACAACGATGTAACGCCATTGATATTGCGCCAAGAACTTGCGATCATTCATGCAAATCTCATAAGATGTGCAGACCACCGGGAAGTCCATGTCCCCCTGGTTTTTCATCTTCATGAACTTGTTACGCATGGCAGCCCGCTCATCTTTGGAGCCGTGGTACAATACTGTTTTGATACCAGGTGTCCATCGGGCGAACTCATCCACCCAATTGCTCACTGTACTCAGCGGTGCTGAGATCAAAAATGGCCCTGAAACATTCTTCTCTTTCAAGAACGCAATCATCGAAATTGCTTGAACGGTCTTTCCAAGACCCATCTCATCGGCAAGAATGCCACAAAGCCCATTCATCCATAAAGTCTTCAGCCATTCAAGGCCCTCCAGCTGGTATGTTCTCATTTTGCCACCGGTCACAAGCGTCGGCTGCTGTGTCGCGACCAGGTCCTGCTCACCAAGAGCTTTGGGATTCGCTTCGTAGTCATCTGCAGCCTTCTCAAGAGCCTGCTGCACCGAGGAGTTGTCTTCAGTCACTTCCACATCGGCCTTCTTAAAGTAGCTCGAAATAGAGTTGCCTTTGGCGGCCGCTGCCCGCTTAGGCCGACCTCTAGTGGATGCCGGGGGCTTGTCCTCGGTGTTCTTTCCACCAGTTGTCTTGTTTTCCTTCTCTGTCGCATCTTGGTGTGTTCGGGTCCGAGTGGTTCGGCGAGCAGGTTCAGGAAGAGATTTGGTTTCTTTTTGACTCGCGACAGCTTGTTCGTGTTGCTTAATTGCCGCCACCCGTGCGTCTTCTTGCTGTTTTTTCATTTTGTCTGACATGATAGCGACAAAGACCTGCAGGTACAAGATGATATCAGACTACTGTCATCAGACAAGACGAGGATGGACTGGAGACGTACTGAGCTCGTTTTTAACAAGTGCATCAAGGCCTTCGCCTTGCTATCCATCCCCTCGACATCCTCCGAATCAGTCAAATCTGCTTTAGAGTTGTCATCTTTATCATCGGAAGACTTCGAGTCTTCAGCCTCAGTCGGGTCTGTGAGTGGCGACGAAGGAATGACCGACTCAGGTGCCATAGTCCCCGCACGAGAATCCGTGGGAGTAGCTGTCTCCTCAGCAGACATTTTGTCTAATAAAATTGAGTAACAAAGTAAAGAGAGTGAATGATCAAAAGATGGAGATGGTACGTCATTCGCAGGGTGAAGAAGTTTTCACAATGTCAAGTTTCGCTGGGGAGGCGAGGGCTAAACGAATGTAATAGCACAGACTGGGTGTATACGAGTTTGCGACAAATCGACACTCGTACTTCAGACAGACACTGCGCACGATTGGATGTTGGTTTGTGATATGTCCAAGATCAAAGTATGATCGCGTCCTCGACGCGGCATTTTCGCGTTCAATGCACGGACCAGGTTTAGATTAGACTCCCCTGGGAACTACTAGGACTTGACTTCAACCTCATTCAAGACTGTCATATATGAATGTTATCATACAAATTAATCATACACAAAGTTTGAGTTGAAGAATGTGGCATCATATCTTCGATCTCTTGATTGTTCCCTGAATATCGCTTGGTTGTATCCTTCTACTGCGAAGAGGAACAACCATCCGTCGGCACCAACATCACATCATCCATGGACACATCGGTGATCGAGCTGATGTCACTGGAACTTTGTTGCTCGTCAGGCTGCTCTTCCTCGTGTTGCTCTGGCTCACTTTCTTCGGGCATCATAGTAGGCTCATAGCAGACAAATTCATCCATGAGGCGGTCAATGTTTATTTTCGTCATTCCACGGTACGCCCGGGCAAAGAAGTTCGAAGGCATGTTTTCTTCGACTGGCTGGGTCAGTAGAAGCGGCTGAGGGTTTCCATGTCTGGGACTGATTCCAACACCAACGCCATTAACCCGAAGGTCTGGCTGGAGGTTGTACCGACGGCGCATCGCATCTGCTTCAACCTGTATTTTTTCAAGCTGGGCCTGCCGTATTCTTCGCTGATACTTGGATTGGCTCTCGGATGGGCTAGAATGTACCGAAGGCCAGTTGCCAGCGAGCACTCTGCTGAATGGCCTAGCAGGTTTCTGGAAAATAGGCTGGGCATAACTCACATCCCGTGGCCCCCTAGACGGTGTTTCTTGTGGAAACTCCGGCGGAGGTGACTCTGACATGGTGATCGTTGGTCTCGGAGAGGTTAATCCTTGGGATCTGACACCGGTTTGCTCGTATTGCTTGATTTGCGCGGTGTTGTGTGAACCGAAATTCACCTTGACCATTCCACCAAGTCGGGGCTTTTTGGTGTCCCACGACAAGTCCGGGTTCCGTTCATAATACTTTCCCCAATTCATCAGGGGTTCCGGGTCAGTGCTACGTCGAACTAAATCCTTTGGATTCATTGTGCCGTTCATACCAATGCTATGAATGAATTCGGCCTTGGCACTGCTGGTTGGGTCCAGGAAAGGGTTGATTGTGGTCTCGATCTTATCAGGAGGCGGACTGAATCTCAGGTTCTCTTTCCATTCGAACTTGTCAGGTTCATGGGAGCTTTCCTCGGATTCTCGCAGGACCACCAGGCTGTCTCCCCAATCGCCAGCATACCTTCGAGGTAGCCCGTGCTGATGCAAGTACTGTCTGGCTTTTAGGACGTCGTGGGCTTGACACATCAAGAGGTCAGTGTATTTGGTGAGAAACAGGTTGCGATTGGTCTCTCGGGTGATCCTTTTCAGCACCAGTTGAGGCGGCGGTTGGAAAAGCTTCAAGTCGCTGTTATCAATTCTCATGAGTGCGTTGCGTTGTTTGCGCCGCATTTGCTCCAGTCGTTTGTTCTCTCGTTCGATCTGTTTATTGCGAATGCCTATGACCTGCTTGAGGTCTGTACGCTCGTCTGATCCAAGGCCAAGAAGGTCGCAAACACGTCTCCAGCTGTGATACTTCATTGTGTTTTCGACGATTTCAACTTGCATGGCTTTGTGCAGATCTTTCCATTTTGGGCTAGGGATCTAAAGCGACGACTCACATCAGACTCGTTCAATTGCACTAACAAAGCAAACGTCACGATATACTTACCGTATCAAGGAGTGCCTGGGTCGCATCTGGCAGTGGATTGTCATCACTATCCGGAGAGGTGGCCATATCCTCTGGACCTGGAGCGTCATCCATACGAGTCATGCGCGCCATGTTCATATTCTTCGCATACACCGGATTGTCCATGTTGTTACTGGCGACGTGATTCTCGAGTTGGTTCATCGGGACTCGTTCAATCCCAGCCGCGGACGATGAACCAATTGGCGTTGACCCAACATTGCGGGGGTTAAGTACAAAATCCGTCACTTGTGTGTTCTGTTGGCTACCGCCAACGGCGTGATTCTCCTTGGAGGCCGTGGAGTTACGGCCTGGCTGTTGTCTGCTCAAACTGGGAAACGCGGCTGGTGGCAGGTTAGGGTTGAATGGCACAGTGTTTGTCCTGCGCCTCTTTTGTGGGCGCGGCCTGCCTGATTCACTAAGCTCCAGGGAGTCGTCAAAGAGCTCATCGTATCCGTGGCGCAGCGAGATCCGTGATGGTGTTTCGAACTCGTCCTCGCCATATCGTACCGGTGCGCGGATGCTGTCGCGCAGTTTCATGCCGCTCATTTTGGCGGCGCGTTGAGACGAGGCGTGAGGTGTGGGACGAGGGGTGATGCGTTTGATGGTTGGTGTGGGTGTATCGATCGTAGGTACGTGCTAAAGGTCAATGGGAAGCATGCGCTTCATCGTAAGGGTGCGACTGGTGATCAGGGTGGGGTGGTCGCAAGATGGAAAGGTTGTACCGCGAGATGAAAAAGAGAGGAGAAGGGAGGATTGGGGTCGCTTTGAAGTCGCGCAAAGCCAGGGCAAAACTCGAGCTCTCAGATTTGAAAGGAAAACACAATGGAGGGGCAAATTGAGTCGAGAGTCGACAAGGTGGGTTCAAACGTTCCATCAGATGGTTGAGGGCATCGACCAACTTGTGCGCGTCTTGAGACTTGCCAAATTCTGATATTGACCCCATCATTGATTTTCCTTTGTAAAATGCAGACACATGCTACCTTGAAAACTTTCCATATTCATGATCTTACGGATATGAAGATATAAGAGTCTAATAGCCAGTGGATGGCTTGGATGTCGGGAAGATAGCATCAATGAGCAAGTGCAGGTGGGTATTTGCATACAAGAACCATAAAGCAATAAAGCAGACAAATAAAGCAGACATAAAAAGAAGATCAGACAGCCACCCCTCTTCTACATAATGTAGAGATACCCTCCATTCCCGTTCCTCTTCAACACATCCATATCTCTCCCCATCTCCATATCCATACACGATCTAATCGAAGATACTCGCAACACGTGAATCCAGTTCCCTCTAGACTATGCGGTCTTGGAAGGGAGCATTCGGCTTTCGCTCGTAGAAGGGGTCCCCATCCGCATCCATATCCATTTCACCCTCCCCCACGGCAAGGTTATCATCTCTATGGTCTTGAAAGCTTCGCTTTTTGGTAAGAATTGGCGGTGCCGATGGGGGCGCAAGAGTCGCAGCTCCACGAACAGTAGTCTGTTTAGCACGCTGGACATCCCGTTTAGCAGAAAGAATGGACTCGAAAGCGGCGAGGATGCATTTCATATTGTCTTCAATTGAGACACAAAAACGACGCTGTTGAATCATGTGCGTAGCTTCAGCAGAGTGAACATTAAGCATGACCATGACATAGGCAATGACGGCGCCAGCGGATCGTTCATTCCCAGATTCACAGAAAACAAGAACTTTCCGTTTCTGTTGTTGGCCGTCTGGTGCCATCCAATTAGTTCCCATATCCACACCAGCTAGATGGTCATTGATGCGGCGGATAGCGCGTGGAAAAGCAGAAATGAGCTCTTGGTTATCAAGGACATCAATCGTGTCCGCCATGATACCGACCTCGGCGGCTGCCTTTTCGCCAGAGACGAGGCGTGCCAGGGCCGAGTGGCGACTTCGAATAGCTAGAAGTAGTGTGAACCCTTGGCTCCGGATGTAATCGGTATCACGGAGACATGATGAAGGGCCGAGAGATAAGAATGGAAAGACAGACTGGGCTTGGCGGCGCATATCGTAGTTCCACTGGGAAGGGTTGAAGCGGCGGGTAAACCCACCCAGATCGACATGGTTGAAAAATCCCGGGCAAACAAAGTCTCCCTCTGCAAATTGGTGGGAGTCGCGGTTAAAACTTTTCATGTCGACGATTACAGTGTCATCATTGCCCGTGCCCGACAACCCAAAATAGGCTGCCCCGAGAGACCCATCTAGGCGCATGGCGCTTGGATATCGTGGCGTAGCTGTGTACTCTTGGGTGCGAACATAATGAGACTGCTCATTGTGAGACATGGGCACTTCTGTGCGTGAATTGCCGTTGGACATTGTATTCTGCAGGCCCGTGGACCGTCTGATGGGCTCTGATATAACAAGTATCAAATGCTGGTAGGTTGACTTATTGGCGAGATCATCAAATATGTCATAAATCCAAGCAGAAAAAATGCATAAATTCAGTGTCGAGGTCACTGAGAGCGAGACACACTTCGTTCCATGTAGTGAAGGTGCAGGGAACGAATGTGTCGAGTTGAATAAACCCAACCGAATCACTTAAATTCTTTCGATAGTTTGAAGCAACGTAACATCTAAATGGTAGACTTCAATAGGTTATGAATGGCTTCAAGATTGCAACATCTAACATCTTCTATGAGGGGAGAGGCTGGTTGCGCGCGGCTCCGCGTCTTGATTAGGTAAGATGCGGATTCCACCCTTGGATCCCGTACCGACCTTTAGAAGACGCCCATATATTATCTTGTTTGGGCTTCACATTTGAGACTTCCAGTTGATCATTTGCGCGTGTTCTGATCCACAGAGCATGAAGAGGGAAACGCATATTGTATGGAAGTGCAAATTGGCTTTGTACGGTCAATACCGGCAAAACATGAGGCGAGCTCGCCAATGACCTCTCAGCTAACTCGCATCACGCAAAACGGTGCAAGGTTGATAGCCAGATAAAGGTGTTTCGGTTTTAGATCCAACCTTGCAAGTTTATGGACTTCTATAAGGAATATTTTCACCCCCTTTTAAGCGACAATATCTATGTGAGATCTTTTGGGGCTATCACAATATGCCGTTACTCGGAAATGAGTTAACCCGTCATTAGATTGATTGTGCACAAACCATCCTTTGAGGTGATTTGGATAATTCATTGGTGGGATGTATATGGGTATATGTATATGACTTGTGTAATATCTTTGAATACCCCCTAAATACAAACAAAACTGCATATATTCTCGAGTGTTATACAAGTCTAGATTCGTCTCGAGCATTGCAGCGGGGAGAGGCGGGATCAATAGATGTCATTACGCTGCTCCAAAAGCAGGCATCAATGGCATGACAAAAAACCTAGCAGGGAAGATTGCGGAATTCCATATCACGGCCAAATGTAATTCACCTGCCGCGATTGGCGAAACCGGGTTGTTGATGATTTCTGATGCCAATGCACTTGTTGGAACACCCGATGAGTGCGCGAATGTAACTAAGATCCTCGGTAAACTCAGATATCTTACTGAGCAGGTTATCTTGATGAGCAGGTTATCTTACTCCGTGGGGGACTTTAATAGATTTCGTTTCAACAGCTCAAGTCGTTGGTAAGATGGCTCTGCGTTATCCCCATTGCAATCTCTTCATTTCCTATCTCAGAAAGTGCACTTGAATGGACCTAGAATAGTAAAGCCGTTGTTTTCTGATGATGCAGCTCACGGGTTTGCAGCTATAGCTTGCGCCCTTTTGGGATTGAGCAAGCTCGATCATACCATTAGTTAGCCTTAATGAACAAACGATCTCTGCAGCTCTAGCTAAATCCTAAAGAGCTGTTACCTAACAGGTATAACGGAAATCCGGATGCAAATCTCCCAGTGTCTCAAGCTGCTGAGGCAGTTCCAGATCATCAAGTGGCTCAGGGACTTTCCGCCTATATTCTGGGTCATCCTTGTGGGCATTCAGATGCCTATACAGAAGAATCGTCAAACTAGACAAGACAAAGGCAATCACGGCCAACGAAAGAATAAACTGCGAAGCAAATGGATAGTACGGTGCTTGGGTCGTAGGGAATATCCAGGTACTGATGATTCCCCCAATATTAGTGCTGATGAAAGCCATGGTGACGGCTGTGGCACGCCTAGTATGCGCGGCAGTGTTATTTGGAACCCAGCTGATGAGGCTGGTGGCAGTAGCGTAAACCCCAGTGATCATCAAGAACAGCGAGGCGTAGCGCACAGCTATGCTCCGACCCTTATAGAAGATGCAAACACCGATAATGGCAATAGCCCATGTGACCATCGCGGCAATTCCTCGTTGGCGATATCGATCGGACACATACGCCATTACCAAGGTAACAATGAAATCAGAAACAAACGGTGGCACCGTGAGCAGTTGTGTTTTCGTTGTGCTGTATCCAAACCCATTGACGATCGATGGAGTGAAGTATGCCAGGCCGAAGAGACAGACCCCGGAGCAGAAGAGCATCAACACTCGAAGCCAAACATGCAGGGAGACTAGTGTTGATAAGACCGCCTTCGAGCTAAATTGTTCGTTGCTCTGCAGGTGAATGTCCAGTCTAAGTCGCTCTTCCCATCGACGAATCTGTTCTGGTGTAAAGCCGGCAACTTCGCTTGGGTTGTTGGGAAGAACGAAAAACGCAACCATGCCGACGATGACGCTAAGAATGCCTTCAAGGCAAAAGATCCAACGCCATCCACTCAAGCCCCCTATACCATCCATTTGAACTATCGCGGCGGCTAGAAGCCCAGAAAAGGCTCCGCTTAATGCGGCGGATGCATAAAAGACGGCAATACGAAGCTGTAGTTCATGACGCCGGTAGAAAAAGGAGAGATAGAGGACTATGCCTGGAACTACGCCTCCTTCTGCTAGCCCCAGGAAAAATCGACAAGCGAGTAGGCCTCCGTAACCATTGACCAGGCATTGAAGGGTGGTGACAATTCCCCACACCACACAAAGAGACGGTAAAAGAATTCGTGGCCCGATCTTGCGTAGTGTGAGATTCGATGGAAGTCCAGCAAGAATGTATGGTACGTATGTGATAGTGATGGCTGCAAAAGCCATAGCTCAGTTTCCACCACGCAAGTATGTAGGGTCATGTCAATTTTCTCCCCTGTCTGATACTGGTTGTCTGTCAAGCGAAGATCCGTTTGCAACCCCGCCTAGATATTGTTAGCATCAAAGCCCAGTAGGTAGAAAGGGCACATTTTAGTGTTCGACACTTACTACTCGAGCATTTCCGATGTTGCCTCGGTCAAGGAAAGACATAAGGTATATGAGAGCTACCATAGGCACGATGACGAGGTCCATCTTCAGCAGTATCTTCTGATCTCCCTTATTGTTTTCTTCAGGCATCGCAAGTTCGACATGGGAATCATCATTTCGATTGTCTTTATCTCCCGCACTCTCAGTGGATTCTTGCTTGGTTAGTTTAGCAGACATTTTAGCCAGGCTGAGGCTCGAGTCTGTTGCCGGCATTTGACAAAGGGAGATAAAAGTCAGATAATGATTATTTCCGTAGCAGGACCACTTTGATTTGATCCAGATATTTCTTGATCTTGACGATCCGAGGATGGTGATGTATTTCAGTAACCAAAAGCTCTTGGAAAATGCCACAATGCCTTCCAAGTATTTATATCCCTATGGAAAGTAGGCCCAATGTATAGAGTTCCATAATTTGACCCGATAGAATGCCTACTGTTTATAGCCGAGAAAGTGGATGAAATCGATAGAGTCTTTTGTTCCATCTGATGGAGCTTTGCCAGCTGCTCTCCCATTGGGCAGATGGGACCGTCAATAAACGGAATTGGATGTGGAGGAACTGGGGAACTGGGGAAGCGGAGATGGAAGAGCGGCTAGTTCCGCGTCTCATGCCAGTCTAACCGACATCGGAGCTGGTATACCTCTCTTACCCGAGCTTTAATGGCGGAAAAGCATGCAATATACCATTGCAATGGGCTTAGAGTTTGGGGAGATAATCCGCTTTTTTTTTCAATTGCCGGAACCAGGTCAGAGGACACCCGTTGGCAAGCGAAGTCTGCATCTCAACCTACAAAAGTTGTGCTACGGCCTCAACTCAGCTGGGTCTCTTGACAGCTCAACACATTTGAATTGCAAAATCTAATTCACGATGAAAATTCTGATAACTGGCGGCGGAGGGTTCATTGGCCAAGCTTTGGCTCGAAAATTACTTCAAAACCCCGCCAACCGATTAGTCCTCACTGACAAGATTGATTTCGCCCTCCCACCAGGCTTACCAAATCCAGAGAATGCAACACTCATACAGGCAGATCTACTGGACGAAACAGATGAGGTAGTGAGATCTGACCTCGAAGTGGTTTTCATCCTCCATGGAATCATGTCGTCCGGTGCGGAGGCGAATTTTGACCTAGGTTTCCAAGTCAATTTTGATGCCACACGAAAGCTCTTGGACTCGATAAGGAACACTGCTCCTGGAATCCGTGTTATCTACGCATCGAGTATTGCGGTTTATGGGCGACCATTTCCCGAAAGAATCACAGAGGACGTCTTTCTTGCGCCGGAAGGATCCTATGGAGTACAGAAAGTCATGTGCGAAGCTTTAATCAACGAATACACGAGACGGGGCTTCATTAACGGCTTTAGTGTCCGTTTGCCTGGGATAGTCGTTCGACCTGGCCTGCCCGCACAAGCAGCGAGCAGTTTCCTCAGTGGGATTATCAGAGATCCCCTGGCTGGAAAAAGGTGTCTGGTGCCGACTACGGATCGCTCAAAGGAATTCTGGGTTTGCTCTCCGAAGGTGTTGGTCTTGAATCTTATCAACGTCATGTCCCTTCCACGTCATGCATTGCTTCTTCATAAGCGAGGGTTGAATCTTCCTGGGTCATTGGTCACTATTCAACAAATGAGAGACTCTCTTGAAATGGTTGGAGGACGGGACAAGTTGGACCTCATCGAGGAGGTTGAGGACGCTGAGTTTGCACAGTTAGTGTCATCGTGGCCGGCCAACTTTGATGTGTCCCTGGCTCTGAGACTTGGCCTTCGCCAGGCGGAGGGCTTTGACAAGGCGGCTGAGGAATACGTACAATTTCTTGAACAATCCAAAGTCAAAACATGTTAAGCTACACGTCTGTACAATAGCAGCCCCTAAGCCCCATTATTTGGATCTTCCGAGCGGTGATCGATGTGTTTACAAGGGGCAGTGTGATATACTATAAACTGCAGTTATTGATATTGCCATAAAATAGCTCGTCCCACATGGATGACCTTTCATAGGCAAATTGAAGAATTATTTTCCACATTGTTAGCTTAACTGCTATAGCCGGCAAATTTCTACCGCTCCATCTGCTGTCATTAGAAGGATTCGAAGCCGAAGCGAGCAGTCTACAAAACCCGCTCTATCTACTCCCAGCTAAGGAATATATTAGTTACTGGAGAGCTGGAGACATAGACAGCAAGCCGGCTAGGCTACCTCTTCCTCATAGCTTGTCATTGCTAGTGACAGTAGCGATGGTTATATTATATAGATGAGTTGCGTGTTTCCTTTGTTTTACCGAGGAAGTCATCGAAATATCGATGATGCCATCTAGCAAGCCTTCGTTTTATGTGCTCTAGTTTGGCTAGGAAACCAGGAGCTTCATGGTTGGCATTTCAAGAACCGCACCAAGTCACGAATGCTGCGGAATTCCAAGCAAAGCTCGGTATAGCTTCCCAAGATATAGCTGCCCTCTATGCAGGTATAAAGGCAGGTAGACAGTCAAGTTGTCAAGACTTTTATGTTCACTTGTCACTCCCGAGACGAAGAACTAGGCTCTCATCGGCTAGAAACAGGAATGGGCCTAGCAATTTGCACTAAGTGTTGAACCTAGCACGTGAGATTAAAGTGATGAGACCTGGATATATTACGGGATATACTTTCTCTCACAGATTGTGTAGATCGTCTGGGCCGAGTAGACTTCATCTCACAGGTTCGTGAGCACGGCTGCACATTTTCACCTTGTGTCTCACAACGCCACTTTCGTCTGCGACAATTTTCGCACGATATCGGGGTTTGACAGCGCTTGGCATCTGTAGGCGAATGTCGTTGATTCATGGACAAGAAGGAAACTGGCGGTTTCAGATGGGCTGGCCATTATATCAGATGTTACCTTATATGTGAGATTTGATGCTCATTGGCAAGCCAGTAGCGGATAAGTTATTACTCAAGTACGGTCACGGGGTAATACCTCGAACAGGTAGAGACGTCAAGTTTTGTGGTAGTGCGTAAAAACGATTCTCCGAAGTCGATTATCTTGACCAATTGGGTTGGATTCCAAGAATATTTCCGATAATCGCACCGCCCACACCGGGTAGTGTGTTGTGGGCTATATATCCGTGCTAGGCTTTCGTCTTTTCTATCTCTCCTTCGGACATAGCCAATTTCTGGTTTTTCTAGCATCTTAGTATACCGTTGGGTTAAATTGTTCCCACGGTTTGGAAAATCCACCTGGCTATTGCAAGCTACCGAGAGCGCAATTAAGCGTGGGTCGCACGACAGCTGGCTCAAGTCAAAGCTCCGGATAGAACTACGCAGCTTATCTTATGGCTTTCTCACTACTTACGGCGTTTAAACCGTACGTTGATATCCCATTCAACGTATGGCTTACCATCATCCTCATCCTCACCTATGGGTGTGCTCTTCGAAACCCGGGCCTGCTTTTGCTCGTCGTTCTTGGGGCCAGCGCGACTATATTCGTATTTAACACAACGGCTACTCTCGGCGAAATGACCAAAACCATGTGTGAACTTCCCTTGGGCCTCGGCTCTGTCCTAATGTTCCTCGTGGCGGATCGGTCTTTACAGACGAGATTTCTACCCGCCTTTACGACCTATGTAAATTTTGCGGTGTACGCAAACATTGGCATGATGGTCGGGACTCCCGCAGGTGGCACCCTTCGGGGAATGTGCAGCAAAATCACCTGCGTTGCCCTCTTCGTTTGGATCGTCCAAAAAGGACGCCGCGTTGGATGGAAGACAGTCATAGTTCACGATAACTTGTTCGTCTTCACTGCTGTCAGCAAATCGTGGATATTTGCACACGCATGCTATCGATTCGTTCTCTTGACATTGCCGTGCTTTGGGTCTGGACGCCGGTATCGCCTTCTAGAGTTATACTCTCTCACTTTAACGTTCGCCCTGTCGTCAACTTCAAAACTTCCATTCGAGTATTTCTTTGGGATGGCCGATACGTTGGTTGTTCCGGCGATTACCGGATGGTCGGCAATTGCAACAACGTTCAATCTAATACCGCGCGATACGGTAAACGACGACTTACTCTCGAGTCGTATCGGGACTGGTGCAGATGCATTTCTGAGCGCGGTGTTACTAGCTGTTGCCGCTTTTGCTTGTTTTAAGATAGCTAGCGCGCCGCGATGAGTTTTGTGAGGATGATCGACTCAGCTATTAATGAATTTGTACAATTTGCTATAGTTTGACACTTTCTCTAGTGGAGCCATTTAGTTAAGATTAGCTGTGCACGACAAAGTGGATTGCTGGATCAGTTTGTGCGTATGGTTAGTCTTTCGTTGATTCTTGCCAGCTTGTGCAAAGAAAGAGTGAGAGGAATGCTCTTTTTGAAACTTAGCCTTACTTCCTCGCAACGGCGATGTAGCCTCTAACCACGCCTGTTCTGCACCACCAATCAAACATCCTCGCCGCGTACTGAAATGACCAATTGACAAGCCATGCTGTTACTTTTCGGTTTCGCTTTCTTTAAGAATCCGGCCAACTGCCCGAACACGTTTTCTTAAAAGTCGCGAATCTGGATGCTTTCTCGTCCGTAGCCGGCCGTGACAAGTCGTGCCCGATACTCTTAAATTGTGACCTAATTCGCGAACGGACTCTGGCCAAGGAAAGCCGTCAATTTGAGGTTAATGCATTGCCCCACGGACGGATTCTCCAAGCTCCTTAACGACAGGAAGAGCTCTACACGTTCCAGCACGGGAAAACTGATTGAAGAGTGACGACACTAGGCCAGAGAAAGAGAGTTTGTGGTCTCTTTCTTTATCCTTTTACGAGATATCCAATAGCTCCTATGGAGTGCGGCTCTAGAATGGAAGGTGATATTTATTTGATATATCATCACGGCCAGACTCTGGAGCTCCATAATTTATTATAGAGCTAGCCTCGGTGATCCCCGCTTTTATATATCGCTTTTGCAAGATTTTCCAATTTAACAACCATTTATCTATATCTATGTCTGTATCTAGACCTCTATCTAGATTTCTATATACCACACGAAGGTCTGCTTTATATGTCGGGTCACAATCCGGTGACAGCCACTAACGCAAATTTCTAAGCCGTCCCTATAGTGCCTCCTGGTCTATAAAGACCTAGTATTGCTTATGAATGCTTTACCGAATAGCATTTGCAACTACCTTTCTGTCTGAGAGCTTCTTCTTATAGACACTGAGTTTTCTCTTATACTACGTATTCATTGCGCCATACATATAAAACTAGTCTATTAGATGATCCTTCTTTAGATCCTCCTAAATCGGCTCGATTAGCTCTTTCGGCAGTGCGGGTTTTATATCTAACTCCAGATCATATAGATCCTAGATCTCGAACTGCTCCGCAATTGTTTTTAATATTAGGAGCTACAGCTCCCATATCGATAAGTCCTTCAAGGTCACCCGAGAGGACAAATTCGTGGAGAGAGTGTAATCCGACATCGTCAGGATTCAATAGTCGTTCGCCGGTTAGGTTTCCGCCATTGATACTTCTTAGGGGTAGGTCTGGTCAGGCACAATTAGGAAGCGAAATGCATAGCGACAAAGCCACATGTTTACAGGGTAAAAGGACAGGATTATCCTATATCTTGATAGTTTCTTTTATGCCGGAGGAATTGACGGGAGGTTACGTGACTAAATCTAAAAAGGCAAAACCAACCGGATGCAGTAGTTCGGCCGTTTACAAAAGCAACAAATCTCACAAGGACTATATGCAACTGAATATTGGTTTCATTATCCGCTATTTGTGTAATCGGACAGAGACAAATTCTTGGCGAATGCCGCACCACCGGAGCAGTGCAGAAAAGCCACACAATAGATACAGACAGCCATGTCCCAGATATGAAAAAAGGGGACCCAATGGATATTCCAATGGGGACGAAAGATATTCCGGGCCAAGAGCCTTCAAAATCAGAACAAAAATAGTAAGAAAGCCCGTAGCAGAGGAGCAACGACCGTAGAGAAAGTCAATAAATCCGTGCGTCACTCACACCGGAACATAAGGATCGACAAGAAAAAGGGGAGATCATACCCAAGACAGAAACGCCTTGAGAGTAAAGAAATTCGTAATGAGCGTCTGGGTGAACGCAGAAATAGAACCCGCCGATGATAAAAAGAATCCACAGGAAAGCTGAACGAAACACAATATGTACAAATCGGGTGAAGACGCCCACGCTGTCGAAAGTGGGAAAAAAGCAGGGGGGAGTAAAGTGATGTCTCAAAATAATTTCCAGGATGTCGCTATGCCGAGGTTGCGCCGTAAATCGAAGTAAAAATATCAAAATCAAAGCTTACGACTGCGGCCGGTCATTTGCTGGTGCCGTCTGATTGGATGACTTTTCTTTGTCCTTGGGTTTCCAGAAGTGCATCATTCGGCTGAGACGGCGGCCCTTCTTCTTCGTTTTGTCGGAGGCGGTGCTAGGGGGTTTCTCCTCCTGGTTGAGCTTGCTCCGCTCAGAATGAGGACCACCGACTAACTTGGAAAGGCTGGCTAGACTAGAGCGTTTGGAGGCGTTAGCCTGGCTGGTGCGTCTGGTACCAGCAGCCGAGAAGGACGCTGCGCGGTCAGCAGAAAGACGTCCACGGGGAAAGAAAGAAGCTGCCGAGAAACGATTCAGAGTGTTGGTCATGGTCGATGCACTGCTGGTCAAAGATGGAACATCTTCAACTGATGCATAAGGATAGTCTGCCGAAGGAAGATGATGATACGAGTGACTGGAAAAGTTTCGGTCCGTCATCGAGGACTCCGCAATTGACCGCGGAGCATCCGGAGACGGGAACGACGAGTCAGACGGCGAAACCCCTGGCTGTAACGTGAATGGAGGAATATTAGGCAGCAGTTCGATGGGCGAGGTCGCCGGTCGCTTGTCGATAGCTAGGAATCGAGGAGAAACGTCGGGACTGGGAGGCCCAATCGCTTTATGCCCAGGGTCTTCCGTCTTCAAAATTTCCACGGGTGTTCGAGGCTTGCCATTGAAAGGATTGCTGGCAGTATGGACCTGCTCACGGGCACTCTTTTCCTCTGGCTGTTGCTGGTTCAGCTGTTTATCGCCTTGTCGAATACCCAGGCCAGCATTCTGCGAGGAGATACTACCCGTCGGGGGACGAGTCAGAGTATCACTACTGCCAGCGGTATTGTTGCTGTGAATAGATTTCGCATCATCTTCCGATGACGAGAAAACTGCGTTGTCGATCGCTGGCGCGTTCACCGGAAGGCGCTCGCCCTTGGGTGACTGGGAAGCAGCCAGGAAAGCATCCTCTTCCTCTTCATCAAACACATCGGGGGTTTCCACTGCCGAGGTCGGACCCAAACGGAATGCGCCGAGAGCAGAGCGGTCGAATGGTTGCATCGCCGGAGCGCTTTCCGTGCGCCGATGATACCGCATCTCTGGGCCGACAAATTCACCCCGTCTTCCGCCGCTGTACATCCGCTGAGTTGCAACCGAAAAGTTGTTGTTGGGCGCACCCTGCGTCACCGGTCGCATGTCGGGAGTGTTGAAAGGACCAAGCGCAGCATCGAGGTCAATGATAGGGCTACTTAGTACATTGTCGTGTGGGCCAACACCCTGTTCGTAGAAACTCCTCGGTTTCCACGAGGTCTCTAGAGTTTGTGCAGACAACAGACAAGCACCCTCGGTTTGACGATTGTTTTGAATGGGCTCGAGGGCAGAAGGAGGCATTGTCGGATTGGTCGGGGTTCGGATGACAACGACATCGTCATTATCAAAATCAACATCCAAAACCGATCCGGTCCCCGAGTTGGTCCGAGTAAGAGCAGGGGGACGAGGCGCAGGAGTGCGAGGTACAGGCGGCTCCTCCTGTGTGTCAGACTTCGCATGGCGCTTTCCCTTACCTTTGCTCTTCGTTCGAGTTAGAATGTGACCGGCCCAAGAGCGAACCCGCTTCTGCTTCTTCTTTTTAGACTTGATAGACGATTTGTTGTCAGGCGAGTTCTCCGTCGCTTCATCGCCAGATGTATCTGAACCATCGTCCGAAAATGAAGGTCGGTAGTCGTCCGTCGAGTGAACATCATCGGGCAAGAGAGTAGAATCGAGATGTGGTGTTGATTTGCTCTTTCGAGAGCGTGAGTGCCCAGCGGCTGAGTGCGAACGCTTGATAGAGGATGCTGAATCGTCATCCATCTGCATGAAATCCATCACCAAAGAGGCGTCGGCAGTTTTCGGTCGAGGTTTTGGGTTGTAATGAGGCCTTGGCGTGACCCGATCTGAGAAAGTCGGCTTTTCCACCTGCTGCTGGGCCTTGATTGTGGTTGCACTGTCCGAAGTACCATGCGAGACAGCGGAGATAGGTCGTTCGGGATTTGGGGGTTGGTTGTTTAAGGCCATTTCCGCTTGGATGGCAGCCGGAATGGGAGGCACAGGAGGGACGGGAGGGAACTGAGGAGACGCAGGTGGCGTGGGGCGTCCGAGACTAACAGCCGATTGGGAGAGCGGCCGCGAAGAGACATCAGATGTAGATTTGTGGTAAGGGTCGGCGGGTGTAGTAGGCGCACTTCCCACTCCAGAATTAGGACCGAGTGCCTTGGTGATAACATTCAAGTCGACACCAGAGATCGCAGCCGAACGTCGATGGGCATGATTCCGTCGTCCAGGAACTCTCCCAACACCAGGCCCCGGAGGCGGAAGAGGTTGATCTGCCATCGAAGCCGCCCGTCTGTGACCGGTTCCCAACATATCCGGTGCTACCAAGTGGTCAGTTCCAAGAAACTCGCTTGGTCGCCGACGGTGTCCGCCCGCGCGAGGAGCTGACAAGGACGGTGCTGAGAGGTGTGGTGACTGCTGTTCTGATCCGGGATTAAAAGAGAAGGCGGGCAATGCGACCCGTTCCCGGTGCTCAGGGGTCTCCGATTGGGTGTTGGGGGCATCGGGGTCCCGTGCTGGAAAGACAAATGGTGGATTAGGCAATGGTGCATGCATGTGTTGGCGACGAGGGCTGGCGGAGAGGTTCGAGGTATCGAAATGTGGCGGGAAGCCCTGGGACTGCGGAGGAAGTGAAAGCGAAGCCATGGTTGAAAACAGAAAAAACAAAAGGATGTAAAGGAATTTAGCGGAGTGACAAAAGCCCAAACAAGATCCAGGGCAGGAGACCTCCAGACCGACTTCCCTTCAGCGAGAAAGCCTAGGAATCTGGAGGTCAAGATTAAGCACGGGTGAGGGTCATTGAAACTTCCGCGCCAGGCAGAAAAGTAAAATCAAAAAGTATCCAAAAGTATGGAAAATGAATGGACGGCCACGACGAAGGCCAGAGAGGGAGGGAGGGTTGACAAGTTGGTCGTAGAGAGGTTGAAGAGAGAAGAGAGAGAACAACAAATCCAGGAGGGGAACCTGGAAGGCTGAAATTACCATACACGGTATCACCCGCATCCGGGACAAACCAAGATTACTACTAATTATTACGCCAGGGCCTTAAGGTTCAAAGTAATCTACTTCTCTCTTAGGAAAGGGTGCAATCCCTTTTATCTCCCCTGAAGGATTTGAATAGAATACAGTATTTCAAATACAGACACCTCGGGGCAGATGCCAGATTAGGTGACATCTGTCAAAAACCAAATAGGAAAAGAAAAAGATCAGGAATGTGAGCTTAGTCACTCTCATATTACACCTATTAAACAATGATACTTACTAAATAGAGGACGTCATGACTTGGATAGAATTTAGCGTTCCTCCCAAAAAAAAAAAGTGGTTCAGTTCGTACTCTTGCCTCCACTGTATATTGTACGATGTCTGTAAAAGAAGCACCTCTTGTAATCCTGGGGTCCTTAAACCACCAATCACCAGGGAATCACATCCGGAGAAAAAAGCGGGTACTGTGCCTGCCAATCATTCGGTCTGAATGAACATCCAAATCTCGCTTGATTCGGTGGGTCCGGAAGGATAGTGCGCCACGCTGGGGGGCTGCAAGTCAAGGGGATTATATCGTCGGGGAAGAGGGTACTCACTGCCGAGCCAAGACTAGGCCTTGCATGTGTCAATAGGACTTCTCATAGCTTTATCAAAGTTCACATTTTCCTATGTGGATGTGGATGCCGGGAGATTGTCAGACTTGAAACCGAACTTTCATTCTCCCATTGCTTATCTTGGCTGCGGAGTCGGATCGGATATAAATAGTGGCGCGAGACATATCTTAGCGCCATTCGACAGGGGTGGAAAGATGAAAGACAAACGGACTTGCTGTGAAACATTATTACCCCCTAGCGTTCGGTGGACCGGTTTCTTTGTTCGGTCCAATAACGATGGAGGCTTTGACGTAGTTTGGGGGCAACTAGGTCGTGGGGGCTGATCGTCATGAAATCAGTTGGGGATAATGGCAGATTCTGGATTTGAATCGCGAAATGGCCTGCATATGCAGCTGTACCACGTCTTTAAAAGTTGAAACCGAGTAGTTCGTCGTTTCTCACCGTTCTACTCTAGACTAATTTACATTAGAACTATGCTAAACGCTCCGATACACTGTACTGAAATTGAAGATTAACAAGTGTGGATCTGATTCGCGAACCATGCCAAGGCAAAAGGAAATTAGCAGTGTACACATCGACAATTAATTCACGGATATGCGGGCAGGAAAAAATATCTGCTTACAAGCTTCGGATATGCCCGACTGTGATATCACCGAAGTATCGAGATGGGCCAGTTAGAATAAATCGAACCATGGAATACATAATCTGGGGCAATTAATTAGGCCGAAATTTCGCCAAACTCTGGTAACATCTACTCTTACATTCATGAAGTATAGAGAAAAAAAAGACATAATTTTATACGCCAAAAAACACTGGACACTAATTCAAATGTATGTAAAACCCGAAAACAAACGTTGATCTATGCATCACTGTCAGACTCGACCTCATCTTGCTCTAGGTGCTTCTTCCGCTCCTCATTCATCTCTCTATATGTGCTGAAGCTCAGCATGAAAAATGCCACCATAATTAAAACACCACCAATGATAGAGGCCATAGAAAGGGGGTCTCCGGTTCGGAACCAGTCCACCAGAGCGACGAGGAAGATGGTAAGGAGAGCGGCTACTGATGACAGAACGGGTGATGTGAGGGAGATGAGCACAAGGAAAGAGCCCGAGAATGCTATTTTAGTGTTAGCCTCTGTATCTGCGTTGAAAACGCTGATCTGGAACTTACTAGCATTGGCACCCACGGAGATGATCAGCATCCATGCTGCCTCACCAGTTGGCCATTCAAATGTCTCCAAACCTGTCCAGTGCAAAAATGGCAATGGAATCCATAATACTAACAGGGTGAAAACCCCAATCAGACTGCCAAAAGTATTGGCAAAGATCGTACCCCGGCCAGGGCTGGTACCTTCCGGAGGACAGGCGAAGCGTTTATAGAGCACCTCGTAAAGGCCATAGAGGATACTTCCAATGCCGATGACGACGTTTCCGAGCAACCTGTTCTGCGTCGCGCGGTCTTCCACGGTCTCGCCTCCCTTTGAGGGCTTCTTATCAGGTCGATCCCCGTAGGCAACGACCATAACACCTATGGTAGCTACGGCCACGGAAAAGACCTTGTCGAACCGCAATTTCTCGTTTAATAGCGGAATCGAAAAGGCATACGCGAAGAAGGCCGAGCAATTGTAGATTGCCGTGAGGTCACTGGCAGTGGTCATGTTGACTGCCACGTACCACGATCCTCCGGCGACTGTGAGCGCAGTAGTCACAAAGGCGGTGGTTCCCAACATATAGCGGACCGGGGATCGATTGGACGCGCGAGAGCTTAGATGTACTTCCTGGGATTCTACCATCTGCGCAGTGGTGCGAATGTGAGAGATGTGGCGCCGCCAGAAAGCATCCCACGAGAGCTTGCGTTTCTGTAACCGAAGGATACCTAGCTGGACCAGCCAGAGCAAGGACCATGACCCGTGTGTCATATAGCTGCACAGGGAAAGAAATGGTAAGCATTTACATTCCGGGAAATGGGTTTCGCATGGGCTTGTCGCTGGCATCTTCGCGTTCGGACTTACAGCATGCAATATGGCTTCTTCCAACCCAACTCATTTTGAATGTATGAAGCTGTCTCTGTTTGAACGACGAAGCTAATCAAACTGAGCAGGAGGAATCCAGACGCAACCATGTACTTCTTGCGGGTTGCTTGGGCAGCGTCGTGTTCCGGACTTTTACTCCGGATTGTCGGCCGTCTGGTTTCGTGCAGCATGGGCCGGCCTTCCGCATCGCCATGGCCGAAGCTGGAGCGAGACCGGCGATGATGATCATCTTTTAGGAGGGGTTGTTGCGAGCGGCCGTCTGTTGGTCGGTGTAATGGGGGGCGATTGACAACCATCTCGTCGTCAGAGTCGAAGTCGTAGACCGAGTCCGGGGTAGAGGTCACCCGCGGCTCTGAAAGCTCAAAACTATCCGAAGCCACAACGTCGATGGGGAGGGAAGGTGCTAGTTGGCTTAACTACCTCGGAATGAATACCGCCGTCAGGGGTGTTCTTGTCCGATTTACTGCGCTTGCGGCGAGCGATAAGGGATAAGGAGCCAGGATGTCCACCAGTGAATCGTCAGAACGCCACTCATCCAGGTGATGCAGAAAATGTGGCTAGAGTTTATTCTTCAAAAGGTTACCCATGAAGCCTATTCCACGTGTTCAATATTCCCTGCACTGTGTTCACAGGATACATGCGACTCGGCACTGATCAGGAATAGGTGTAGCTTGAATGGTAGGTTAAACCAACTGAGTAAGGGTTGTATCAGATGCGAATCAAAACGAAGAATTTATCAAATAGAAACACTCGGATTGAAGATCAGAAAATGAAATGAGGCGTAGCAAAATGACCGCCTTCAGGTGTCGTCACATCCACTTGTTACCTAAAAACAGGACCCCTGTGAGTATTAGCACGTGACTTCCAACGCGCTACCCCAGATCCGGGCTAGCGTGCTATGTGTCATCGGGGTATTTCTAATCTGGGAAGGTTCGTACTCGAAGGATTTGAGGGGAAATGAAAATTAGTGAACATGTGGTCTGTGGATATATACCTGTAATGTACGGTATTAATATCTATCCTAATGATCACAAGAGCAGCTGACCATTATCACATGTTTGGCCTTGCCCCAGAAATGTTGGACTGTATTGGATAGCCTCAAAATTCCTTGAATATCGTTATTGGCTCTGACTAGCTACCATTCATATCATGGTCCTATTGACGATATTTAACATGCCCCTTTCACCTTAGACCTTAGGTCCAAACACCGCCTTCTGAGTATCATAAGTATACTCTAGATCGAGATGCCAGTAATTGGGAGAATTGGCCTTGGCAACCACCCAAGCCTGGTCCAAGGCCTGTACGACCTCTTCCGGGAGCGGACCTTTCTGGAGGTCGGCAAGGTTAGTCTCAAGCTGGGTGAAGCTGCTGACTCCCACCAAGACTCCATCACGACCGCCATTATCCATTCTCAGGGCAGAGTGATGGTGGACCCAGCGAAGAGCCGTCTCCAGCATTGTGAGACCGTGTTTCTCTACCACGGGCTCAATGATACTCAGAGCTTCGAATGTGGCATCTCTAAAGTAACGTTTGCGATAATTGAGTCCGTCAGAGCTCGAGTCGCTGTATCTACCTTCGGCAGGGATATCTGTCGACTTGTATTTTCCGGAGAAAATACCACCGGCCAGCGGATTGTAGATAACGATATCAAGACCGTACCTGTGGCAGGCGGGAACGAGCTCCGTCTCAATGTTGCGTGCTATCAATGGTGTCAGCTCATTGGCCGAAATCTGAGATATCGAAAACAAGAGAAAGGGCATCACCTACTAATCGCGTTATACATGGCCTGGTAAATGGTGGGACGGACCCATCCCCTCTCAGCACAAAGGATGCAAATCTCGGCCACTTCAAAGGCTGTAAAGTTGCTCAGACCTAGCTGTACGAACTTGCCCTCCTTGTGCAGCTGGTTAACAGCCTCGAGAGTTTCCGCAAATGGAGTGGCGCGATCTGCTGCATGTAGATAGAAGATATCGACTGTGTCGGTTCCCAACTCCTTCAAAGAAAGCTCCAACTTCTCACGGACGACCTCCGGCTTGTGAAAGCCGGGTTGACTCGGGTACCATTTTGTGGCCAGAGTCAGTCCACGCGACTTCCAGTTCGCCTTGGCTGTAAATGCTTCCTGTTCTCCGTCGATGTAGACACGGGCGGTATCGACTTCGTTGAATCCTTGCTGCTGGAAGTAATCAAGGCATTTGTTGAACTCATCCAGTGAGGTAATCCGAGCACCCTTGGCTTCGGTTGGGCCAAAGGTCATCAACCCGAGAATCACTCTGGGTTGAGGGTTTTGTGCGATGAGAGGCATCATGCGAATTGGTTTCTTTTCGTTTGGGAGGTTTGTTGTGAGTTGAAATGACGTGCGAGAATGGCGGGGGCTGCTGGGTGGAGTGGCTCTCTTATATGATGCTCTGGGGCCCTCCAGGGCTCGGGATACGAGAGTTTGTAAGCCATCCAAGGGTGATAACCAATAAATTCCAAGAATATCCAGACATCATAAGCATAGACCATGAGCCTTGCCTCTCTCAGTAAATGCTAGCGAAGCCACCACATGTAGTACAAGAAGCCGGACACCTTTTGAGAAGTACATAGCCCGCTAACCTCCCAAGAGATGGTGGGGTTGCTGAGAATCCCGATAACGGATAACGGAGCTCATTGCACCCTCCGGGCATTCATTTCTTCCGAGTAAAGAATTGTCCTTCCTTTCTATTCACTTCACCTTATCGGTCTAAAAATGAGTTCTCTTGAGCTACGATATGATGCAAGCGAAATCATCCGGCTGGATCCGACGAAGGGCGAACGGGATTATAGCATATTGATCATCAATCCCAATACGTCAAAGCACATGACGGAAGCTCTGAAGCCCATATTGGCTAGCATGAACTACCAAGATGTGCACTTCGAGTACTTCACTGCGCCAGACTCAATTGTGGAGGTCGACGGAGTCGAGATTGGGCCAATTGCCAGCATCAACAACGCCGAGGAATCATGCAAGTCGGCCTTGAACTGCTGGCCCGTACGGGATTTTATCGGCCATTACGACGCTTTTCTTGTAGCGTGCTACTCCGCGCATCCATTTGTCGGTAGACTCAGAGAAGACATCGCGGCAAGTGAAGAAGCGAGCTCGACGAGAAACAAATACGTCACCGGAATCTTTGAAGCATCCATCACCGCCGCGCTCTCCTTGGTTAGTGGTTTTGCATTAAACGATCACGATCCAATCAATCCAGCAGCTAGGCTACATAAGTACCAACAGAAGGGCAGCTTTGGCATTGTGACCACCGGCTCCGCATGGAAAGAGGAGCTCACCAATGCGGTCCAGGGAGCCCTGGGTTATGACTATGAGGACGGAAGCTCTATGCACTTTGTGGGCGTTGAGACCACCGGTCTGACAGCGGTTGAGCTACACACCACGGAACCAGAGGAAGTGCGACGGAGGATCATCGACGCTACCCGCAACCTGCTTCGGAACTCGGCATCGCGTGTCAAGGTTGTTTGTCTGGGCTGTGCAGGTATGGCAGGCATGGAGGAAGCTGTACGGGAGGGGTGTATTCAGGAATATGGAACTGAAGGTCGACGTGTACGAATTGTCGACGGCGTTGTTGCCGGCGCTGGAAACCTCATCACAGCCTTGAAGGCGGGATTCTGAGTGGTTCAGTGGTCTAGGGCGACGGATGACCAATTAGAAGCATTATTTATTTGTGCTGGAGGTAAAAATTTCAGCATAGCTCAGCAAATTAAAAAGCATTTAAATTTAGATTAATCAACGTTCATTCTTGCGCAGATTTGTTTTAAATGCCATAAAATGTTGTTGATGTTCAACGTGTGAGGTAGCAAGAGCTTCTGCCTGAGGCAACTATATCGGCCAAAAAGTTCCCCGCGTGAACGCGATACGCGTTAACGAGTAGCAACACTCGACGGCTTCTACGAAGGAAATATGCCAAGGTGTGTTCATTCTTTTGATTGAATCATATTAGCGGGCTCCCTGTCCAGCTTGAACACTGATGCTAATATTGGTGGCAATTGCAGAGAAATCATCACAATCCAAGCCGGCCAGTGCGGCAACAACGGTATGTGGCTCACCTCCGCGATCCATTCCACGAAACCCTTGATCCTGTGATTTCGAACGGAGTATGAGAAAATATAGTTCATGTCGCTAATATCCCATATCTAGTCGGCAGTCAGTTCTGGCAGCAGCTGTGCCAGGAGCACGGAATCAGCGCAGATGGAAACCTAGAGGAGCATGCGACTGACGGGGCGGCTGGTGATCGCAAGGATGTCTTCTTCTACCAGGTGTGTATAGGAAGATTGGGAGAACATGGTTACGGCCTTAGCAAGAACACTGGCTAACATGCGAGGGCAGAGTGACGACACCAGGTACATCCCTCGAGCGATCCTCCTCGACTTAGAACCCAGGGTAGGCTACCCTTCACCGATATGTCACGTCGACACACGATGATTAACGCATAAATTCTTTCCAGGTGCTCAACGCCATCCAAACTGGCCCCTACAAGAATATTTACAACCCCGAGAACTTCTTCGTCGGACAACAAGGTATCGGAGCTGGAAACAATTGGGGTGCCGGATATGCTGCCGGTGAAGGCGTACAAGAGGAGATTTTCGATATGATCGACCGTGAAGCAGACGGAAGTGATTCACTAGAGGGATTTATGCTTCTACATTCGATCGCAGGAGGAACAGGCTCTGGACTGGGAAGTTTCATCCTAGAACGCATGAACGACCGCTTCCCGAAGAAACTCATCCAAACCTACTCCGTCTTCCCGGACACGCAGTCCGATGTCGTCGTCAACCCTTACAACAGTTTGCTTGCCATGCGGCGATTGACCCAAGATGCCGACTCCGTGGTCGTCCTGGACAATGGCGCCCTATCACGAATTGTCGCTGATCGACTCCATATTCAAGAGCCCTCATTCCACCAAACTAACCAGCTCGTGTCAACTGTGATGTCTGCATCCACAACTACACTACGATACCCTGGATACATGCACAACGATCTCGCCGGGATCATCGCCTCGCTCATCCCCACGCCACGCAGCCACTTCCTTCTCACATCATACACACCTTTCACCGGCGCCAACATCGAACAAGCCAGGACAGTTCGAAAGACAACGGTGCTAGATGTCATGCGTCGACTGCTACAGCCTAAGAACCGCATGGTCTCCGTTAACCCCAGCAAGTCCAGCTGCTACATAAGCATCCTCAACATCATTCAGGGTGAAGCCGACCCGACCGACGTGCACAAGTCACTGCTGCGCATTCGGGAGCGCCGCCTGGCCTCCTTCATCCCCTGGGGTCCTGCCAGCATCCAGGTGGCTCTCACTAAGAAATCCCCGTACATAGAGGAAACCGGGCACCGCGTCAGCGGGTTGATGCTGGCCAACCATACCTCTGTGGCGACACTCTTCAAGCGTATCGTGAAGCACTACGACATGCTCCGCAAGCGCAATGCCTTCTTAGATTCATACAAGAAGGAAGCACCATTTGCCGACGGACTTGGCGAATTCGACGAGGCACGGGCCGTTGTGATGGATCTGATCGGCGAATACGAGGCAGCGGAACGGGAGGACTACCTAGACCCTGATGCCGGCAAGGCAAATGAGCTTGGAGTATGATATGAGATGCTGTGATTTCAGATCTAGCCTGTTTCTTTTTACCTTTTTGCTATTTGGGCAGGGCAAGGGGGGTTTGGGCGCATCATCGGTGTCTGCGTGTCTGCGCCGGGGTTTTATTCACATTTACATTTTCCTTTCCTTTTTTTTTTGCTTCCGTTCTCCACCCTACCAGTGGACATATCAAACCAATCCACGCTAGTCGCTATTTAATATTCATCACGAACACGTAGCCCGTATAGACGGTGTCGACGTGGTAGGATTGTGATTTGTACCGATTAGCGTGTGTAGAAGGGATCCGTGGGTAGTACTATATAGTAGTAGATAAGGCGATGTGGAGATGTGGAGATGCGGAGAGAGACGGTGAAATATTGGGTAGCGGGATCGGCTCTCGCTGGAGGCACTTTAGGCCTAACCCGGGAAATGTACGGAGTAGACGGAGTTGAAAGGCACACCTGTGCAGGCCTGCAGTCCTGCACAGGATGCTCTTGCCGACGCAATAGCTCCACGCGGATCATCTGTGCTTAGACGGACTTGGCTCAGTCGACTCGTCCATTTGTGCTCCGTATCGAAGATCACTAAAGCATAGCTCCTTTTGTCGACTTGCACTGTGGCTTTTTTTTCTTCTCCCTTTTCCATTTTGAGTCGTATCATTGGGTATGTAGTCCTTGGGTAGGATATAGTAGAGTCATGTTGCCTGAGTACCATAGTATGATAAGTCCGGGCGAACACCTTGCCACCCTGGTGGCGCGGCAAAACGGAAGACCGATATTTGGGTTCGCTTCCAAGGTTTGTCTAATTCGACTCTAGTCAGTGTTGGTTCAGAGATATGTACACCTGACTCCTGAGTCATCATGTGAAGGCCCTTGAATGCACGGGCAATTCAACATTCCGATCATTGGGCCCGAGACCAGGCTGGATACGCGTGTACCGCGTGGGTATCAATAAAGTCAAAGAAAAAAATATTAATGAATGGCAAAAAAAAAACTCTTCAAACTCTTCAAACTCTTAAACTATATAGAGTATGTACTCCGTATAGGGGGGTCCAAGGATATGTAAAAACCCCATCTATATAAAAACCAATTAATTCCAATAATTCCAATTCCACTCCAATTTCAAGCCAATTAAATTCAATTAAATCCACAAAAAAACCCGACTAAAATCTAAAAAAAATCCACCTCAAAATCCCAAATTGCCTAGCCCCAACATAACTTTGGGAACTCCACTGATTCCGTCACTGTCGCCTCACTGAGTCAGCCCTTTCTTTGGCCTTCTCCCGTGTCTTCCGACCCTATATATAGGCCGGTCATGCTGGTTTATCTCCCTCCCTCCCCCCTTTACTACTTTCCTCTCGCTCTTACACTTGAAACCCGGGCGCTTATCTCAAACCCTTAACTGAGCGCCTAACTCTATTGCTACTTCTACTCCCTATTTATCTCTCCTCTCTACCGCAGAAGTACCTCTATACCCCTCTCTCCAAATCTCCTCTACAAAACCAAATCTCCTCTATCAAACGACCATACCACAATGCCTCCCCGCAAGCCCCGTTGCAACTTCAAGGAGTGCAAGGAAGCCGCCCAGCGCATCGTCGGTGACTGCAGCTTCTGCGCCGGCCACTTCTGCTCCAAGCACCGCATGCTGGAAGCACACTCCTGCACCGGACTCGAAGACTGCAAGAAAGAATCTCACGCCCGAAATGCTGATAAGCTCAACAGCGAGCGTACCATCGTTGTCAAGGGCGTATGAGAGGGAGGAACTACAACCAGAATGGGGACTACAATCTGAATGAGAAATAGCCGCTCTGTTCGCTTTTCTCTCGGCTGAACAAAGGGGGCGGAGGACCAAGGATATGACCAGCCTAGTCGATGTAGAGGCCCGGGCCATCTCGCCTCCTCTCCCCTATCTTATCTGCCTCGGCCGATCAGCTGCCATCCCTGCTTGGCTTGGCCACGATTCGGTGTGATTCGATCCGGTTCCCTTTCTTGCGTGCCTCTGCGGTGATCTTGGATTTAGCGCGGTGTTTCATTTTACTATATTATTTTCCCTCTTCTCGGGTTTCTGGGGATGGGGGGTTCGTCTTTCTTTTGTCTGGTTCATGATCTATATCTAGATCGGATTCGGTTTTTTTTTGGCTACGGCTTGTTTGAGGCTTTAAGGTCTTCATTTGCATGGCGTTGTGCTTGGTGTTGACATCTTTGATCTTTCGATAATTTAGTTTATCTACTGTTGCTGCCACTGCTGTCTCGCATTTTTGGCATGCCTCTTTTCTTTTCCGGGACTGCTAAATAGAACTCTTCTGGGTCATTTTAGCCATGAATATACATATCTCTGAAATCTTGATTCATTTTCTTTATCACAAACCATATACATTTACGGAGTACCCCAGGTAGTTTATGGGCCATTTCTGAATTAGGAAAGAAAGCTTTTGTGTACAAGTACAGATATGGTCAGATATGGTATGCTGAACTAAGATTGTATGATTGCACTGAAACCCATTTGAAACACCGTAGAACCCATTTAGCCCGGTCCGATCTTCGGCCTATGTAACAGTCAGCTCATAGCTCAATGTCCAAAGAAAGCAAAAGGTATAAAGAAAGAGAGTAAGACATACATATCATGATGCTCACTCAGACGACTGAGATACTTATTCAGCTCCTCCACACGCTCCTTATGAGTTTTGACACCTTCGCGCTGAAGCCGCTCATGCAACTGTCCCGAAAAGTCAGTTTTAATCTGTACAATAAAGCCGAAGTAGAAAGAGAAAGAAAAGAAAGAAAAGAAAAGACAACACATACCCGTTTTCGCCGAATCTCTTCGGCTCTCTTTTCGGCCTCAGTCTTCCCAGGCGCATCCCAATCCTTCTCTCTGTCTTCCTCAGATCTCACATCCTCATCCTTTTCATTTTCTGGTCGCTCCGTATCCGGCGTTAACTCTGGTTTTGACTGTGTCATATCTCCTTCCTTTTTCTTTGTGCTCTTCTTCTTCTTCTTCTCTATTCGCCCTCCGCTGACTTTACTCCCCTTCAACTTGAGCTTACCCCCGCCGATGGAGTACTCGTCGCCCGCCATAGTTGCGGCGCTGGTTTGGAGGATGCGGTAGGATGGGATTATTCAGATTCCCCTCTTTTGGTAGTGTGACGTGCCGCTCGTAGAGATATTGGGCCCGGGGAGATGATAGGCGTGCGCGGCGTGCGGAGTAAGAAGCGGAGTGGTCGATCGGCCGGGTGTGCTGTCGTAGATGTGGGGGATTCGTTGCCTTTTTTTTTCGGATTTGAAGTGCGGTATACGACCGAGTGGATAGTAATATTTGGCTTTGTGTTGTGGTGTTGACTGAAAAGGGTTCTCTTGTCGCGGTCTGAGGTTGGAGTTGGGCCAATCAGAGGCGGTGGCGGGTTGAACGGTTCTACATATTTCAGCCTTTCAACGACTTCCATAGTAATAAAATGCCGGTAAAATTCTGATTGAAAGCCATATATTGGGCATTATGGACATACTGTACCTCTTGGGGATATTCTTTTGACCAACATAGGGGACCTCCAGGGTCACATATGCTACGGTCATTGTGAAGTAACTCAACTTGATTAGACCTTTTCGCATCTGGCCTTTCTGTATTTGAATCTACTCCTGCCCCTTTACATACTCTACTCAGGGAAAAAAATACAGTGAAATCATGGCTAGGTCTTATAGAACCCCCGAATATGAAAGTAAGGTGGAACGCTTTCTGAGGGACCTACCTCCTTCCAACAGATACACCTACGAAAGGAAAGAGCAACTCCAGGAAATCCGACAAATCGAATATCATCGTCTCGAAAGCTCTCATGCTGATACCGAAATTTCTGAATACTTTGTCATTGTTGACATTAGTCCCTTTTCTTTCAAGCAAGCCTTCTTGATATTCGATCCCATCAAAGGTGTCCGCTTGTTTTACGACCCAGAACTCCATATCCTGATTCTCAGAATGATCAGACCCGAGCATGCTCAGGCTGCTATCACTTTACACGAGGTTGTCACAGAAACCATTCGACCAATGGGGCTGTTTCAAGCAGTTCAAACGTATGGAGGAGTATCCGTTAACGTCGGCCATGGAAAGCAAAAAGAGCCAGATATGGGCTGGGGCGCAATGCGTCCTCCTCGTGGTGTACCCAAAAGACCTGGGGTTGTCCTCGAAGTCGGACTTACGGAGCCTGAAACACAACTGCGCAATGATGCAAGAATGTGGGTGGATCCTGCGAGAGGTGGGACCAAGATGACTCTCACGGCGAAAATCAACCGTCGTAAGCCCGAACTAAAGCTCGACGCCTGGGAATGGAACTCCGATCTGCAATGTGCTCGGGTCACGCAGTCAACTGTTATCGCGAAGACCGGCAATAATATCGCCGTCTCCCAATCTCCACTTACAATACCCTTTCACTATATCTTCCAACGATCACCGGAACATCCTAGGGAGATTGATATTAAACTGGCCAAGCAGCAGCTCATTGTCTGGGCAACTTTGGTGTGGGGTTCCCAAGATATGTAAAGGGAAGGAGAACCTTTTTGTGAGAAAATGCCATGGAGTATCTGAGAATACCACTAAAAGGACCAGTAAAAAGACGAGTAAATAGACATCACAAGGCCGCGTGGAAGGCCAACTATCATTATCCCAGCTATAAGCCTAGCACTAGCACTTCTTTCCACCTTACATACGAAGTATCGAAGATAAGAGCATCCACGCCGAAGTAGAGCAGACACCATCGCCCAGTGCAGAGCTCAGACGTGCTCTCAGCTGTACCGCGGTATGCGCCAGTCGTGATAGAAGTGCATCAATTTCCTCGGGACTTCATGGAACTTGGACAAAGCCCTTGACCCGCAGCTCCAAGAGCTCTTCAACGACTTCGGGGGTATTTGAGAAAATTGCATCGATAAAGTTCAGATCGAAAGCCAGGTATTGCACATTAAAGGGGACAGCATACAGCCCCTCGACCGTCAATGCAAATTGGAGTATATTGGTATACCTCGCTAGACATTTGATAATTTCTTCAACCTTAGTTTTTCGAAGTGGCCATTTCATCTTCCGCGTCCAACCAGCTGGAACATGTAGCAATTTGCCCAATTAGTGCAGAAACGCTTCGCAAAAAGACACCGTGCGTCGCAGAACCGAGTCTGTCATCCTGGAGCGGGATTCTGGGGATGATACGTCGACTTTCAGAAAATCATCTAAGCTCGTACATACCTCGATCAACGAGTCAACTTCATCTGGGTGCCAGCCTATATCTCTCTCGGCTCTATTGACAGTAGTAAAAATCATGGAGTGTGGGTGCGACCTGGATAGCGAGGCTGGCTAGACCTGCAACCCCAGCGGTTATAGAAAGAGAGTCCATTGCATAAGATTTCACCTCCGAATTGTTGAACAACAGACGGCTACAGTGGTGTCCAGATGGAACTCTGCCTGCATTCGCATCCGGTCGGGGCTATCTGAGAAAATTTTTGACCATATGTGTGCTAATAAGTGGAGGTGAGGCATACCGCACCACGCCTATTGATGAAGAATCCATTGCACCATTTGAATAGGACCCCAACTGCCTGTTTATTGTGCTTAGCTGCACGGATAAGGAGATGGACTAGCAGGTCCGCAAGAATAAAGCAAAAGACGATCCAAAAAGACCTCGAATAAGACCACAGAAAGGACTACCAAAAGAACTCGCAGAAGACATCACAGGGTCGCAGCAGCGGCTGACGTTTCTTGTTGACAGTCAATGAAATTTTCAACCCATTAAAATACACCAAGCAATGGCACTTGCCACGGTGTTGAATCCACGCATTTCTTGAAACTGGTTTAATCTACAGTTTGGCGGACTCGCTCAAAGACCGATGCCCGTATACCACATTCGGCGGCAATTCAACACCCCAAGCAATCCTACAATCCAACCGTGTATGCTCAACACTGTCCGAAGCTGAATCGAAGCCTTGATACGGCTTGACAATATCCCGGTAGACAAACTCGCCCACACCACCCTCGCCTAACATTATCCACCTGCGAGCAATCTCCATGGCGGCCTCGTCTCCATCACGCTCCCCATCCAAGGCCAGGAGAGCCCCGGAAAGTATCCAGGCGAATGTGAACATAATTCTCCGGGCATCAGCCAGCAACGCAGCCGGTGGACGAGTAGATGACACGCGAGAAAGGAAAGAAATCTGAGCCTGCTTCAATGCATCCCCGAGAGACTGTGTGCGGATCAGAGACAAAACACGATTGAGCCACTCTGACAAAACCGACAGGGTATTTCCTTTCACCAGGAAGCGGACGAGTTCACTAGCCAAGACATTTGTGGTCCCCTCCCAGATCGGATAGACGGCTGCAGCACGGAGAAGACGAGAAATGTTAAACTCAGGCTCGTCCGGCTCATCAATGTACCCAACTCCACCCATCGCTTCCTGGCATTCCTGAACACCCACCATCGACATCTTGCTAACAACACCCTTGCATGTGGCAGTTAGGACCCGGAAGACGACCTTTGCTTCGGCAAGATCCTTGGGCATGTGTGCATGTCTCGCGGAGCTGGACATGTTTTCAATCAAGCTCATCACTGCAATTGTGAAGAAAGTAAGATTTATAGCGCCGCGATGCTTGACCTCCACATCCGCAAGAACGCGCAGGTGCATCGGAATCAGCCACAATGGCTCGCCGACAGTACTCCGCGACTTGGCAAAGTTCTTCGTGATGCTAATCGCACGGCGCCAGGTTGACAATGTTCCAAGAAGTGTCTGGATGCGGGTGGTATTCAATAATGGAGCAATAGTCACAATGCCCTGATCGAGTTCACCGACTAGGTGAGCGCGCATACCATTCAGTTCCAGTTCAGCTGTGGGTAGTTCCTTGGTACCAAGCTTGTTCTTCAGTCGGTGGATGCGCACACCATTGGATACTTCTTCTGGCTTTCCATCGGCTCCGATGGACGTCTTTCGTAGTGGCGCGATAAATGTGCTCAGTTTCCCAGATGCTGTTTTGGCTAAGAGAAATGCGACATTGGCGTCTGTCGCGGAGGAAAAGAACTTGAACCCGCTGATCAGGTAGTCTCCCTCAGCAAGGACATCGGGTGTTTTTGATTCCTGGGGCAAGGGTGCATAGGTAGCCCATGTCTCTGTGTTTTGCACGTCGCTCCCGCCTGCTCTTTCTGTCATCCACTGGCCCGATGTCCAGTAGTCATCTCCTCTGGAGGTCAGTCTTCGAAAGACAGTGTGCAAAATATGGTCACTCGGCAGATCTTTGAGTCGCTGTGACAGTATAAATGCCGCCCCATCGGACATACTCATCGGACATCTGTACATGGACGACGAGGGGGCGTATAGATACACGCTTTGGATTCGGTAGTTAGTATTCACGCGCATGAAACACCACAAGGAACAGTAGCATACGCAGCATACTGAACAGTGCGCCTATCAACGCCGTACGTGTGGTCGTATCCCAGCGAAACAACCCTAGAGTATCCTTCTCAGCGCTATGTATACCAAGAATTAGATAAACGACTAACCCATGCTTAGCCCCCCACTTTCCTAACTGCTTCCATCCATCAGTCGTAATCAGTTTGTCATACCCATACCGCTGGCCCCAGACATTGTATTTCTTGACATATGGCAGGTTGGTCTCTGCGTCGGCGTTCCATGCAAAAACTTGGGGTGAAACGGCCTCCTCGCCAAATTGAGTAAGATGGGGTTCAACCAAGTTGAGGGTCTCTGCAGGAAGGTACCCTATTTTCCTCAAGTTAGATGGAATAAAAGGTAGTCTGCGCTAGACTTACATCCTAGCATTCGTTGCAAGCTGATGTCAGAAGTATAGGTATTCGGTAATTTCTCAAGTTGAGTGAATATTCCGGACTCTGCGGATGCGGGAACTCGAGATTGGTTAGCCATGTTTCTGATGTAGCTTGAAGAGCTGTTCGAGAAATATTGAAACTGTGAACAGAGATCGATAGGTGTTTAACTATTTGCTTGTTATCAACCGTGGTTTTAGATTCGGTAACCGAGTAGTATGAGTTGTCGATTCTAGATAATAGCCCTTGACTGAATCCCGCAAGATCATCGACAAGCAAAGCCGATGGCTGTCGACCACACCTGTCGATCAAAGTCCGCGAAATCACCGAGATGGGTAGTGAATTCCATGCGGGGAAGTTGTCGACCGCGGCTCTTCGGCATCTCCTTCGGGGATTTGCTACTCAGCCAGAGATAGAAATAGCAAGGAAGATCGTTGTGAATTAGGACTTGACCATATATTCGGTGATGAGAGCAAGGTATAGAGTTTATCGCAAATTGATTCTAACCAAGGGTAGGCACCAAACATCCTGATTTCTGGTCTCTCTTTCGAATGTAGTTGTTTATATAAATATATACATCGCATTTACCAATAAAGGATAGTGTTTGTCATACCGCCCTTTAATCATCTAACACATTTTCAACGGACTAAGCAACTCCTCGGTCAACAAGTCCGTGTCTTTGACTTGCCGTTTGCGTGTGTTCACACTGGCATCGGGATGTTCTTGAGGGATTCGTCATCGAAGACCATCTCGTCCACAGAATCAACCCATATCTCTGCATTTTGATCAGTATCTTGTTTGTTTGGTAGAACGCAAGATCCAGTGATAGCCATTGATGTCGGCAGTATAGGAGAAGATTTAGTGGGGTTGAAAGAGGGTTTGTGTAAGATTGGACAGTTGGGATACCAGGAAATCCAGAAGTCTTCAAGGTACCTGCAAAGATTTGACAGAGAGAAGAAGTGAAAGCATACTTGCTCGACGATGGGCGACCAGTTCAATGTCATTGAGCTTCGTCGTGACTTGTGGTGTATCGTCTCCTTCAGTCCCATCACTATCTCATGGGGTTTGAATGCCAGGATGAGCAGCCCATTCAAGAAACCAAATTTATCATCTGGGAATACTGTCAAATGATTGGTTTGTTGATAGGCCATTTTCTTGTGAGTTTCCAAATGTTGTTCTCCTCTCTTTGGAGACCGTATAAACACACTCCTGGTGCCTGGAGAGGCATGTGTTACAGGGAAATCCAGTGCTGCACGCCTTCTTCGATTTCATATATTGGTTGCAGGCATTTCTCTTCTTTTCCTGGATACGCTGGGGAGTGGAAGGAACTGGGGCACCAGTTTCCAACCGAGGACTACATATCTTCATATGTCTGGTGCGGGCATCGCGTTAGTCCAGTTAGCTTAAAGCGTGTCACCTCTCTGGGGTGGGCTCGATACCTGCGAGTGAGGGGTCGCTCATGGAGCTGACATGGGTGTCTGTTTCTATCTGAAACGAACTATTCATTCAAACAGTTGAGCCGCGAAGAGAAGAATGGGTGCCGTACGAGATCCTAGGTGACGAGATAGCTCGGTGAGTTATTCGGGGTCTATATCATCTGTTCGGGATGATTGTCGAAGGACGCGAATTGGCGTGACATTTGGGTAGAGCACGTCCCCCCAACCCCGGAAAGTGGACATGCCCGATGTGGGTTTCAGATGAATTGGCCCCCGCCTTTGCAATCTCGGCATATAGCACCGAGTTGGGTACGATGGCCGAGTGAATGTGAAATGTTGATAAATACATGAATCTGAATAGACAAATCCTTCTCTCCATTGCTTTTGAAAATGGCTCCTCTTGCCTTGCCCCCCAATACCAGTCAGGAAACGTTTACACGTTTTCTAGATGAAGTTTCCAAGGCCGTTGGCGAGGAGAACATCAGAGTGGTGCAAAAGCTAGAAGAGCTCCAGGATGGATCGTACCTCGAACAGCCTCGTACCCATGACCCTCATCATATCGTTGATCAAGATTACTTCGTGGCTTCGGCTGTGATTTGCCCGCGCTCTGTGCCGGATCTTCAGGCTATCGTCCGCATTGCCAGCGAGTTCCAAATTCCTCTTTGGCCTACATCGATAGGTCGCAACTCCGGTTATGGCGGCGCTGCTCCTAGGTTGCGTGGAAGTGTCGTTCTTGATCTTGGAAGGCATATGAATCGAGTCCTTGAGGTCAATGTCGATGGAGCCTATGCTATTGTGGAGCCTGGTGTTACTTTCGCCGACCTTCACCAGTACCTGGTCGATAACAATTTGAGAGATAAGCTCTGGGTTGATGTAAGTTAGGCGCGGGTATTTCGAATTCATGGTGAGCTGATGTGTTGCTAGGTTCCCGACCTAGGTGGTGGCTCGGTTCTTGGAAACACGATCGAGAGAGGAGTGGGGTATACACCTTACGGAGGCAGGTCATACACCCATTTTAGGTGGGAATGTTGAAATGCTGACTTTTTCAGACCACTGGATGATGCACTGCGGAATGGAGGTCGTGCTACCTAGTGGTGAACTGATGCGGACTGGTATGGGCGCAATGCCACAGCCAAAGAAGCCCGGGGAACCAGCCGTTCCATTACATGAGGACCCTGGTAACAAATGCTGGCAACTGTTCCCATATGGCTTTGGCCCATACAACGATGGGCTATTCTCCCAAAGTAATTTGGGCATAGTAACAAAGATGGGAATATGGGTGAGTATCGTACGAACAATTAGGGACATTCTAACAATCATAGCTCATGCCAAACCCCGGTGGATATCAATCTTATCTCATCACATTTCCAAGAGACGAGGATCTTCATCAAGCTGTTGACATTATTCGGCCTCTCAGACTCGTAAATATCTCCCCCATTGGGTTCCCAATATTCCACTAACGAAGCCCACCTCCTTCTAGCAAATGATTCTTCAGAATGTCCCGACAATTCGCCATATTCTTTTGGATGCCGGTGTCCTGGGAACAAAGGCAGACTACACATCGAAAACAGGGCCCCTCGACGATGATGATCTTGATGCGATTGCCAAGCGCCTGAATCTCGGGCGATGGAACTTCTATGGCGCCTTGTATGGCCCCGAGGGAACTCGGAATGCTCTTTGGGGTATTATCAAAGGCGCTTTTTCGGCCATCAAGGGAGCGAAATTCTACTTTCCGGATGATATCAAGGAGAACTGTGTGCTGCATACCAGAGACAAAACCCTCCAGGGAATCCCAACCTTCGATGAGCTGAAGTGGATTGACTGGCTGCCTAATGGTGCCCATTTATTCTTCTCGCCTATCAGCAAGGTTTCTGGCGAGGATGCAATGCTGCAGTATTCTGTTACAAAGAAACGCGTCAGGGAAGCAGGGCTGGACTTCATTGGGACCTTTAGTGTTGGTCTGAGAGAGATGCGTAAGTAACGTGGATTGTCACAACCTCGAGGCTACATCGCTAATTCTAACGTGACAGACCATATTGTATGCATTGTGTTTGATCGCAAAGACCCCGATTCAAAGAAAAGAGCTCACTGGCTCATCAAGATATTGATCGAGGATTGCGCAGCTCATGGCTGGGGTGAGTATCGCACTCATCTGGCACTGATGGACCAGATTGCGGAAACGTACAACTGGAATGAAAATATCCTCATGCGATTCAACGAAGCCATCAAAAATACCCTTGACCCCAAGGGAATTATTGCTCCAGGCAAGAATGGGGTTTGGCCGACAACCTACCCAAAGAGTTTGTACAAGTTGTGAGCTCAAATTTGTCGATCTACGTACAGTTGTTTGATTTTGAGTATAACATATATCCAGTTAGTTTTCTGCAAATTGAGATCTCATTGCTGAAAGCACCGTACAATGCTCGTGCCAATGCCTAGAATCACCCACCCACGGTCATTACATTAAATTATAAACCGTCACATGCACATACCCATGCATTCGCGAAACTACCGGTATATATATATTCATTACCACGATGTAAAAATTCATGAATTCGTCATCTTATCGGCGATATATATTTCCTACAAAACCCTCACCCTTTTACCTCGGCACAGTAAAAATAAAGTATAGAAAAGGTACATTTCAGGGACATAGCATCTGAAGATAGACAAAAGAACTTCATTGGTACGTCCATATGTACTAAATTGGTGGAAAACCAAGAGATATAATCTATCGCTCGGTGAGCCTGACTCTAGGCGCCCTCATAATAGCGGTAGCTCAGATAGGAAAGTCCCACCTGGTATAGGGTATACACCCCACAAAGGTACTTGTGCAGCGGATTCCTTTCACCGCTCCGTGGCCCGTATATTCCGTTTTAGTTTCCTGAATGTGCTCGATGTCTTGTGTGTAGGCCCAAGATCCCACAATCCGACGATGGCGATGCATTGTGACAGGCAGTGTTCCGATTAACCATGCAGCTACACCGGAAACCGCGTATAACCGGCTGTGCCAGGGTACCTAATTAGGGTGTGGTTGTCAATAAATCACAAAGGTATCCCCCAGCTGACCTTCGGCACATGTTACATAGTGCGAGTGGTATAAGCGGACGCCCATGGCGCAATTGGGCGCCCCTCAGCCGGAAGGCAACGCATTGGTGAAGAATCATAATTGATTGTGGCGGAGAAGTACGTGGGGAATGGAAATGGTGGCGTCTTAGGGGTAAGCAGACATATTTGGATACTTGGCAGTTTGCTACACCTGAGGTTGTTCAAGTGGTCCAAGTACAATTCTTGACTGTAAGTCAAATATACTAGCCTTATAGACGCGAGTTTCCTGAATAGAGAGAAATCCCGAACTATTCCGTCGTCTAAGTGTGCGGATTGCCCAGTAAGTATATAAGAGGGAAACGGGAATTTATCGGCTTTTCTAGTCATAGTTCGACTAAAGCTGTGAGGCTTGCATCCCTTTGCCCTAGCGGCTGTCGGACAATTATCGGACACCATCCAGCAAAAGTAATACGGGTGTGAAGACAAGACAACGCCTACACATTCAGAGATTCAAGCCGACGACGGGATGGTAGGATCAGGACGTGAATGGCTGGTACGATATACCAGTATAGCAGCAATTATGGGAAATACACATATAAAAGGGGAATGTCTCGCCCGAGTTCAAGAGCCAGCAGCTTATATCCAGACTTCAGACATTTGAGAAAGTACATCCAAGATGAAGACATCATCGATTCTGACTTGGGCAGGTCTGTTAGCCTCAGTCAATGCTCATGGATACCTGACCATTCCTTCAAGTCGCACTCGACTTGGTTTCGAGGTAAGATCTCAGATGAATCCATGCATGCAATATATCATACTGATCTTATTAGGCTGGCATTGATACCTGCCCCGAATGCTCCATCCTTGAACCTGTCTCTCCTTGGCCCGATCTCGAAGGACCTCAAGTTGGCCGAAGTGGCCCATGTGGCTACAATGCCCGAGTTAGTGTTGATTATAACAAGCCCGGCGAGCACTGGGGCGATATCGTCGCCACATATACTGCAAATCAGATTGTCGAGGTGCAATGGTGTGTCGACAACAATGGCGACCACGGTGGCATGTTCACCTACGGTATCTGTCAGGATCAGGCTCTAGTCGACAAATTCTTAGATCCAGACTATCTTCCAACCAACGAGGAGAAACAAGCCGCAGAAGATTGTTTCCTGGAGGGTGAGTTGAAATGTACAGATGTTGCCGGACAGGACTGTGGCTACAGTCCAGACTGCTCTCCCGGTCAACCATGCTGGCGCAATGACTGGTTTACTTGCAATGCATTCAGTGCCGACAACCGACGCGGCTGCCAAGGTGTGGACGGTGCTCAATTGAACTCCTGCAAGACAACTATCGCCGGCGGTTACACTGTTACGAAGAAAATCAAGATCCCAGATTACGACTCTGCCCACACTCTGCTGCGCTTCCGATGGAACTCTTTCCAAACGGGACAGGCTTATCTCCACTGTGCTGATATTTCCATTGGAGGGGGTTCCGGAGGAGGACCGGTTACGACCAACACGGCTACAACTTTGACCACTACGACGACCAAGACATCCACTACCGGAGCATGTGCTACTCCTGCCACCAGCGTCTCTGTAACTTTCAACGAGCTCGTGAGCACGGTAGTGGGTCAGGATATCTTCCTCACAGGGTCAATTAGCCAGCTGGGCTCTTGGTCTACCTCGTCGGCGATCGCTCTGTCTGCAGGCTCATACACATCGTCCAACCCACTGTGGACTACCAGTGTCAGTCTTCCCGTTGGTACTACCTTCGAGTACAAGTTCTTTAAGAAAGGAGCGGACGGTAAAATCACCTGGGAAAGTGATCCCAACCGCAGCTTTACTGTACCAGCAGCCTGCGCTGGAACTGCAGTCACTGCGAGTACAACCTGGCGATAGAGGACTCCTTGTGACAACACACCATTGAATGAGATATGAGGTGGTGTGGTAGGCTATTGTGACGAATATGTAAATAGTCATATTACAGATTGAATTCGACAAGACTTGTTTAAGCGGAATTTATCTATAGGCTGGAAGCACCGTATTATACGTAGTACGTGTATCGTACTTTATGTCCACCTGAGGTCTAGACATCAATTCAGTTATACCTGCCAAAATGAGATTGATTTTGCGACTAGCGAGGATCATGTTGAGGCAGTAAGTTACAGGAGCAAGGAGTAGAAACATATTACTTGAGCAACTAGAAGCACCTGTCCGGAGATTATCATTTTTGTCATTTTCTAATATGCTAGTCATGATGATTCATTATTATGTTAGTGTGCTGAAATTGCCCCTCTGCGATCTTAATCAAAAGGAATGGGGCGCAGATTCGATCCGCCCATACGCTTACGCATTTCAGCGCCAGCAGCCACAGTACTGGGTACCTTGATACCGCAGCAATCACCAAACCAATCCGCGCTCTCATGAGGATGGTCATGGCCGTGGGCATGGCCATGACCGTCATGCTCAACATCTGCCTCAGAAGGATCGGTCATGCCTTCAGCAGCAGGCAGAAGGCTTCCGAACAAGAAATGTTGCATAATAGGAAGTTTCCCCAGCACTTCCTTAACAAACATCTTCTTCATGCCGCTCTCCACCTTGGTCCAGTTCTTAGAACCAGATATATCGTCCAGCATAGGACTATGCCAGCGCAGTCCCTTCACAGTCTTGACACTCTCGACCCACCGGACCTGATCCAGATAGAGATAGTTATCACCTTCCTCATCCAAAGTAGCCGTGTTGTGAATACCCAACGGAGTGATATACGGGTGGCCGACAAGCTGACTAGCTCCGAACAAGAATGGCAGGAAATGGTAGTCATCCAGACCCCAAACACCATGCGATCCAGCAGGCTCAAGGTAGTAGGCTGACTGGATCTCGCGCATGAGATGCATGTACTCGACATAGACCTTGACCACGACGACAGGGAAGTCGTTGGCGGGGAGAAGACCGAGTTGATACAGACATAGTAACCACATCATGAAGTTCAGTTCGTGACCAGAGCCGTAGTCAATGCGCTCTCGTGAACCCAGGCAGTTGATTAGATATGTCGAGGCTTCTTCGGTTGCGCCAGCGTCTTTCAACCCTAGAATGTTGGCGTGCCATGATGCGCTCTGGGCGCTTACATCGTCGCACAATGATCGGAAGGCCGGGTTGCCGAATCGGGACCCACCCTGGTCAATTGGTGGGTTCTTGACTAGGAGGGAGCGTATCTGAGTGACAACTGAGAGGACCTTGGAGATGGATTCGGATTGAGGCTTCTTTTGGAGGTCTTTGATAGAATGCCCCCGCACAGAGTCAGTTAGGCCAAAGACAAAGGCGAGGACGAGTTTGTGGGTCGGAGATGAGAGGAAGAGCTCATGATCTTTAGGGGATATGATGCGGCGGATTGGTTGCCGGTACTGGTGGGCGGAGAGGTCTGGAGGCGAAGGGAGAGGAGGGGTTGTTGGAGTTAGGTCTCGGGAACTGGGGTTTGACCTGCGGGTATTTGACCGCAAGTCGGAGAGTTTCTTGGAGAGATCTACCTTCCCCGTAGGAGATGGTACAGATTGATGTGATGCCATTTCTGTTGGTTAGGTGAAGGAGAAGGAAATATGTCGGATAAGTCGATAATGAGCTGGACACTGACCGCCTACCATAAACAGAGGATGACGCAATTTGCCAGAGGGGGAAGGAAAATGAGGTATTAGTTGGTCAAATCAAATGTGAATGGCAATGTGGGTATCTAGGAGTAAAAAATCTACATTGGACGGTCTATATCAACATGTCAAGCTTTCCAACTCACAGTGACACTTCCGATCAACACTTGGCCCAAGTGGGTTAGAGTGGAGCATGTGATCGCCTCCCCGGATTGGTCAGGTGACCTGGATCATCACATTGTTTTACGTTTTTGCTCGAGGTCACATTATGTGCCACATGATGGCCATAGCACCCCGAGAAGAGGAGCAGTCAAAGAAAGGCAGATAGCAAGGCTTCAACGTACCAGATCCAGCTACTGAATAATTTTCCTTCGCCGTGAAAATCTTGCCTCAAAACAGCTACTTTTCATCCTCCGTTGACATAGAAGGACCCAGCGCTCTAGGCCTGCATAAATTTGGTCCCAGGTGACCTCGGATTGGACAATACTCTCCAGTGGCAGATCAGAGGGACAAGCACGCCATAATGAATACATTCGACTCAGCGGCGCCGCCTCCGACAGGTTCCAGCAACTCTGGAGGAGCAAACAACAACCACTCGTCGTCTCGCTCGCCCACAGATTCAGCCCTGTCATCGTCCCTCGGTAGTACCCGGTCCCACTCAAGCTCCTCGTCCCGAAACTATGCCCGTCACCAGAACCCAACTCAGACCTCGTACCAATCCACCGAGTTCACCCCAATCAACTCAGCCAGCCCCGCGGGGCGCAACTATCAGTCCACAGAACAAGCAGCCGCCTCCCAGCCCCAAGACCTCGGCCCAAACAACGCGAACTCTGCCAATGGCAACAAATCAGCCAACAAGGACTCGACCCCCGAGCCCCATCACTCCTGGTATAGTCAATTCGCGGATCGATACGGCAGCCTCGAGCTAGAGAACAAAGGCAGTGTGGCCCGCGATCACCTCGCATTAGGTACGATATGCGCAACCTACTGTGAAAAAAAAAAAGCCACATAGAGCCCTCTAATGCCCACTTCCTTTCCAATAGAACGAACCTTCCTAGCCTGGATGCGCACTTCTTTGGCCTTCGCCTCAATCGGCATCGCAGTAACGCAACTCTTCCGTCTGAACAGCGCCTCCCCAACCGCACACGCCGACTTCCTCGGCTCAGCATCCGGCTCACACCCGGGAATCCTCCCACCAGACCTCGCCTCGGCTGCTTACGATTCAGCCGCGTTCCACACATCCTCTGCATCTGCCCGTCTTCGTAGTGTGGGTAAACCCCTCGGCTCGACTTTCATCGGAGTCTCGATTGTTATCCTTGGAGTTGGATTCCACCGCTACTTCCAGAGTCAGTATTGGATTATTCGGGGGAAGTTCCCGGCTAGTCGGGGTAGTGTGGCACTTACCGGGTTTCTGGCTGCTGCGCTGATTGTTGCTACTTTTGCAGTTATCTTAGCTGTTTCTCCGGGGGCTGTTGAGAATTAACTTGGAGATTGGTTCCCGGCTGATCTCCCATTTTTGTTTTCTTTTTCAACCCCTTTGCATTGTTCCCTCTCATGTGATAGTGCCCACTTGTTTTGTTCGTTTTGCGTGCAGCATTTACATTTCGGATTTCTTGAGTTCATACGTTTCTACCTAAGAACGTGAGTGGCCCATTTCTTTTTGATAGCGAAGAGAGGAGAGGAGCCGGTACATATTAGGTATGCCTTGGTGTCTCGGTATACTAATGTTGATAATAGTGTTTATACAACCACGATGATATCTTCAACTGTATGTACATATTTAGTCTATGTAAGATTTTTAGACGCCCCTAAAATCCTCTCATCTTTTAGCGATGCCAACTTGAACATAAATGAATTAATCCAAAAGATAAATAACTGCGGGACAAAAGTACTAAGAATCTTTGGCCGACTATCTATCACTCTGCCCCAATTCACCACACTCTCTCAATACATCACACTGCCAATTCACCATACAGAAAACACAGAATGATATTTGAAGAGCATTTTCGCGTGCTGAACATCATTCATCCTCTGTGCTCTCTACCAGAAATCGGACACCGATAGAAGCTTTCCGTCTTCCGCGTATTTCCCATAACTCCAACCACTCAAGGCAGCTTTGCCCGAGTCAATATCGACCATATCCCATTGCAAGGCACTCTGGCTATGCTGTTCGTGCCACTTGATATGTTTGACCGTCAACTTATTGCCTTGTTGGTTCAGGGCATCGTGGATAAGTTGAACAAGTGATTCCAGGTCGTCGGAAACGATGCTGGCCATATTGGTGTAGACAAAGCCAGGAGCGGTGGCATTTTTCAGGATAGATAATCGTTTCTCCAAGGGTAGGCCAAGATCCCAGGCCTGGTCCCATTGAGCCCATACATCTTTTGTTGACGACATATTGGGTGACTGTATAACCGGGGAACAGCAGATAAATTGGGTATTTGATGGGAATCACACTCGAACATGAGAATGCGTCGATGGGAAATGAATTCGATGACGGGTCGAGGGTTAATTAGATATTCAGGGAGAACTAAGGGTGATATTTAAGCGACGGGCACTCAGGCGTCCTGCTGACCGGGCGTGGAGGCTGAACTACGGAGCTGAACTACAAAATAGGTCTCTGGTGGATAGGAAAGATGACCCGAGCGATGTATAATACAGAATTAACATACAAGCAATGTTAGAAAGTAAGTGGATATAGGATATAATACACTATCAGGGACATTATAGATAAAATAGCATACAGTACGGTTTACGCCAAGAAATACATGTATAGTGGTTGACGTAGATAATCTACAAAGCTAACACGAAAAGCCAATAGAAACATTTCGTTCTTTTCTGTCAACGCCCCAAATCCACCCGCGCCAGACCAGTCTAGGCACAATGTAGGAAGCAGGCGAGACAGGGGAAACTACAAGATGGACGGGAGTATATCGACAATGATGAGGGAAGAAAAGATAGGGGAAAAAAGACCCGGGCATGGCTTGCAAACAATGCGAAGCAGATAATCAGAGAAAAAAGGAGCAGACCAAGAACCGGCTAAATACAATTCGTTTATCGCGGGCCGAGCTTGTCCAGGGCGCGTGCACCCTGTTCCTGCCACTCCTGCTTGCTCACCCACATGTCGTCCTTGTCGGCGATCTGAAGAAAATGGTGTTAGCACAGGTTGGAGCAAGATGAAAGAAAACGGGAAACTAACCAAATTGGCGAGCACGGCACCACCCAAGAACACCATGTGTCTCCGGCGCGGGGGATCTTCGATGCGGACCTTGAATTTCTAGAAGATCATTAGCCAAGTTATACTGATAATTTTGCCGGGGTTTCGTCGACGTACGTTCAGACGCTCTGGATCGCCGCCCAGTACCCGGGTGAGCCAGAGCTGCTTCAACTCCTTCTCCAAACGAGAGGGCAAACCGGGGTACATGCTGCTACCACCGCTGAGCACGATGGCCTTGTATAGACTGGATCGAACATCGACATCGGCACCCTGGATGCAGTTGAAGAGCATTTCAGCCATACCGGGCTGGTCAACGTCAACCAAGTGAGGCTGGAACAGGCACTCAGGAGCCTCGAAGCGCTCGCTGCCGACGCGGATGACACGGCCATCGGGCAGGGTGTACGATTCGACGAGAACGGTGGTATCCTCGGAAAGCTTTTTGTCCAACTCAAGGTCGTAGGAGACGTAAGCAAGCTTCTCCTTGATCTGGCGGACGGTCTCGAAGTCGGCGGTTCGGTTCAGCGCATAACCGCGGCGCAGAAGGAGGGCAATCAGGTTACGAGTGACGTCGCGGCCGGCGACGTCCAGGCGCTTAATGTGGTGGTTGAGTACGGTCGACTCGTACACGGGGATAATGTGCGTCACACCGTCACCGGAATCCACAACTACGCCGCTGCTCAGACCTATAACATGACATCAGTATTCATCCTGAACTCACGCTCTGTTCTTGGATCACATACCCTGGGCATACAGTGCCAGCACCGCCTGGATCGCCACATAGACACCACCAAACCCGTATCCTTCTAGCATCACCTCGGCCATCTGCTCGCGGTTCTTAAGCGGGTTCATCGGGGGCTCCGTGAGGAGAATCTTGCGATCCGTGGGGTCGATCTTCATCTTCTCGTAAAAGGTGTAGTTCCATAGATGTTGCATATCGTCCCATTTCTTGACAATTCCGTTCTCCATCTAAAGCAGCACGGGTTAGGCATTGACAAGACACTCGTCTGGTTTGCGGAGAGGGCGGGGTAAAACAGGCGAGGACAAGACCGGACATATACGTACAGGATAGCTGATCTGGAGCATTGATCGCGCAGCAGCAGCTTCATCACCACACATGATATCCTTGACGACGATGTCGCCGCCCTGCTCCTCCGTTCGCAAGATGGGCCGCCCCACTATGGAGGGAAACTGGTGCTCTGGGAAGTTCTGAGGAGAGAATATAAATTAGAGAAGAGGCATGGGCAGACTGTAGTGGTCATGCGACATACCTGGGCGGCATAGCCGACCTTGAGGAAGCCGGTTCCTCCATCGAGGACTGCGGAGTAGCTTGTTAGCTTGGAGCTGGGACACGGTAGCCTGGGGGAATCGGTGTACCAATGGGCATTTCCGCCATCTTGGAGGAATTGGGGATTTGACGGTTGGGAGTAAGGATACCGTCCGAGACTGAAATTATCTTTGGAAACTCCCAAGATGAGCGGAATTAGGAGGGTTCAGGGGAGAGCGGAGGTGTTGGGGATGTTTGAAGTCGAGCCCACGGCGGACGGAGCATCATAACTTACGTGACCGTACCGTACCTGATATTCATCCCACAACTGGGGGGCGAGCCGCAGCCATGACGGTATGTGACCACATCATCGCATTCTTGGACCAGACAAGCTCAGCGATGATGGATTATGCTGTAAATAACCCATTTGAGCTCCTGACAAGTAGTAGAATAATGGAATAATGCTGGAAATCAATATAGGCCAACATTTGAGGCTATAGGATAGTACACGTGGGACGTCTCACATTAGGGGCTACACGTGGACTTGGCTACATGGGCACACGAAGCATAGAATGTGAGTAAAGAGACGAATTATATAACCCCACAGCAATGAAGTCCAATCGGTGAAGTCTAACCTGAAGACAGAACCCCCGTTGATACCATTGAAGAGCTTCCTGTCAGCCGACTCCGATATCCTCCGCGCTCCACCATTCCTATCATCCCTCGACCCATACAAAGAGACCCATACAAAGATTGCATTGCCCTGCCTAGGTAGACACCGCATTGCTAAACCCATTTTGAGCCAATCCTTAAGCCAGTTGTCTATAAAACTGTCACGCATTTGAACCCGCAAACTAGCGAGACAGCGAGCAACAATGCCACAAATCGGCTGGGTAAGTAACCCCTAGAACATCTACAGTTCCGAGCAAAAAAACCAACAAAGCAAACAGTATGGCCTTGGGTCCATGGGCCTGGCAATGGCCTCCAACCTGCAGCGCCACCTAGCCACAAAGAAGGCATTGAGCCTGGTCTACTCGAACCGCACGATGTCGCGCGGAACACCCCTGCAAGCACTGGGAGCAATCCCAGAACCAAATTTCGAGAAATTGGTGTCTCAATGTGGAATTATTTTCACCATGGTAAGTCAATTCCACCGGGAAATACTTCGCAATGGAACTCAAAGTGTCTCCTAGGTCTCGAATGACTCAGTGCTCCAAAGCCTGCTATCCACCGCCATGGGTTCAAGCCAGTCCCTGAAGGACAAGATCTTCGTCGACTGCTCAACGGTCCACCCCGATACCGTGAGATCCGCTGTATCGCAACTGAAAAGCAAGGATGCATCGTACGTAGCAGCTCCGGTCTTCGGCGGGAACCCAATTGCCGTAGATGGCAAGCTTGTTTTCGCTATCGGTGGACCTAAGAGTGCGACCGAGGCTGTCAAACCTCTGATCCACGATGTTATGGGTCGACGTGTGATTGATTGCGGTGAGGATGCTATGAAGTCTTCGCTTCTGAAAATAGCCGGTAACATTGTTACTGTTAATATGATGGAGGCTGTTGGTGAGGCTCAGGTCTTTGCCGAGAAGACTGGGCTTGGAACAGGTGCTATGGAGGAGCTCATTGGTGAGGCTTTTGGTCCTGTTGCTGGAGGGTATTCAAAGAGGTGCGTAACAGTATTGTTTCGGTGCTGGTATTGTGGCTCTTCATACTTATCTTTGTTTCCAGATTGACTACTGGAGCTTATGCGCCGCCCATAGACTCTCGTCCTGGCTTTGGGGTTTCTCTCGCTATCAAGGATGCTAGACATGCTATGTCGATGGCGCAGGAACATGGTGTTGAACTTCCTGGCCTTGAGGTTGCTCGGACTAACATGGAGGCCGCAAGAGAATATGGCGGCGAGTGTCTAGACAGCAGTTCGATGTACGGGACGCTGCGCCAGAAGGCTGGCCTGGAATTTTGGAATGAGAAGAGTAGGAGAGGGTAAGGTGAAACCCATGTGTCCCATAAGGTACGGAGTAAATATTGATATGAAGATTTCTATTCATTTAAATGTCTAGACCGAAATGATCCCTCCAAATATCATTGGAGGCATTAACATGAAGCCCTGGAAGTGACATGTGCCCCTTCTTACAGCATGTTTCTGCTTTGTGTTGAGACTCAGCCAAGAAGAAAAATTAATACACCCAAAAAATTAAAAAGGTTGACTTGCTTAAAAGCCAGGATTTCCTTTGCGTCAAGATGAGTGGCGGAATTGAAAGATATAAACCAAGATCCACAAAGCAGAGGTAGGATAGCGGTTGGAGTGCAGCCGCTTAGGTGGGTTTGTAGTCTCCTGGAGATTCTACCCCGTATGAGGTGTTGGGCCGTGCTCTTGGCTTGATTAGTGTGGTGTCTACCAGAGAGGGATAAGTTTCCGCAAAGCTGGGCCCCAACGACCAATTAGACAAATTCCTCATATGCCGTTCGAAGACGGGGTTGATGACCAGCTCATCCGACTCGCCGGCTGACAATAAACAGTCCGTAGCCTCGTATGGCCAATTGACGTTTATGTCACGTGTAAATGGCATGGTCCAGTTCTCAAACGGGTAGTTCTGGTAATTTGTAATGATCCTGTCGCGCATTCCCGGCCAGGGAACGTAATCCATCCAAGCAGGGTGTGGATGGAGAATTTGTGTTGGGCGTGGGGTCAACCACTCTGGGAGTCTCTCATAGTTCTCTTGCGTGGGGTAAATTTGCCAGCGCATAAGGAGGAACATGGTGTAGAGCACGGCAACTTGTTCCGGCAAAGAGGAGATATCGGGAAAGGCGCACAGGATATCGGTGAACACTTTTGAGACCGGATGGGAGAAGACACTTCTCTCCGGGTTTAGCAACGAGGAGACACTCGGGTACGGTGGCCCGGCTAAGTTTTGTCTAGGGATGCCTTGAGCCGCCTCGCGTTGACGGCTTTGAAGAAATTCCAAAAGAATGTTATCCAAAGGACATGTCGCCGGTAGATTTTGTATCGGAGCGGCGAATGCAGGTGGCCCATGGTCAGAGGTTGTGGTCAAGGGATGGGGGTATATTGGTGACGGAGAATTCAGCGGGGGACAGTGGAGGAGTTCTGAGCTGCTACGGTGTAGCCGGTCGACTTTGGGGACAGTATGCGAACCATCCAGAAGGAAATTAAACCCTAGACGCTCCTCCGAGCCGAGGTTTAGCCCATGAGTGATATTATGGCGTTGCGAGTCCAATGCGACACGGAGAGAGGCGGAGTGAGGGCCTCCATTGGTACTGTTGCGGCGACTCCCGAGGGTGGGTGCAGAATGGGTCGGAGAAGGTGTATCAAAGCTGGCAGTAGACTCGGGATATGTTTTCTCGCCTGTAAGTAGTGGCTGACTATGAGGAGTGAGCCGATCGGTGTCGGGCAATGGGGATTTTTGCGGAGGCGGGGCGAGATTGGGTGTAGCTAGAGAAGGAGATGGTTCTGTCTGTATCAGCTTTGGACTTGGATTGTATTGGGATACACAACTGACCTGGTAGTTCTGGCTTAGCCATCAATGGTTGGAGAATGGCCATTACCGCCTGAAGCCCTTGGCGGAGCTCTGCGTTCTCCGAGCGAATCGCCCCATTCTCCTGTAGAGCTGCTTGGAGATCGAGGGAGGGTTTTTGTGACGACAGGTCCCTGACCTGTTGCTCCAGAGCTTCTATGTGCCCCTTGGTCCTTTCTCGAATTGCGCGCTGCGCTTGGCGGTCATTGGCCCGCTTTTTTGCCAACTGATCGGGTGTGAGATTGGCGACACCTCTTGATGACATGCTATTCAGCTTGCGCTTGCGTCCTGATCTCGTGCCATGGTCCAAGCTTCCTTCCACGTCTAGGGAAGTCGCACGGGAGGGAATTGGCAAGTCCTCTTTGCCGACGGGTGTAGGTTGCGAACGTTCTGGTAGGTCGGACAAGTCGGGCTGAGGCACCACAAGCTCATTGGCGTTTGAAGCGCGGGTGGCCATGGCCTTGCACACGCGCTAGTTAAGATTGGCCATTCAAGTGGAAATTGTGGAATGGGAGGGTTCTGGAGTAAAAAAAAGTGTGAGGTATGGGGTGTTACCATGTGGGTCAAGAATGTGAAGTCCAAAACGCTTTAAACTTTCATGCAGCCAAGGGATTGCATGGCATCAGGTTTATTGGGAATAAACAATATTTGTCTAGGTACCATATATCTAGGGACACGAATCTTCATTCTAGGAAAGGCTGGCGATGAACATGAAGTATTGGGCACAGAAAAAAAGAATATACAGAGCGCCATATGTAACCTTGGAAAGGATCAAGATTGTGCACAAAGAAATCGATCATATACAAAGGCTTTTTGTAAGTTCCAATGCAAGAAAACATACGCCAGACAAAAAGGGGAATGATGGTAGGGACATAAATTCAGAACGACAAGCTGAAGCATTATTGGATCATATGGCCCATTTTCGAGATCTATCAAAGTCAACGTATTAGTATAACACCAAACTGCGCAATGGTTTGCAGACATACCTTAGTCTGTAGATAGCCCTCAATTTCAGAGCTCTTAATTCCTCGCTGGCCGCCAGTCCGCCATGCTAATGGGACCATCGGTACCCGTTCTTTTACAAGAACTTCCCGGTTGGGGCCCTCGATAGCGCGGACTTTATCGGGGTTATTGGTAAGTAGACGAATTCCTTCTGGAATGGCATCCACACCACAGCCAAGGTCTACCAAGATGGCGGTAGCCAGCCCATAGCTTCGAGCATCAGCCGGATGGCGGAGCAAAAGGTTTGCCTCAACGGTATCCGACCCAAGATCCTGGAGATTGTATGCCTTCAACTTCTCCCCAAGACCGATTCCACGACCCTCCTGGCGTAGGTAAACAATCACACCCCCTGTCGAATGTGACGAGAGAGATTGGACCTCTGGCGGCGCATCAGAGGCAAGGCCCTCAACAGGGAAAGACATCAAGCGCGCCGCCTCATCCAGCTGCTCGCCGCAATCGCACCGCGCCGACCACGCCGTTTCTCCCGTATAACACTCCGAGTGAATTCGCACCAGCGGCGGCTCGACCTGCTTTGGCGTCGAGGCTGAACCAGACAAATCATCATCATACCGGCTGCTTACTCGACCTGGGTGCAATTTCCCAACGTACGCGCCGCGAATCATTCGGTCCATCTCAGTCTCCCCTGGCCGAGCGCTGTCCAAGCTCCGGCTGCGAATATTGTTTCCAAATACAATGGCCAAATGCTCCTTTCCATCTAAATCATTGTGGTAGAGGTGCAGGAACATTTCCGCTCCGTTGGTTGTCGGGATTCGCGCCCGCACAATACATTCCACTGCCGGGAGCTTCGGGAGTAATTTGGGACCTTTAGCATCCTGGATCTTATGTTTGATATCTGCTGCCTGGCTTTTGTGAAAGACTGCTGTGGGGTGTAAATCCAAGTTCAATGTGCCACCCGGGGTCGCAGGTGGGGTGAATGCGGGCGACAGCAATGAGTCCGGTAGGGCCGGGGTCTGTTCGCCTGCGGCGGTGTTTCCCTGACTGGAGTCATCCGATTGTCCATCTGATCTGCCCGGCGACGAACGCGGCGCGAGCTTTGGTGAGGCGTGGGCCGGTAAGTCGGTCATTGCGACGGAGAGGCGGGGTAGTCGGAAGGTGTGACGCGTGAGGCTGCGGAGGCTCTAGTGTGCAGGGGTAGGGATTCAATGGCGCAGATGCATCGGACGAAAATAAACACAAAATCTGTTAAATGGAAAGTTTTAATTGCGATGTAGACTATGCCCCGGCTATGCTCCCTCGGCATGAGGAGAAGAAAGCTGAGTCATCTCTATGTCAATGCTTACACTAGCACATTCTCTCGGCCCTTTGTGTTTTAGTCAAGAATTTATAACTTGTGAGGTTGCTTCAGCCTTATTTGATCTAGAATTACACCCTATAAAATACTTGGCTTTTGGCCTAAAGTCAACGCTCAAATTGAATGTTGTTCTCACATTGCATATATCAAACAAGTTTAAGCCGACATCGGGGAAGAAAAATATAAAAATATAAACAATCACGGCAATTGATCACGCCACCAGTGTTTTAAGTGGTGCGCATATCAGCGATATAGGAACATCTATGATCAATGCTGTGGCCATTCAAAATGCATGGAAAGTGTATCTCACATACTTGTCCGTGTGGTACATGTTCGTCGAAAACGCAAGGTAATGTGATGTGCCATCAGCCTCGGCACTTCAATGAGGGGGCCAGCATCGGATTCCATCGCCATTGGGGTTGACAGCGTCAGCGTTGGCTTGCCGTCTATCTGGTACACAAGACACTAGCTCCTTGCGTTTTAGAAGCCATTCGCATCGATCGTCCGGTCCTTGACGAGAGAGCAGGCTGGCAGATTGACTTCCAGTCATACGAAAGCTTCTTATATTGTACAGGTCTGGAACTACTCTATCCTGACCTAGCTTTCTCCCCGTATAGCGCCAACACCCCCCTCCTGGCCACTAAGCCGATACCAGAGATTGAACCAGTGGCTAGCTGCTAGGCTAGGACGGCAAACTTAGCTGTATTTGGGTCAAATGTCAACTAGAAATTGTCGTAGTTTCAAAAAAAGATTTGGTTCTTTCTAACTAAAGTATCTAGTCAAGATGAAAGCACCCCATATCCATGGTAGGCCTTCGAACTCCAGATAGCGCCGCGCTTAAATGGTATCATCATCACATCAGATCGTAGAAACAGCTTGAGATTACTTGCCCAGGATATCCAGCACAAATCGCCGGTCAACCTCCATCTCTTTATCGTCCTCTTCACCCTCAAACTTGAGGCGATAGACGTCCTTCCTTGCGCCCATCACTTCCGCACGATAGAATGTGGTAGTGTCCGGGTATCGCGCGAGGACCTGCTTGCCAGCAGGGTACGTGGACAAGTGGGCGCTGAGCTGAGGAATTGGAATGAGAGAGGCAGCGGTAGTTTTGTAAACTGCCCCCTGCTCACCATTCTCATTCGGCTCGGGGTCCTGCACATCATATCTGAATCAGACATGACGCGTCAGTCAATGTAAATCGAGACAAAACGAAAACGACCCAACATAACTTACCGCTTCTTCGGTCCGTCGCCACTAACAGCCTTGATTATGCATTGGATCCCCTCACCCTCGACGCCTTGTTTATTCTTATTGTGTTTGAACACCACCTGAGCCCCAACCACCAACTGGCCATTCCGCTCTGCGACAGTGCCCTTGGTCCCTTCCGACGGCCCTTCCTCGACCTTGACCATGAGGTTATCCTGACGGCCCCCGTCGCGGGCTTGCGTGCTTGATGAGACGCTGGCGCTGCGTGGGATGGTCCCCTTTGAGCGAGCGGACTTGTCAGCCCCCGAGGCACTGGGGGAGTCGGTCACCGAACCTTCGACTTCATTTCTTTTCTTGCGCGACTTGTTGAACGATGCGGACCGATTGGGAGGTGCTTCGGCTTCGGATGCCTTGCGCAATGCTGTGAGCAGTTCTAGGTTTTTGATTACGTCGCATGGTTCGTCCTGCATGATCGAGCGCTCATCTTCGCTGAGCTTTTGACTTAGGCGGAGCCAGCTATCGAGTTGGTCGTGTTCAGCCATGGTCGGTTCTGCTTGTAAGCGCGAGATTAGCAGATGCGATTAATAATCAGTTAAAAATTGTTCAGATTAATTAGATGTGCAGCGCATGTTGGAGCTTTGTGGTGGCGGGTATAGAACCGAGGGATCTAGTGCGGGGACGCTCACGGTTGCCATCATGGGCGATCTTGTCCACCAAAGCTTTAATCTGCAAGGACAATGAAGTCTGCTGATCGAACTTCTCCTTTGATTTTCGAATATCCTGGCAGATCTTGGTCCAGAGCTCCAATTCCTCATTATTGCCAAAGCCGTTGTCTCTGGGTCGGGGGCGGTTGCGAGACATCGGGCCGTTTATCAAGTGTAAAGAATGTATGGAGAGTATGAACAGCTTATTGCTGACCAGAACCCTTAGGTAATGAGACCAGATTTGAAGCAACAAGTTGTTTATTCGAAGGCGTTGGAGATGCGGTGATAAGGGCTCCGTCCGCCGGGCGGTCGGAGTTGATACGCTAAACTACTTCGGGACATTGCATTCTAGATGTAATGACAATTGAATCATGAACTTCTTCTATTCTCTGTAGATGTATTCGTAATCGACTTAAGTGTTTGACTTTGTTGACCCTGTTATTATGATGTCTCGATGCGGTTGTATGTTTTAGCCATATCTAGTAGGATGGTTGCGGAAGTACTCCGTTAGGAATGATAGATCGGGATAGATACCTCCGTACGGAGTAAACCCCAGAAACAAAAAGCCGGGAATTCCTCGAAATGCCACGGAATCAATCTCAAAAATAAGAGGCCCCAGACGTGTGTCGTAGAGACCATACAGGCCTTATACCACCTCTCACCGAAGGCTTGGCGGGCAATTTCTAATAGAAACTTGCCCCTCCGTTTTTTCTCCAAACATCCATTTCACGATGCAGGTACCACTACTTCGGTTGCAATGCGGTAAGCTTTGAGATTCTCTGTGGCAGCAACATGACTGATATGTTTTCATTTAGGCGTCAACAGCTACGACTGGGGTAAGCTAGTACACCTGCGATATTGTGTTCCCCGCACTAATGTCCGTCATAGGCAAGGTCGGCCAAGAGTCGGCAGCGGCCAGGTACGCGGCCACAACAGCCGCCCCGGACTTTACGATTGAGGCCGAGAAGCCCTATGCCGAAGTAAGTCAGAGCCCAAGTCTAATATTGGACGTAATGAGCTCACCCTTCATAGCTCTGGATGGGCACACACCCTTCTCTTCCATCTAAAGATGTCGAGACTCAGCGTACCCTCCTCGACATGGTTCAGGATAACCAGGCCCTGCTGTCGACCGAAATTAGTGAGCGATTCGGAGGCAGACTCCCGTTCCTGTTCAAGGTGCTTTCCATCCGTAAAGCCCTTAGCATCCAGGCCCATCCCAACAAGAAGCTCGCGGAGCAGCTGCATGCCCGGGACCCAAAGAACTATCCCGGTAAGTGTTACTTGGGATCACACTCAATCAACGAGCACCTGGAATGATGGCTAACCAATTGAAAGATGACAATCACAAGCCTGAAATGACAATTGCCATCACTCCATTCGAGGGTTTGTGTGGCTTCCGTCCGCTCGCAGAGATCGCGCATTTCCTACAGGCCGTGGAGCCGCTGCGTACCCTAGTTGGCAACCAGGCGGCGAGTGAATTCGAGCAGCTCGTCAAGGGTAACGAGAACTCAGACGACCCTGCTGTCATCCAAAAGAACAAGGAAGCACTACGCTCCCTCTTCACCACTTTGATGGAGTCGTCACACCAGAAGGTGGAGGCAGCCTGCAAGGACCTTATCTCGGCCGCAGACAAGAATCCCGACAGCTTTGGAACCGTGCCAGGTGAGGTGGAGACGAACCCCACCAACCCTGCCGAGCTGGCTGCGCTTGCCAAGCGTCTTGACGGACAATTCCCGAACGATATCGGTCTGTTCATCTTCTTCTTCCTCAACTTTGTCAAGATGGAGCCTGGTGAGGCCATGTTCCTGAAGGCAGATGACATTCACGCATACATCTCCGGTGATATTATCGAGTGCATGGCGTCCTCTGACAACGTGGTGCGAGCGGGTTTCACCCCGAAATTCAAGGACGTCGACACCCTCACCCAGATGCTGACTTACTCCTATGCACCAATCGAGGAGCAGAAGCTCCGAGCAACAGACTACCCATATGTCATCCTGAACGCCATTGCTTACTCTAGCGCCTCATCCGCAATGCTCTACGACCCTCCTATCGACGAGTTCAGCGTTATCAAGACTGACCTGAATCGGACGGGCGCCAAGGCCACTTTCGACCCGATCGATGGCCCTAGCATCTTTATTTGCACGCGTGGCAAGGGCAAGATCACTGTTGGCAACAAGACTGAGGAGGTCCGAGAGGGCTATGTTTTCTTCGTTGGCGCTACTGCCCAATGCGTGATTGAGAACACTGGCAGTGGTGAGGGCGATGATGATGTCTTCACGACCTATAAGGCATTCTGTGAATTAACCGCTGCCGGTGAGGAAAACTAGGTCAATGGTAACTACGTTGTCATATTCTAATCTGTGGCGTCAAGATGAAACACCCCGTTCTTACATCGGCGCAAACCTGTGAAGTGCATGAGGAAACAGAGATGATATACGGTACTCTAGTATGAAATAATAAAATAACAAAATAACCAAACTATGGACAAATCCAATAACAGGAGACGAAACTCTAGTTAAGCGTTCAGGCTGTAGTTGCCACAACCCAAGGGCTCAGAAATATTGTGCCAATGGGCCTCTGAAGAACCTGATCTTTGTACCAATGGAGTTACGGGATTCCTTGTTTGTTAACTTCTAATTCGGATTTCTCTTGCTCGAATTTTTTGATTTTCTCTCCTCCGGTATATAACTATACGCAGTGTTATAATATGGCGCAAGGGAAATGGTTTGCGCTTAAGCACCTCAGGCGCTAAGTGATATTGGTAATATCGTCTTCCATATTGATCTCAAAACTCTGTCCAACATCACATGGCTGATATTTGTTCAAAAATATGTTCATGTTTTGCGGGTTTCAATATATGTGGCGGCTCTTCAGTACGGCGAGCAAAATAGGCACCGAGGGCACGATTTTCTCAGTCTCCTTTTTATAGCCCTAACTTGACCTCAACAGGAGGTGTTTGATCCATCAGGTTATTTAGGTTGAATGGAATACTAAACACAGTAATACTTGGGCAATGACCATAATCGACAGCATAAGTAATTCCGTGATTATTATTGGGCCTCGGAAGAACTGCACTCGATAACATGTCGATTAACCATCAGCCAGCTATATGAATGTCTGTTTCACGGAGTAGAATGCGGTTGCTGAAAAAGCCACATCACCAACAAAACAGATATACAACGTGATATTCATTCCATTTACTTGTTTCAGGGCAATACGATAGGCTTATGCAGAAGATTAGTTACCAGGCCTAAGAGTAGATGGGTACCTACAGTCTGACTAAGGCCAGTGTTACGACATGATGTCAGTACATCACTCTTCTGTATAGTCCAAAGTGTCAAGGATATCCACAGTTTAAATTACTTGCCAACCACTTGCGTTGATAAATTCAGCACTGGAACGATTAACCTTGTCGCCACATGTGCCACCCACAATGGCCTCTTCTCGCTCGAGATCACGCTGCTCTGCAAAGTGGCGCTCAATACCACAATCTTACATAGAATTGCCAATACCTTCCAGGCCGGATGTTTGTTTCTTGCGGCCGTGTGCGCCGTTATGCCTGACCTCAGTGTTCGTCTGGCCCTGCATCGGTCTGCCTAGGCCGCGGTTCACATCACCCGAGGTGGCTCCCATAAAGGTATCCGCCACCGATGTGTAGGTATTCTCTTCTTCTTCCTCTGCGTTTAAATTGAGGTTGTAGTTGTCACCGGGGTCGCCGGTATAGGTGTCGCTTGCTGGGGCTGAACCGGGAGGGAACGCCCGAGCGCGGTATTCGGGGCCCTGGTCGAACTCGTTGGCTGGATGCTGTAGTCTATATTAATTCGGTGTACTATCGTGGGCTCTAAAGTTAAACATACACCCTCAGTGGTAATTAGCCCTTCGCGAGGGACCGAGGGCCTAAAAGCACCTTGTTTGGCATTTGCGGCGTTATTAGCTTTCGACGAGTGACTCATTATGAATACGTATTTCCTCCAGTGCTGAGAAGTAGCAAAGAACTCGATTGTCATATCCTAGTTTGGGGTTCTTATATTTCATGACCCATGATGTAACTATGTGGTATAGCCTAACTAGATGGAATATATAGCAAAGTGGCAAATTGACATGACACCAAGGTCATCGCCAGCATGGTAACAAGTGGCTGGTATTGCTTAGTGAACTGTCTATTCATTACTTCAAATTCTCCATGGCGAGAGAAATGAAGTGCAGATGACGTAAAAGTGTAAATTGACATTTGACATTCGCGCCTTTCTTGACTAACTGGTACATTCAAGTGACAGATACACTGGACATGAAATACAAGGCTCATCACCGTAGCCCAAACAAGAATAATTAACCTTCGTTTAGTTCGTATTAGGTGTCGTCGATTTCTAAGGTACCTGGATTGTGGGCTACCATTTTACCATCCTTGTTCTGGAAGCGAATCTGCTCAAAGACCGTCCTTAGCATGATGCATTTAGTCACATTAGCTCATAACATTCTACTCACCTTTGGCGGATTCTTCACACCAACCTCTGCCGCTCGTTGTTGGTCTGTGATTATCTCTTCCACCTAAATATATGAGTAATCAGCACACCCTTACGGTTGTCCATAAATCGTCATATTTTACTAACAGGTCCTTCATGCGTTCCACCGCGAATCCTGGTTCCCACATAATCACCGGGGTGAATAACATCTCCGTATTTGTCGGTAACTTTGTTATCACCCATGTTGAACGTTTCTGTCAATGATTGAAATAGATAACACTTCGAGGATACTGGATACTCGGGACCAGAGCATACTACATATATTCCTTGGGGCGAGAGTTGCACTATATAGAGCCACGATGATCTCATATGTACCTCATCCCTACAGTTCTATCCAATTTGGCCGAGGGTAGGCGTGGACTGGGCCAGTCTCGACAACGGAGCACTAAAGAGACCACTAAAAAGGCATCACAACGCTGAATAAGCGGTCGGTACTATTTAACATGGAAACAGTGGCAGCAAAAATGTGTGATCATAGGCTATTGAAAACGGGGTGTAAAAGGTCGGCGTCAACATCCAAATTTAGACAAAACACAAGAGAACAGCAAAATGCGTACCAAACCAACCAAAGAGCGTGCTATGACCTTCAGTTCACTGCCACCAAGCTACTATACGACTAGATTCACCCTTCCAATGAAGCATGCATTAGAAACCCCCCTCGCTTTCCCATTCATCGACAAATACTAGGCTACCGTTGATTGCTGACATCTTCCCCACGTTGTCCTCTCAAGCTGGGACACAACCCCGAGAAGGCCCACTGTTCAAAGGCTCATCGAAGTGAGTGCATCGTTGAGCATTGAGATATCCGCGTTTATGCCACGACGACTCTCACGGGCATATTTGAACATCAGATAGTAAGGAAGCCTGTTGTGCTGAACGGAGGCGAGAAGGATATCCGCTTCTTTGACTGCTTCATCTAGGGTAAGCCAGGCCGACTCATACTTGTCTTCCCTCCATAAGTAACATCCCCACATCGCGAGCACCCGGTATAGCTTTCCGCTCGAAGAAAACCTTTCCCGTTCTTTCTTTTCTTCGGGCTTCCGTTGATTGTATCTCTCGAAAATGACCATCGAAATGCTATCCACAAGCTCGAAGTCGTCGGCGATGTGAAAGACGTTGAACCATTTATCGAGATCCTCGAACCCGATATTATCACGGCTGGAGGGAGCAAGGTCTGCATAAAGCCATGTACTCTTCATCTGAGGATACAAGTATTGCGGATCGACGTGACCGATTAACTGCGAAATGGTGCCGATGGCTTGCCCAGCCAGCTTGACTCGCTCGGAAATTGGAAGATCGCGAACCCATTGATGAACTTCTGCACTAACAGAAAGAGGATCGTTCATCTTTAGAGGTTTGTTCAGCTGAAACGAATCGTTCAGCTCGAACGACTGATTGGACTGGTGGTCACGTCGCACAAGCTTGGCTTTATAGAGCTCATCAAGCATCTCGTCAATCTTGTATCTCTTAATCGAATCATTATCTGGGAAGAAGGAAGCAGCCCATTCGGCATAAGGAGGTTCCCTCAATTCATGGCGTAAAAGAGCATAAATCGCTTCCAAGGTGAATTTAGAGAGAACACCCAATATCCTCAAAGGCTTGTAGACGGTAGGATTGGCCTCTAGAAGTTTGCTCATACTCCCCGCGAAGGATGCCATGTTGCTTCGTTAGGAGTGGTGCTATATATGTTTGAGAAATATAGACTATTGAAGTTTTCTCGTTTGGCAATTCGATACTCATGAGAGAGGAAGATGCTGAAAGAAGACACTGGAAACTGACTCTTTATATGGAGTTTCTCACTGCTACGGCTCGCCCCAGAGCAGTGCCTGAAGAGGCGAGACTACTACTACTATAGGATATATTATGATTGATACATACGCATAAACTCCTGAGCCAACCGGAATATTAAGCACAATTAAATTGAACATTTGCGTTGGTTCTAATCGCCAAAAAGATGACGACGGCAGCTCATGACACCAGTACGGGGTTTCTTACGAGCTTTAGTATTCACCAGGGTTATGGCCTCTCAGACGTGCCGTGTTTTAAAATACATATCGCGTTTTGGCGACTAATGTGACATTTCATTAGGCACCAGACGATTTGAGTCCCAGCCTCCCCACAACACCCACACAAAGTGAGATGAAGCCGGATTAATGAATGATATATACATCCTCAAAGCCTCTCTTTGAACTAACACAGCTGAGATTATATGTTCCTCGTGTGACGTAGATTCCATTCCACTAAAAATAGCATAGGAGGGAAGGCGAAGCTGGAACTTGCACCTTTCATGTTGCAAGGCCACTAAAACTATTGGTCACTATAAAAAGCCAGTAAAATCTAATTTCGTTAGGCATAGTATTATGTTAGCCCTTGCCGCGTGACCTATCAGAACAGGACTCAGGATGGTCACAGCTTTCCGCTTCACAAAATGCCCATATCCAGCATATCATGCCCCATCAAGTGATCGCATTCGAACCATGCAAGGCTTCCTTGTGATTAACACATCTAATCTATTATTCAGGCTGTTTGACGACGTGTTGCACCGACGTAGGCCCAAAAAAAAAGCAGGGTTTTGAAAGCGAAGTTGCGCCCTTCAAGCCACGAGTTCCTTTTTCCTGTTTTCAATTCCAATCTGCTTGTTAAATACTTACATAGCCTCTATCCCTGTTAACAATACTGACATTGGCCAGACCAGACCAGCTGATGAGGCTCATACGTAACGTTAGTAGAAGCCTTGGAGGTAGGCTATGTTTCCGTCTGGAACACCTTTCTCTTCTTGTATCCACACATATATCAATATACACACACACCAAATATCATTCTCTCTTTTGCCTTTTCATGCTTCTGTTTGCTTCCTTATCATCTACACTACGTTTGTGGCATAGGACACACTGAATTACTCATCGCTCTCCTCTGCTCAAACTAATCATCCGGGCTTAGGTAGTCTTTGTCTCTGTTATCAACCTTTACCCACTACGGCACTCCTGTTATCTATCCTTTCTCGATTCGACCTCAACCAGAAGTGGTCTTATACCCTTTCCCCTTGCCCAAATTCCCTTATTTTATATATGTATCCATTCTACATTTCTCAGCTTCTGATTATACTGAACAGTCTCTTAATTAATCTCGAGAAGAGCAGAATTTCAACGCCGCACTTGCTACGAGGGCGCCGGTCCCCATGTTGCACAGCCGTGTGGTCATCTTTTTGTCTCGAATACACTGGGGTCATTGGCACAGTTGCGGCCATCTGATTAGCTGACCTTGAATGGTGGTTTCATAATAGATATCTTCGGCATCTGTCCAACGTACCTCTACATTCTTGACAAGTATGGTCCCCGAGGTTCGAGGTTTTCTAAATTTCCATATATCTCCTCTCTTTCCCAGTTTATGTATCATATATCCAAGTAATTTCAATGCCAATCTCCATCATACAGCGTGCAGACAAATCCCCTCAAAACCCCATACGCCGAACGCGGCGCTAAAGCGGAACCCCTGGAGATATCACGATGCAGATCGGCGGAAAGCCAATCAGAACCCGACGGCTTCACATCCTGCATACCCCACAGCCGAGGGATTCCACAGAGCGGCAAGGGAATTTATAAAGCGGACACATAGCCCAGCTCCTCTTCTTCTCCCCCAAGAGCTTGAATTACTCAAATCACAATCATGTCGTCGAAACATGATATCCCCCAGCTTGGGCTTTGGGAAAGAGCAGATATCCCATTCATGCACTTGTCAGTGTACGCCAGCATGGTGTATGCTGCCATTACCGGTGTTTTCCGGGGCAAAGGAAGCCCCAAACGCTACGATCACCATGTTCTGACAGCCGTATTTCGGAAAGTGATTGATCGTAGGTCAGATCGGCAGATACAGTATGTTCTCTCCAATTTTGCTGCACTTAACTCCTAATAACCCATGAATGAGAATGGACATGAAATTGATGTGTCGCGCAGGTATCTGACTCCCCCCACTTCAGTCGCCTACGCAGATGTCATGAAGAAGCGTGGTCTCGAACCCGAGACCGTCGCCCTCCCACATGACGTAGAGGGCCACTGGATCGGAAATAAAGACGCCAAGAACGTGATTATATACTATCACGGTGCGTCTTTAATCTTATTCGCAGAGCGAAAATCTCACAATACAATTGAGAACAAGCACTGACAAAAATCAGGTGGTGGTTTCGCCATGCCCGCCATTGCTGCATACTTCGAATTCTGGCTGGAGATGTTGAAAGCCTTGAACGAAACCGGCCATGACCTAGCCGTTTTCTTCCCCCGGTACACGCTAACCCCACACGCGACGTACCCAACCCAACTCCGCCAAGCCGTCGAGGCCCTGCGCTACATCATCAACGAGACGGGCCGCTCACCCGCCAACGTGATTATCGGTGGGGACTCCGCGGGCGGGAACCTGACTACCGCGACACTGCTGCACTTATCTCACCCGCACCCCGAGATCGAGCCTTTGACGCTGTCGACGCCATTGGCGGGCGCGTTTACATACGCGCCCTGGATTCAATTTAGTACAGAGTGGCCGTCGATGAAGGAGAATCAGTGGAAGGATATTGTTACCGCGCCTACTTTGACCAGGTGGTCTGATTCGTATCGAGCGGACAAACAGGCGGATAATTGGAATGAGCCGTTTAATGCGCCGGCTGAGTGGTGGAGTGGTGTTAAGGCGGAGAAGATTTTGGTCCTTGTTGGTGGGGATGAGATCTTGCTTTCGCCTATTCAGGAGTTTGTGAAGAAGATTAAGTCGGTTTATGAGGAGATTACTCTTGTTGTTGGGCAGGATGAGTCGCATGATGCGCCGTTTTATACTATGACCAAGGAGGACTCTCAGACTAAGACGGAGTTGCGGCGATGGTTGGCTGCTCGGTTGTGATTTATTTGCTGCCACGCAGTTTGGCGCAGAAGGGTGGTTGGATAGTAACACGTCTTGTTGTTCCTATGTCTCATACCAAATTACAGATAGGAAACATTGAATCGGTTGAAAGGTCGTGTCTTTTCATAAACAAGCAGGATGGGCTCCCCTGACTCGGATTAAATAAAACAGCAAATATATGAAACAGCATTTAGATTATTCTACGATGAGACCTTGGCAGAGAATTTAGCCGCCGCAGTATCGAAGAACGCGCTCTTCTCCTGGATATCGGTAAGAAGGGGGTGCGCGGGCTGCACCTGCTGTAACTGGCTAGATGAGAGATAAATGTTAGCATCGGGTTCACAATCTCGTACGGGGCCGGGGCGGGATGACATACGACTCCAGGTCCTCGGTCTGCTTGCCAGCCAACACATTCAAAACAATGCTATTGGCAATCAATTCGACATCGGTAGGGTATTTCTCAAGGGCAGAGATGAGGGCGGCCTCAGCCTCGGGCAGACGACCCAGGTGGATCTCAGCGACGGCCTGACCGACGATAGATAGCGGTGCGGAGGTACCGGGTGCGGAGGCAAGCTCCTCGTAGACGTAGAAAGCAGACTGGTACTTCTCGCCGCCCTGTACAGTAGAAACACAAGTCAGCACTCATACACCATTGAGCAGGATATTATAGTTTTCTCATCAACATACCACTCTCAAGCCAACCCATGACTCGGCAACGTTGACCAGCAGCGAATCCTGACCCCAGCGCTTGGCAGCTTGGACTTCCTTAAGCGCGAGATCGGTCCGATTTTGTTGGAGCTGGATCTGGACAATGAGGGAGACGCTGATACACACAGATTGTTAGATCAATATCCACCGCTATATCACAGTCTGTTTGCGACGGGTGTACTCACGCCTCGAGGTTACCCTGGTGCTTTGAGAGCAGCGCCAGCGCCTCCTCGCTAAGGCCCTGGGCCTGAAGTACGGTAGCAGCAAGAACCTGCACGTTGCTATTTTCAGGGTAGTTCTCTGCGAGCTCTTGTGCGAGCTGCAGGGCAGCGTCTGTCTTTCCGGCGGACTGCAGGGCCAGGGCCTTGACGGCCGACAGGTCCGGGCTGTCCTCCTCAATGGAGGGCTCGGCAAGGCTTTCCTCGTATTGGCCGAGAGCAATCTGGGCGCGGAGTTTGAGGACTTGAGCGGGGAGTTGGTTCTCGGGGGAGAGCGCGGCGGTGTCGAAGTCGATCACATTCTGGTATTGCCCGGAGTGGAAGGCGCTGTGGATGTTGAGGAGCTCTGCGGGGAAGGTGGATTAGCGGTGATCGGAGCTGTAGAAAGGGATAGAAAGCTTACCGCCGTCTGCAGAAAAGGGATCCATGTTGGCTGTTGTGGAGGAATTGGTTCGAGGAAAATGGGTTGTTGTTGATGATGCGCTGTGGCCGCAGTTGTTCACGGTGGCTTTATGGCGGAGAGGCAACTCTGCCGAGATAACACGGGGCAGGTAGGTGGGCCGACCGCCTTGGATCTATACATTTCCATCGGCACTTGACACCATCCTCCATTTTTGGAATTTTCATTCAGAAAGTTGGGTATTTATTCATTCATTACCAAAAAGCTAACCGTACATGGTATCGACATAGCACACATATCAAAATTCTCATGAAACAAAACAAAACAAACCGACAATATAATTTGTATTAAATCCCCTCTCTCGGCATCACAGACGAAATCTCTTCTTCCAGGCCCGACCTGCTTTGCGGGCCTTGCTTGATATAACTCGCGCAACGACAAGAGGCAACCACCCGGGCTCAGGGCTGGTAAACGGAGAGGGTGGTGGTGAGGAAGCGGCAGCGGCGATAGAGGATTCCCCGGAGGGTCGTGGTAAGGCTCCACAGTATGAGAGCAAACAATTTCCGCACTCCGAGTCAGTCGCAGCTGAGGTTAGTGAGCCCGGGTCTCCTTCTTCGTAGAGGAACTCCGCGAATGTCTGCCTTGGGGCGTGTCGGCAGACTGTACTGTACAGCCGATGAATAGATGACTCGCTGCGGAGTGTGGGGATTGGAGGTTCGTGCTCCAGCTTCATTGGACTGAGCATTCGTAGGTCGAGGGAGGAACGTCGGCATAAATGAGGGGATCGTTGTTGTTCGGATCGAGAGGCTTGTTGGGGGTGGTGGGTGCTGTGGGGGGTGATGACCACCCGATGGACTTTACCTTGATGGATCTCAAGTGTCCTGTAAACAATGTAAATACATACTGGAAGAGATAGAGATATATGTGCCTACTTTGGGTCGACGCTTTCATCGTCTCCGGAGCAGGCCACGAGCCAATTGGAGTCTTCAGGCTGTTCGTAATAGATTTGCACGGACTTCATCGTGCTATGTTGTCTATAGCCTCTGGCGATTTGTATTAAGAGGCCTCGAAGGGATTGAAAGTTGTTGTGGTGTATCACCCGGGGTCGAGTAATCAATATACTCTATAGTGAGGGCCAGCTAAGGTATCCTTGAAGTGCAGAGGATATATACCTGATGGCAGGATGATGTAATAGTCAGAGGAGGTAGATGAAGAAGTAAGAATAAAGAAGAAGATAAATGGATTCAAAGGCCGTATATATAGACCATGATTTGAGAGCTGTTAAGCCTTCTTGAGAGCCAGCATCGAGTTGTGTAGAATTAAGATTATCGTTCAAGCGTACTTTCCCTAACACAGGTATATTTAGGGCTACATCTATGGTTACCAGGACGAGAGCTGTTTCGGAGATGATGGAAGGAGCATCGGAAGCACCACAATGAGGAAAGGACATCTCAAAGTAAGGAACCACTCCGATAGTAGAAAACCTTATAATCAAGAGAACAAATCCGTTGAAAAGGTACTTTCCCGAATATAGACAATTCGGCATACATAATAGTGATGGTACTGCGAGCGTCGAAGACGAGATATCAGGGCCAGGGGTGGACGGTAGAAAGTCGAGGGAAATGAGGATGTAGAGATGGTACTAGGTAGCTTGATATTACAAGTAAATGAGCGGTATCTTCTAGTCCCTCAGCCTCATTACTACAATGAATGTTGGGTCGTTGGTGCAGGATCCAGAAACTCACTTGGTTGTTGTTTTCGTTACTTGGAAGAGCCAGAGTCAGAGCCTGAAACTGCTGTTGAGTGTAAACCACAGTGTAAGAGGGTCCTAGCATGTGTCAAATTGAGAATTCCGACAGTATCCCATAGGTCCCTCCGTGCATGCAAATACTTTACACATAGAATATGAGGACCTGTGGGATTGACGCCGAAAATGACCACTTCTTACGCCAGAAACGGCTTCCTTTCCACCCGTAACTTTGGCTGTCCTGCCTCTCAGAGTAGATATCAGCACGAGCTCAGAGTCAGTGATGAGCTCAGACCCGTCACGTGTATGATGACTGGTACACACACCATTTGCTTCAAACCCATTTCGGACTGCTACTTGGATATTAGAATTGATGAGTCGTGGTTAGCGCTGGCGAGCTAAATTGCTTGGTCCCACCAGACGGGGAGGAACATCTTACTTTTCATCCGTCGACTTACAACGATGGTATATTTGAATTGACGGATGAAGTAGAGACAATAGTAAGCGTATCTACCTTAACACAAAGCAAACGGGGGACCACCAAAAATAGGTATTGGCTGGATTGTAGTAGATTGCAGACTACCTAGCCCAGTATCAACTCATGATGGAGCAATGAGAGATCCAAGTAATGGAGACCGTGCTCGTGACGTATCCTTTCCCTTCGCTCTGTTGAAGAACTCTGCCGCTTTGTTGCATTCACGGAGACTCATGTGCACCTCGCCCATGTGTATAAGTGTGTCCAATGTTTGTGGATGTGAGAGGCCAAGCACCTTTTCCTGGCCTGACAATGCCTCGGTAAAATATTCCAAAGCGATTTCATATTGATCAAGCCCCTGGTATGCCAAACCAACCCAGTACCCCATTCGTAATGCGTGTTTATTTCGAGGACCGTATACCTCCTTTTGGCCTTCTAGCGCTCTATGAAGAGGCCTAAGAGCTCTCTCATGCTCCCCCATAAGAACGTACGCAGCGCCCATGTGATGAACGACCGACAATGTCACGTAGTATTTAGGGCCATAGAGTCTTTCGAATGCTGCTAGAACTTCGTTGAAGTACTGAAAAGCCTTCTCGTACTGTTGAAGGTCCACTAAAACCTGGCCTATAAACTTACGTGTCACCAATGTATCCCAATCCTCGGAGCCTAGCAGTCTTTCAAACCCAGAGAAAGCTAGTAAAAACAACTCTAGGGATTTCTCAGATTGCATTTTTTTGTAATGCGCCCAACCGGCACCTCGACATGCTAGATACCTCGTTGTCAAATCCTTTCCTTTCAACCTTTCAAGAGAAATGTGAAAAGCGTTCAGGGCTTCATCGTACTTGCTGTGATCAAGGTAGTAAAACGCCACAGTGAGGAGGACATAAGTCGGGGCTATATCTGCTTTCTGCATGATAATTCGTATGATCATTTGTATCGGATCAGTGATCTGTCTGAACTTGACGAGGTGAATGTTTAACCTCAGAAACAAATCTAACGTCCTCGACGAACTGTGCAGTGTTTTATCTTGAAGAATGTGCAGGATCGGTGCAACTTCTGCTAGCCCCATCATGGTACTTCCAGCGGACGGAAACCCAAAGTCAATGTTGTTCGAAATTGTAGTGTTCTGATCGATAAAAGCCTGAAACAGGCGTATTCGTTCGGTTCGCCAATTGAATTGCCCATACTCCTTTGATAGGCGCTCATGCTCGTCCTTCAAAACTGAAACAGCTTTCCATCTGATTTGAGCATACTCCTTGTCATCTAGCCTTGATAAAAAATCGTTAAATTCCTCGATCAAGAAGTCTAGAGAGTCATCTTCAACGATCATTGTGGCAATTTCGTGTAATATGCTCATGAACAAGGTCGAACCCAGCAGCTTGTCAGTTTGGTTTAAAATGTAACTTTTCTCGAAATCAGACCTGTTGATATGGAATAACAGAGACTGGAGCGCGTATTCGACAAATGGGCGGTCTCTTGTTCTTTCAGATGAGTTGCTGGCCGACGCGGCGGAATAAACCACCTCAAGATATGCTATACAGGCTTTTCCAATTGAGCCATGTGCATTGCTCAAATTGACTTGGAAGGCACGCATGATGTTGCGGTTCTTCCTTCGAGATCCCCATTGCGACTCAGGTCTGACTAGGAAGTCCATGACAGAAGAATGCACCAGATGCAAATAGCCGTTTTTAATACTGACAATACTACCACATAGCTTGAAGATGCGGCTATCTAGCGCGGGAATCAGGTAGTCCTCAAAAGGACTGTTCTCAGATGGTGAGGTAGACATGGCGTCTACGGCTAGTGAATATCGAACCTCTTCGATGGACAACGGACGTCTGGACACAAGGAGATATGCAACAATTTTCTGAGAAGCAGCGAGCTCCGACGGTTCCAACGTGCAAATAAGGCTCAGAAACAGATCCTCATAGAAGGTTTGAAGGTCTTTGGGGAGGTTGCGTAGTCTTTTGCGCGTGTCGGCTGCCCCAACAGACTTTCCCAGGTGCTCAATCATATGCTTAATCCAAAGGAAATTCCCGTTCGCGTGCTTTTGGAGAAATCTGAACACCTCCTCCTCCAGCTGTGGCGTACATATAGTATCGGAGTGTGTTATTCCGTGTCTAATAGCTTTCTCAATATCGGCGCTCACCAGGCTAGGCTCAATTTCAAGTTTGTGCTGGATAGCGCCAATTCCTTTAAATACAATCTGACGGCCGAACATGATAATGCGGAAGTTGAAATGATCTTGGAGGAAGATGCGCAGTCTTTGAATCAACCCAGCCGTGTCTTCCTTGCTTTCATCCACCCCGTCAATAATACAATAAACGGGATCGGAAACAAGGCTAGCTATGTCATGGAATGTCCTCCATAGGTCGGATGTCGTAGGCCGACCCTTTTGCATCGGTTCGTGTAACATTGATAGTGCTTGTTGTTTTGGTCCAATCTCCACCAGCTGCCATATGAGTGACCGCAGCATGTCACTGGGCTTTTGCTGTCTCGTATGTATTCTAGAAAAAGGGAAGAACAGCACCGGCGTAGTAGTTCGCTTCATGTGGTCTACCATAAAGGAGGCCAGCACACTTTTCCCACAGCCAGGAGGGCCGCAAATACAAAGTAAACCATCTAATCCCGAAGACGGAGTTGTTTTCCATTCCATGAAGTTCTTGTTCGACCAGATCCAGTCACAAGTTTCTGGAAGTTTATTTTGAATTGTGTCGTGCTGGAGTTCCCGGAAATTGGGTGGTTTCAACCAACGCTCGCATAGGATCCAGCGATCTTCGAGGTCCTTCATTTGGGATCCTTGTCAACGTTAGCGAGGATGCACTTGGAAAATGATGCGCTACCTATCATACCATGCTGAGCTTCTTTAAGTAGTCCTAGACTTTCAGTTACGCCCTCGTTGACTTTCGCTATATTTTGGGAAACTGTTCATCACCGTCAACGCTATTCAATTCAGATAATATATTCTCGTACCAGCAGTAAGAACGCGACCTGTTAAAGTTGGCAAAACTTCCACATCAGCGGGCTCAATCAGCGACAGAAGTTCCTTAGCATATGCCGACGAAACTGCAATTGCACGGTTCCTCCATCGGTCGTTCTTGTGCGAATCGCTGTAGTCGCTGATACCTCGGATGACAAGGCAAGGAAAGTTATTCATCAGGCCTGCGGCCTCCATTTCGAAACACAATATTGATGTGTTATAACGTTGGTCAATCCTGTCCCTTGAAACACCGCTTTTGATCACTAGACTTCCAGATGCTATAATCCCGTAATGTATGCGCGGCTTGCAAGGATGTTGTCGGCACTCTCGAATTACCAATGCGCTCTTGTCGCAAGAGTCGCATGTCCGAGCTTCAGGTGCATGGTTGTAGTCTGCCCGATACAAATCGTCAGGCACGCCGGCTGGATAAGCATAATCGTGACCCAGCTCCTCCATAATGCTACCCATAGTGTTGATCGGATTCTTCGGTCTTGAGTGATATGCCCTTAGCATGTCAACCGTTGCCAGGAGCTTACGGGGCGGTGCGCAAAACCAATCTTTCCTCTCGATCTCGCCATTGGGCATCAATGTCCCGTAGTCATGCTGCACAACTCCTGTGTAGGTCTTTTCTGGATAACTGACCACGACATCACCCAGACGCACATCTTTATCTTTTCCAGGCAGGCCCCCACCAATACCCACAAGAAGCGCGAATCGAATATTCTTGAATGTCCGGCGCATGTTCTCCGCCGCGACAGCAGCTGGTCCAGTTCCCATTTGCCCCCCAGATACCGATGCCATAGCGACTTTGTGGTCGCCGATTTTGCCGAGATGGTATGCATTTGTGTCATGTTGAGGGGTGGACTGGGGCCTTCCATGCTCCTCGTCCAGCATGGCCATGGCGACGATGAATTCGTCATTCAGAGCCGAAATCCATCCGACAGTGTATTCGTCGTTCGAATAAGGGGAGGGCTGCATGGTTGTTTATCACCTACCCGTTTGAGTGTTTCAAGGCCCGGGTGATAGGAAAGAGCTGTGAATGGGGGGATGTCTTCAGCAGAGGCGGTAGGGGCCGGTGACATCCTTTTTTTACCCTCAAATGCTTGGACAAACTATTGTGGCTATGTGCAGGCGCCGAGAGATTAGTGCGGAGTTACGAGCTAATAATCCTCTACCACAGCAGAAGTGAAGGCGACTCTCACGCTAAACTCAGGTGACACCCGACTAGTTTATTATAAAGAGCCAATACAATAAATACATGGCAGTGGAGTAGCCTTGCCAACCTAGAGTGTATTGCAGAGTACGATGTAAGCGCTAGTGGCGACCCACGTATGGTGATCTTCTATTGCGGCCCTATCATTTTTCCAATCACCAATTCCTAGGCTCTAGTGATCTTCGCACGAGCCCCCAATCGGGCTATACTGAAACATCATTGGATGACACTGAGCCATTAGGTTGAAGGATATTTGGATAAAGAAATTATACGAGATTTTCTAGCGTTACCTATTTCAGTACCTAAACTAGGCAAATTGTCTTTAATTGTCCTGTCTAGTATACCTGAAATATATGCACTCGGTCATCCAAAGGCCATGAGGCAAAGATGCACATTACCATCAGCCAATTGAAACCAGAAATCATCGATCAGCCCTGCCATCTGAATTTACCCTCCCGGAGGGTCTTCACGACACCCAGGGGAATGCAGTCGCGATTAACAGCAGCCAGGCCTCCATAAGTACGAGCCATCTCTTCGCAATACAGCTCCGCCACCCAGCACCAGTAGGGTGTCATTGCCCACCAGGAATCACTGATAGAGCCTTCAGAGGAGTCCTGACTGAGGGAATGTTGCTCCCTTTCAAAGCCCCAACTTTGCTCCACACTCGTCTCGCTCGGCACCTCGGTCAGTTGCTTATATACATCCACAAGAGACTCACTGAATGTTTCCGGATACCGGGTGTAGTCTTCCAGGGACATGAATGGCTTGTTTTCGGTGCTCCATTTGTTCCAGAATTGGCTGCTAGCATCAGCGCCGTTTTTCTTGAACTTCTCTTTGGCTGCCTCGTATTCTTTCTCGTCTCTCAGCGAAGCCTTATGTAGGAGCTTCCGAGGGGTCTGCTTGATATTTGGACGCATGGCGAGAAGCCTAATGAAGGGATTCAGGAGCTCCAGGCCACCGAGTTCAACGGGATAATAGAAGAATCCATCCGGGAGATCGTGAATATCGAACCTATCTGCGATCACAGTGCGTAGATAGTCGGTCACAGCAGTAATTTGAGCGGATGAATTTTTATCGTCCGAGGTTTTGTCAAACAGTGTACGCTCGATGCGGCTCAGGGTAGAAATGGCCATGTCGATATGGTCCCGACCGAAGCAAACAGCTGGTTTTGCAAAGTTATTCGTAAAGAAACGGCCGAAGTAGGTGTTCCATGCCTGTACCCAAGCGAACACACTTTTGCAGGACGAAAGCTGTAGTGAAAGCTCTTCGATATGCTTATCGACCTGGGACTGGTCGATTATGAATCTTTCTTGCTCCGCATCCAGAACCAGGAAGCCCCAGCGTATATCGCCGGTGGGAAGACCCGACTGGTTCGGGGTCTTCTTGGGGCCCATCTGAACAGTTCCAGTCTTCTCCTGGTTGAACTTCAGACCCATCACCCGAGTAAACTGTTCCATTGCCTGCCATGCTTTGACGCAAGTATTCTCTGCTCCCCAGAACCAGAAGTCGTCATGCAGCCGGTACAGGAAAGAGCCATTTGTAGCTTGATTGACTGAGTAGTCCATACAGAAAAGAACAGATTCTCCGAGGCAATCGGCGAGTGTATGACTCATTGGAAGGCCACGCTTGCGAACTTGAACACAGGCATCAGGTCCATCTTGGGCAAATTTGAGGGGAGCCTCCAAGAACAACACAAAAAATTTGAGCCATAGCTCGGAAACCCCAAAGAACTTGAGAACGGAGAGCAAAGTGGCATGGGGCATTGAAGCGCCAAACCACTCAAAGTCCGAGCGGACTGCAGTAAACTCTCCAAGCTGATGTTTATGGATGATGGATTCTGTGATTAGGAGGTGGAGCAGGGAATGCTTTGTATCCAGGGCATTCTTTAGTTTGGATTCCTCCTCGTCATACTGCCGTGCACCTTCATCGGATGAAGTTGGCAGTTGGCTCATGAAATAGTCGTCAATGTATGTCTGCTTTCGAATTTCGTTGATCTTGCCAGAGTCTGAGTTCGCATCTCGGCCAAGAAAGTACTTGCGCATTTCTTTGTGGTCCTCGGGGATATCCTCATGGGGGACCTTCCAGGCGTTGGAGTGTAGGAATGTCTCAAATACATCCCGCATCTTCACAGCCCACGTTGTCCCGAGGTACTGTAGCAGAAGGGCATCGAGAAGGTCTTCGTCCATGAAAGCCCGGTATTTACCGTTAAGCTGACGGCGCAGTTCGACAGAGATACCGTCTGCGGCTCCGGTCCAGGTCCAGCTTTCGAGCGAGGCAATGCGCATGTTGAGCACATCTGCCACCTCCTGGGTTACCTCCTTGTTCCGCATGCACTCTTTCAGAATCGCAGACTTTTCGTCTCCAAGGAGGTCGGTCTTGAGCAGTGCCTGAGAGACCCACTCGAGTTCATCTACATCGAGCCACCCACCCTTTGAGGATAGTTCTGCTCCAAACGATTGGATACTTGCTCGGAGATCCTTGAGTGCCTGTTGAGAAAGCTTGGTCTTGGTGAAAAGATCATTGAGGTAGGAACCGATTGCATCTTCGTTGACATGGGTCGCAGGAGTGAAAACCAAGGACTCCCAAGTCGCGCGTTGCTCGTGCATTTCAGCTCGCCCAATCTTTTCAAAGTCTGGGTCGAACTCAGTGGATTTGGTTGGATCTACAGTGGCACTAATGCTTCCATCCAACTCTGAAAGCCATTCCGTAACCAACTTGCTGTAGAACTCACCATGCTCATGCTTTATCTCAAGATACCGCAACTCCTTTTCAAGTTGAGTGATGCGACCCTGTAGAGCTGTCTGTGAGATGGAAGGGTCGTAGCGACTTTGTAGAAGAAAGTGACGCATGTTCCTATGATCCTCTGGCTGCAAGCGACCGACTCCTCGTGGATTAAGATTCTCTGCCGGTTCCTCATCTGAAGAATCGGCATCTAGATCCACATCATTTTTGTCGAGCGAATCCTCGGGGTATCCTTTCAGGCGTGAGATTCCATCCAGCAAAGCCTGAGCACGGGTGCGTAGATCTGAGGCTGCATTGGCAGCGGCAAGGATCTCGGTTTTGCGCAGGTCAAACAGGGCGCGCTGCTTGGAGAGTTCACCGATTTTTGTGGCAGTGATAGACTTGAGAGTATGTGGGAGAGCTCGGCTTGCCATAATTATGTTTGGGTTTTAAAACGATATGAGGTAAGATGTTGAGGTAGTTTGAATTTCTCAAATGAGAAAGATAGTTGAAATGTCTGAAATGTGGAGTTGAGATGCTGTGGGTCTTAAATAATGAATTCAGCCCACGCTGCCAGGCAACATTGACTCATACACTGAAGATAACCTTGACATCTTTCGAGCAATGGATATTCCAAGAGAGAGAAAATTGTGGGGCAGCTGAAAGTGATATTTTTGAGGCTGTGATCGGGTACCTAATCGGGTATAGCCTGAGCATACTGAGAGATTTATGAGATGTGGAAATGCATTTGACTTGATAATCCATACACGGAGTGTGTGTAGGGCGCTTGGCACGATTATATCTTATACCACAACAACCTATAGACATGTTCAAGTAATGAAAAGCCATGTTCAAGAAGATACATTCAGGCAGACTCAACCCCGGTAGCAAATACCTCGAGCATACCTTGGACTCTCCCTTTGCAAGACTCACTAGCAAAAATTGCATCTGTAGACTTGATGCACATGTCCAAGAGATCAGTACGACTCAAGCCGAAGTGCTGTGCAGCTAACAAGTACTCGTTCGAGACGGGGCTACAGAAAAATCCCACATCGTCGGTCTGTGGAAATCAAGAGTCAGAAAAAGAGAAACAAAAACAATCGCTATCTTAGTTGGAACAACTTACACACAACGCGATGGGGCAATCTTCGTGTCGCCAATAACCGAAATGATGATCCAGGAATCCTCCATTAATCATCTTCGCATGAACATTGCAGGAAATGCAAAGTTCGAGACTGAGCTTACGCCGCGCAATCTCCTTCTTGATCTCATCAGGCACATGGATGACATGACCCAGTCGATCAGGCTGGAAAGAAAGAAGGGTCGAAAGCTCGCTCGCAGAAGCCGAGTCTGTTGTCTCGGCAAAGTGAACGGTGATTCCTAGGCCATTGGCTTTGGCTTTGACAAATGGTTCTTTGTAGATGCTGACATCGCCTTTGGTTGGGTTGCCGCAAATATCCACCCCCACCACTCCGCGCGACTTATTTTCGATCGCAAGATTGACAATCTCGTCCGCCTCTGTTACTGTCATGCTACCTCGATCAATGGCGAGAATTAAAAATACAGACATCCGTTTAGTTTTGCTTCGGAATTTCTCGATTGTATCCAGGACTGAATTGATGTATTCTTCTCGAGTAATGCCGGGAGATGCTCTCGGTATGGTCCGTAACTCGAGATACACGACTCCATCGTCGAGAAAGTCCTTGAGGACTGAGTTGGTGGCATATACCAAGCTTTCTAAGTCGTTGCAGAGCTGGTATGTCAACCTGGAAAACGTTGAGAAGAACCTGAGCCTTCGTTAGCCAAGGTAATGATTTGTAGTATTGTGTGGTGTAGACACAGGCACCTACGTTTCCAGTGTATAATCGACCTTGCCCGGAGGCATCAACACCAGTGGATCCTCGACATCAAAAGCGGGGTTCTGCTCTTTTTTGCGTTTCCAAATTTCATGGAGGCATTGGCGACTGATGCTCCCGCTGAGATGAGCATGAAGCTGGAGTGTGATATAGTCAAAAAAAGGTCCATGACTAGGATAAAGCATTAACCGTACCTCAATCTTCGGCAACGCTTTTGTAAATCTCCGGTCTACTGGCTTTGAATCATCCATGGCTTGGTCAACCGTGGGAGAGTACGACAATGGAGGAGTATTGGTAGAAGCGGACAGAAACTGCCAGGACATGTGATTTCCTAACTTCACATCACCACGCTACTAGCTAGGTATATGTTCTCACTGGCTGAATTATACCTCTACATTATTCGGGAGGTCAATATCAAACTTTGGGTCTGTGGCATATTTGGCTTTTTAATTCGTGTGCCAAGCAGCTAAGTATTAGACTAACATATTATACTATTATGTTTCCACCAAATATAGAAATATATCTTGTACACCAGGCACAGAGGAAGGGAAACTGAGGAGCAGAGGCGAAAGAAATATATATTCTACACACTATTACTGCAAAACCATCTTCTGAGCGAAAGCATTTTTACTTCGTATCCTACCCAAGACCGCTGACGATTTGTAGCAGTGACAATCATTTGGCTACCGGTGAGCACAACTCCCAACTCCCAAGTTCAAATTCCCAATTCCGTGACGGCAGCGACACATTCCAGTTTGGTTCTCGCCCAATATTGTATACATTGCGATGATAGTGAAATCAACCCATGATCATCGGAGGCATCTCTTCATCTCCCTTTTCGGGTGAATGTGTCGGCAGTTTGCTCCAAGGAATGATAAACGTGGACAAAAACGCACAACCGGCCAGAGCAGTTGCAACCGCAAAGGCAGACTTGAGTCCTTGCATATATGCCACAAGAATTCCAGGAAGATCATCCGGACCAAATACCTCTCGGAGCTGCGCAGCACCTGTTGAACTCACTAGCTCCGGGTCCACTTGAGGGGCGCTGATGGGCAAATGGGCCAACAGTTGGTTGATGAAGGCGGCCTGCCCTGACGCGGTGGTGAATGCACCTCCGACTGTCTGGAAGACTATATATATATTCTGTTAGCTTGACCTTCCACTATGTATTCAAAGAAGGTGCATACAGTAAAGGTTGGCTGTCACGGCTGAGATATCTCCCGCGCCCACATTGGCTTGGGCAATGTTTAGGCCGTTCTGGACGGAGAAGGCGATCGCAGATCCGGCCAAAATTTGGAAGCCAATCCACTTTCCAACAGAAGTGTCGATATCTAGAGTGCAGAGCAGACCAATTGCTACCGTGGCGATTCCTGAGCCAGCCAACATGGTCGGAGCGGCATGGCCGGTTTTGGAGACCACGATACCTCCAATAACGCAGAATATGCCCACTGCGAGAACCATGGGAAGATTGTCGACACCGGATTCGATTGGACTGGCACCTTTGACACTTTGGAAGTAGATGGGCAGCTGGTAAAGCAGCAGAATAAGGGTACCCATAAAGAAGAATTGATACGGGGCGACACTCCACAATGACCGTTGCTTGAATAACCGTGGTTGTAGCATCGCATACTCGTCTAGATAGATCTCCCACGCAATCAGGGCAATTGTGAGGAGACCAAAACCGACTAGTAATCCAATAACCTTGCCGCTTTTCCAGGGCAAAGTGTTGCCGCCATACTGAAGGGCTAGGAGAAAGCAGATAATTGCAGCCATGGCCAGTGCCACGCCGAATGGATCCAGTTGCAGCAGCTTCTCCTTCAGGCTCACCTTTGGGGGTTTGGCAGCGGCCGGGAGATGGAAAAAGAGAAGTACTAGCGCAGCAGCGAGGCCGCCAACCGGTAGGTTGATGTAGAAACACCACCGCCAAGTGACACTCTCTGTGAAGGCACCACCAATCAGAGGTCCAAGAACAGCAGCAAGGCCATAGGTGAGTCCAATGATACCCATCATGATCGGCCGTGTTCTCGGTGGGGTACTGAAAGCAACAATGCTAGTGCCTCCCACTGAAATTCCAGCACCACCCCAACCGGCAATGGCTCGACCGACGATCAAGGCCTTCGAAGTTGGTGCAACACCGCAGATCAGACTGCCAACCTCGAATATCGCCATTGAAACGATGAAGGTGTACTTCAAGTCGAAGTACTTGAAGGCCTTTCCCCACGTAGCCTCGAGACCACCGAAGGTCATGAAGTACGCGGCAGAATACCAAGATACATCGTAAAGTCCGTGAAACTCGTCCGTAATCTTGGGAACCGCGGTTCCAACAATTGTCTACGTTGGTGTGTCAGTAGTGGGATAGAAACCATGGGACCTCCCCTCCAGTCGGCATAGATTACTCACTTGATCCAGAGATATTAGGAAGACGCCCATAACTGACGCGCCAGCAAGCAGGACTAGTTTCAAGCCCCGTGGATACTCCGCCTCGGGGTCGGCCCGCTCCGACGATGATCCAGTATGATCACTGTCGCTGGTATCCGCCAAAATATCCTTCTTCTCTTCCATGCTGCCAGTAGCCTCAGCTGTTCGTGCGCCACCAACCATCACCTTGTCGGGTGCGGTTATCTTTCGGATGATTGTTGTACAAGGCAGCTCGCCAGAGAGAGGGAAGCTCTATATAGGAGTCGGTATTCTGTGCTATAGCGGAATCACAGAGGGAGATTGACTGGAAATATAAGGCTTTCCAGCTGGGAACTTTGGAGAGTAATAGCTGTTACATCTCATTTTGGTAGTCGCCACAGGCCTTGAACAAAGAAAAGTCAGGGCGAAAGAAAGCCGAGAGGATGATTATAAATCTAGTCTTACAAATCTTGTGAGATAGTAGAGGTATGTATGTATGTAGTTAAATGACCGATCAAGCCTTTTTCCTCGCGCTTTTCTCGCCTGTTTCTCGCCCCCCTTATATCCACCCTACTTTAACCTCCGACTTAATAAGTCGCCGAACTTTTTATCCCCACATAATTTTATCTGCTTATAATTACGCTATTGCCGAGAGAAATAATTGCCCAATTAGTACTATTATAGTACTGATTAGATTTGTTCGGGGGTTTAGGGTTAATTCAACCGTTGGGTCCATTATACTCCCGATCTGACTGAAGATCCTTTTACTCAGGATTCCTGTAAATCGCTTGATCGGCTTACATAGATTGTATTATACACTCCCTAAATAGTATCATCGGTCTCACCCGTAACCCTAACCTTATCATGAATGTTTAATCTTACCCACGATGCTGAAAGATTGGCATGAAGGATTTCCAAATACAGCCTCAGCAACCACGAGGTACGATGTAAGTACCTTGTTGGTGAATCCATGTGTTATATATCAGATGTATCCACACGAGCATTAGAATAGGCAGTTCATCCGCCTGTGGCTGTGCAGTAATATCCAATACAATCGATCTTTTTAACATGAAAGCAGGAATTATTATCACTCGTTGAGCGCGAAATGCGCAAAAAGTCTCGTATTTTCGCTAATCCCAAGTAGTATAAAGGTGCGTTGGGCGCTAGGACCAACTATGGAGAGTACAGCGTATCACACCCCTGCAAGGGAGCTGTGCATGCAAGGCCCCCGGCATAAGTACGACGTGTCGAACCTACTTTGTAAACCCAACAGGACATACAGTCGGACTTCCCGCTGCTAGTCGCAACTTTGAACATGGATGTGCATCCTTTTCATGCCACCTCGGTACGCCTCCAAAGCTTCCGAGATGTACGGCCCGCAGACCCGTTGACCCCCGGAGGTGATTCCTTACGTAAACTCTATTGCTGGCGCTAAATATGTCGACATTTCCACTTTTCACGTAATATTTGGGAAGAGAGGAAGGAGAAAATAAGACATCTCCATTAGATGCTTAAATAAATGGCCCCATTATAACAACTAAAAGAGGATCTCCATCGAACCGATCCCGTCCACGTGTAAAGAATGTCCACATACGTCCTCAAGAGGTTAGTGCCCGAGGAGATTACACAGGGTTGGACTCCTGAACGGCCAATCTTACACGATTACGCTCGAAACACTAGTTTAAAAAAAGTACACAAAGTAGATTGCTGGTATTTATTATTTATTCTTTTACAACATAGGGGGTTTTGCGTCCAGAGTCAAAAGCCATGTGTCTATGTCTAGTTCCTGCAATTGATCTTGCTGATCGCTGGGACCATGCAAGCTTCGATTTTCCGATCTAGCATGGTTCATCTAGGCATTCACATGTAGATAGGATATTTAGATTTGAATATCGAAGTATGTACCCCATATACTGGAAGAGATGAGTGCAACCTCGTATTCTGGGCCCCTACTACCGCTGCTTGATCCCCAATCATTAATAACACGGGAGGCTAAGACAGTATACGGTGGGTCCATAGCCTTGGAATAGGAAGCTCAAGCGAGTAAGCATCTAGCGAGTCAGCAAAGATCTTACTTTTCAATCTTGGTTTAATACAGTAAACTATCAGTAACACGAACAGGCGCCACAGGTACATCACTCGCATCAAAACACCAAAAAGCCATTTCTTCAGGACCGTACGTGCATTGCTCATGAATGGTGCATTGCGTGCTCTTCATTCCCCTTTGGTAAATCGTCAGCTCACGTTATCTTAGGCGTATCGCGGCCCCAGGGGGGGGCGATGATGTAGAAGGGTCGAAGCGCCCTAAATAAACTCACCGATATGAGCTAGATTGTTGTGAAGTCAGCTCGGATTTGTTGGCTTTTTGGCTTCCTTGCACCTTGCACGTGAATACTTCTTTGATTCATCTCCTTTTGCTTTGCCTTCCTCTTTTTTTCCCCATTGAGTCCTATCAACAATCTCTGCGACCAGACAGCCAACATGACGGCCGGCCAGACAGCAGGGGAGCCTGAAGCTGCAGAAACACCACCTGCCCCGTCCTCTCTCCCTCATCGGCAATCTTGTGATAGATGTCACAAGCAAAAGCTGCGGTGTATCCGGGAGCCCAACACAGGCGTATGCGACCGATGCCTGCGAAAACGGGCTCAATGCGTTTACAGCTTCAGCTTGCCCAAAGGTCGCCCCACCATGTACCGCTCTGGTGGGGCCGGCGGTACGGTGCGCCCAGGGACAGCAAGTGCACCTTTGAATAGTCGCGCAACTAGCCCGCCGGTAGAGCCAGTCAAGCCTGTTTGTAAGTACCTAGCATGGTATCTGAATTCAGATCGACAATTAACACTCGAAATTGAAGCTTCAGGTACCACGAACATTGACATCGATGAGAACAATGCAACGAAAGATACGACCCAGGTCGCCAACCCGACCACGAACGACAACCCCGTCTTGACCACTGTCATGGATAGCGGCCCACGATTAGAACAATTGAGCTGGGATGATATGCAGTTGGACGGAGAGTGGAACAGTCAAGACCCTACTCAGGTGGACAAATTATTGACATCTCTTGGCGCCTTTTGCAACGAGGGGAGCGCACCGGATGCGCACACCAAATCTTCACCAGATCAACTTCACTTTCACCTGAATACCTCTAACCTCCATGCATACGACCACGGCCTACCTACTGGTGGCTTTTTCCAGAGTCATGAAATCGGCAGAGCCGAAATAGACAGAGGCATGGGCGACGTAACAATGAACACGGGCCTGGAAAAGCCGATTCACATTCCGAGTATTGCTGTGACACAGTTGTCTCAGCTGAGCATGGACCTTGCCTTGTTGCGCTACACGAGCTACAGTATGGCCAAAGCAGCAGAATCGCCCTCGTGTCACATGCCGAATGATAGAAGAATCCCATTGATCGATGGTTCTGCCTTCGAGTTTGTGAGCACATGGCTGGCCCATGGCCAGGGGTTTGCGGGAATGAATCCATTGGCACCTGGCTCATGTGAAAATCAGGTGCCTTATCCAACTCCCATCTCTGAAACAGGAACTTGCGCCGGTCGCACGTTGAGAGAGGTGTTCTGTTCTTCACAACGGTTGTTAGAAATCCTGGGTCAATTGCAATTCAGTCTCATGGTTGAACTCAACCCTTATCCCTCGCCCATAATCACCCCACCAGAGAGACCATCCACTGCAGTCTCTGGTGGGGACAGCGGGTCCATTGGGTTGCCGAACGGTTCGGGTATCGCGGGCCGGTCCGTTCCATGCCCAAATCCAGCAAATGGAACCGTGCAAGTCATTCACTATCTGGTCATGGCTTGTGAGGCGCTGCTATTGGAGATCTATGTGGCAGTTCTTGTCGCCCTGCAGCATGAGGCATACTCCTCGACCAATGGAACTGTACTGGGAGATGTGCGGCTGGTATTGGTAGTAGAGCTCTGTTCTTACCTTATCGAGCGCCAACTCCAAGCTGTGGACTCATACTTGGCGTCCCAGAGTCGTCTGAATCCCCACAATGTGAGTGGGTCGGTTCCTGGGAAGTTTGATATTCCTGGGGGGCCTGATAACCTTGATAAAGATAGAGACATGTTGAACGATCTCAGAAACCAAGTGCAAGAGAGACTCAGGAATCTTCGACAAACTCTGCGCTGTAGGTGAATACTACACCCCATTGATGTCAGGATCAGTAGAAGGAATCAATGTTAAAGGGAAAAGCCATCCCTTCAGGATCGGGTTTCGGAATTCAACCGGAATTCAGGCGGCCCTGTTGCGATACACCGGCTATTTCATTTTCGATGGCGTTCTGCTGGGAATAGAGGTTGGGCACTGCTGGCTTATTATCAACCAATCCATGTTGTTTAGAAGATCTTGTGAAGAGAGAGCTTTAGCTCCGAGAAACAACGCCGGAATCATGGGATCAAATTATGGTTTCGAGATATTTCCTCTGGAATACGCCATTCTCTGCTTTCTACACCGTACTCCGTACTCCTTGCATCAACCTGGGCATTATCCACGGATCTCCTGGATGTTGATTTGTCAGTAACAAGCTTTTTTACTCAGCCAACTACTCTGATTTGAAATCACATTCGAATTACTAAGGCGCGGCCCTAACCTAATTCAGACATCTTCATTTTAGGAGCGTTTGATTGTGTGACCTGTAGGTCATGTGCATCGGATGAAGTTTCTATGTACCTATGACGCTTAATAATGGGCCGAAGGTCGATCGCACTTATACAGATTGGAAATTATCCGAATGCACGGGCTACGCAGATTCGGCGATATAATGAATAAAGAAGGGTTGGGACCTGTTGAGATAGGGCTCGATGGCTAGTCGTCTTGAGTGTTGAGCAATCTTACATGCATTATGCACACCAAAGTTGGCTTATGTTCGTGTTTAATAGTTTTGGTGGCTTTTATAGCAAAGGTTTAATTTTTATCAAGTGGTTTACTCCGTAATTTACAATAAATGAAGCGAATTTACGAGACAACAGATCATGTATCAGAGCAAATAGCAAGTCTACCGGAATTGTATGTCATTGTTTCATTTATCCATGGATGCTCGAGATCATATGACTCAAGTAGCTCTATAATCATTTCGCTCTAGGCCTTGACATCGAGCACAATCGGCGCGTCATCCAGCTTTATCATTCCAGTGATAAAGTGCTCTCCAGTTTCTGCCCGCTTCTTTGAATCCTGGTACGAGGACCTCGAAGCCCGCACCGCCGCGCCACCCCTTCTCAAAATCTCCTCGTGGTACCCAGTAACCGCAGCCTTCACGGCATCAATATCATGGACGCTGCTATCAGCGCTCAGCTGGGCTAGTACTTTAGTCAACTTAATCGCATCCAGGAAAGCATGGAATGCACCCTCGCCGCGGGACGGTGTCATCGCGTGCGCTGCGTCTCCCAATAGCACGACACGACTAGAAGGCAGACTCTCGAGTTCGAGGTCGCGCCAGATATGCGGCTCCTTGCGGACTCCCTCTGCCGGAGTGAGCTCAAATATCTCCCGGAGCTTGGGCGGTAGCCCTGCCGTGGTCTTGAGGACGTGGTCCAGCTTTTCCTGCTGGCTAGATGTCTGGAGCCAGTGTTGGGAACTGTTGACCTCTGCATCTGGCTGCATGAACATCCAGTAGAACCGCCCGGATGTGGCGTCGGGGAGGAGTTTGTGGAGTCCGACGAACCCGATGAAGCCAAGTTCCGGGTTGACTAGGTTGTAGGCGCTATGGCCTAGAGCAAGCTGGCGTGTAAAGGCATCGCCGGATAGATTCAGTTCCCCCACGATGGCGCTTAGGGGGACAACCTGAAGGAGGTCGCTGCTAGGCTTTTGGAGAAGAGTTGTTCGGACTAAACGTTCGGGAGCATATACCTAGTTAGCCATGGTTATGAACTCGTCCGGTGTGGGGTGAATAAAGTGAGCCACGTACCAGGGCTGTAAACTCCGTCGGCACCAACGACGATATCTCCCTTAGCACTTGTGCCATCTTGGAAGAATACCTCGACGCCTGCGTCATCATGTTCAATCTTTGTAACATGCTTGCCCCACTGGACGGGAAGGTTCGTCAGGAGCCACTTCCGAAGTAGAGACCGCTCTGCACGAATAAATGGCACTTCAGCAGAATCCTATAGCGTTAAGACCGCAGGGGTAGAGTCAGTCACAGTGGTCTCCCTCAATTTTCATAGCCATTGCATTCATGCCCATACCTCGAATCCATAGCCTTGATCCTTGCCACCATAATAGTAACGGAACTGTCCCGGAAGGGTCAATGGGGCCAGGTGGTTGGTGGCCTCTCTGACATCAGGCAGATCTTCTGGGAGAGAGGAGATGAGCTCATTCACAATACTATTTCTTGTGTTCAGCTTGTGATCCCCGATAGATCGATTTAAACTCTTACGTGTGTAGAGCAATAGCCCATCCCTGGAATCGCGCATTGCTGTCTACGTCGCGCTCGAAGATTTCGTATGAGATGCCCTGCTTTCGGAGATTCTGGGCTAGAGTGAGCCCGCCAGTGCCGGCCCCAACAATCAGAACGTGCATTTTGGTATTGGAGATACAGTGAGCGATTGTTCAGATAGAACGGTAGTAAATAAATATGAATTACACCCCCGGTCATATATGAGCGTAGCTCCGGGAAATCATGCTTTTTTTTTCGATGCTCAAGGCACTAGGTTAGGACGACAGGGTTCCCTGATGACGCTGTGGTAGACTTCCAAGACCCCGACTCCGATAAATTCGGCGCTTAATAATATTAATAGAAAGATCGGCCTCGGGGTGGCTTGACGAGATGTAGTGTTGGGTGTCATATCTGACAGACGAGATGGGGTTCTGACCAGGACATCCACTGGCAATCTCATTCCACATTCTTCTTCCAGCGAATGACATGGTTAGTTATATTCAATGGCATGAGAATATTCCTCATACGATACAATAAACCGCCGAAAGCTTAAGTGGCCCGCAGGCCAGCTTCGAGGACAATCGGTGTTATTCATACATCGCACGATAACTATGCAAGTCCGGAACTGTATACTGAGGCTCAGTATACTTGCATATATGACGTCTAGCAGAGGTGCTTTGTAGATCTTTTATCGCATTCTTCTTCAACCTGCAATCTTGCTCTATCTTCAGCTATTTGGTACGTACTTTACCTTCAGAATCAACGGCAAACATGTCGACAGACGAAATTACCCTCCCCCTAGTTGACCTCAGTGGGTACATCAACCCACAAAAACCAGGCGACAAGGAGCGAGTTATCGACGAGGTGCGAGATGCTTGTGCGCAATATGGATTCTTTCAGACTACCGGGCATGGCATCCCTATGAGCCAGCAAAAGGGCTTGCTGAAGAGCATCGAAACTCTCTTCAGTATGCCTCTGGAGGAGAAGCGCAAGCTCTCATTCCTGAAGAACCCTTGTCGCCGAGGATTTGAAGAGTCTGGGGCTTCGCTTCGGGACGGTGATGCTTTGCCAGACTCGAAAGAGGTAAGTCCACTTTCTAGAAGCACTCACTGCCTTCTTCGTCCTCTTCTTCTCTAGACATGTTAGTAACGATAACAAGGCATTTTACATTGGACGAGAAGACCCCGTCGTAGAGCACTCTGGCTTCTACGGGCCCAATGTCTGGCCGCCTCTCCCCAACGAGCAATTCCACGATCCCGTTTGGGAATACTACGAAGCAACCCACAAGCTCGGCGAAATCATCTGGGAAATTCTTCTCCTTGGCCTCGGACATCCCATCTCACTAATGGAAGAATTCGCCAAGCGCCCGATGGTTGTGATGAAGATGATCCGGTATCCGCCGCAAGCCGGGGATCTGCCCGGCCAGTTCGGCGTCGGCCCCCACAAAGATTTCGGCGGCGTCACCGTGCTCCTGCAGGAGGCCGGAAAGCACGGTCTCCAAGTCTGGCATGAGGGCCTGGAAAAATGGCTGCCGGTCAAGGCCATGGAGGACGTATACGTCATCAACTGTGGAGATATGATTGGCAAGTGGTCTGGGGGCCGATACAAGAGCGCAAAACATCAGGTCATCAATGCGGCTGACAACGAGCCCCGGCTGTCGTGCGCCACGTTCTTCCATGGCGATTTGTTCGCGACGAATCCTCTGGACCCCGCCGACCCTGAACGGGAGACTGTTGGTGCTTTGTTGGTGAAGCGATTCCGCAACCAATTTTCTTTTGACAAAGAACTTATCGCCGCCGTGGGGGCTTGAAGGATCAATCCAACCTTGGCAGGCTAGATTGTCAATGATGGTGATAATACGAAGTGTTTAAATATCCGAAATTATCGTAAGTCACCGATCTTGGTATAATTTAGAGTTATGGGGTAAATGACCGAATCCCAGTAAAGATATATATTTTTTCTGATCTGGAGGTGAAATATATAAAACTTCTTGGTTAACCCCTGGTCGATCTTCATATGACAATCAATTCACCTTATCAGTATGAGACTTCTTTTCCTTAGCAGTTTATATGCTCTGGCAGCAGCTACCAGTGCCAGTACCAGTGTTCAGACATGCAAGTGCTTCCCTGGCGATGCGTGCTGGCCGTCTAAGCAAGAATGGAGCAGCTTCAATCGCACAGTAGGCGGCCGTTTGATCGAGACGGTACCTCTAGGCTCTCCATGCCATGCTCCCAATTATGATGAGGCTTTGTGCGCGAAATTAACCTCCCAGTGGAAGCTTTCAGCAGTGCAGTAAGTTCAAACCCCCACGAAACAAAAGGAAGCATATAATTAAAAGCTGAATAGTATCGACTCATCCTCGTCAATTCAAGACCCTATCTATGCCAACCAAAGCTGTGACCCGTTTACTTCTCACGATTCACCGTGCCAGCTGGGCAACTATGTGCGGTATGCAGTGGATGTGACCGGCCCGAAAGATATTGCGGCAACCATCCGGTTTGCCGAAAAGAAGAACATCCGGCTAGTGATCCGAAATACAGCACATGACTACATGGGTCGTTCGACTGGAGCTGGAGCACTTGCCATCTGGACCCACCACTTGAAGGACACCAAGGTCAAAGACTGGGCTGATTCCCAGTACACCGGCAAGGCCATCAAGATCGGCGCCGGAGTGCAAGGTTTCGAGGTCGGCCAGGCCCTGACAAAACATGGATTGGTTGCCGTGACCGGCGAATGCCCTACAGTAGGTGTTGCTGGAGGGTATACACAGGGAGGCGGCCACTCCCCCTCTCAGCACAGCATACGGTCTATCCGCCGACAACACCCTGGAGTTCGAAGTCGTGACAGCCGACGGCAAGTTTGTCACGGCCAGTCCAAACTCCCCCCAATACGCCGATCTTTTCTTCGCCCTCAGTGGCAGCGGCGCTGGGAACTACGGCGTAGTAGTCTCGGTCACCCTCAAGGCGCACCCAGAGGCCATGACTAGCGGCGCCGGCTTTACCCTGGACGATCCTAGCTTGGATTACCCGGCGATTGTGAATGCCTGGCACGCAGCCCTGCCTGACATTCTGGATGCAGGTGTAATGGCCACATATTACGCAGAGAACGGCACACTTGTCGTTTACGCCCTCACGGGGTATAACCGCACGCAGCCCGATATGGAAAAGATCCTAGCACCGTTTGTAAAGTCAGTAGCTTCTTTGAACGTCGACCTGAAGCCTAAATACACCCAGTTCGACACCTATAACGAGTTCTACTACGCGTACTTCGGTCCTCTCCCAGTTGGCGTCTTCGGCTCAGCCGGTGAATACCTCATGGGAGGCCGTCTACTGCACCGAGATGCGCTCCAGCACGTTGGCGGCGCGATCAACGAGACGCTCCAGCTCGGCGTGCGATTCATCGGCCAAGCGACCAATGTCGCGCGCTTCGGCTCTCAGAGCAGAGCTGTCCTACCACAATGGCGGGACACACTCGTCATGTCTTCTTATACCCTCCCTTATAGCTTTGACGTGCCATTTTCACAAATGAAGGCCGAGCAGAACTATATCACGGATCGCATCATGCCCATCATTCAGAATGTGACACCCGACGCGGGAGCGTACATTAATGAGGCGGATTTCCAACAGCCTGATTGGCAAAATGTTTTCTATGGTCGGAATTATAAGCGGCTGTTGGCGATTAAAAAGTCGTATGATCCCAAGGGGCTGTTTTGGAATCCGATCGCGGTGGGGAGTGAGGGGTGGAAGACGCAGAATGATGGGAAGTTGTGTCGGGTTTGAGCGAATCTGAGTAAATCATGGATATTTTCAGACAAGAATAAAGCACAGATATGTCGGCTTGTGCTATGGTCTAGCCGTATAATGCTGTGTATTGCAACAGGATCTCATGTTGAGAAGCAAAGCACCAAGTGCCGTGGAACAACAAATAATGCAAATATTACAATCACTTGGTTATGGCTAGGCAGAGTAGCGCCATAGATCTAGAAGTGTATCAATTAGATCATTCGCCTAATTCGCTCCCATTTCATAGATCAAACATTAGATATTATCCATTGATTATCATTTGCCATATAACTCCCTTGCTCAAGTTCCGAAACAAAATCTAAAATCCCTGATATACATACGGGATGCGTGAACAATCTGTATCTCCACCCAGATATATAAGGCTTCAAGCCATTTTTGAAATCATACAGGTAAAATTCTAAATAGTTCGCGAGAACTCTATCCTAAGTGTTGCATCTAGTACAGGTGGATGCTGAATGTATGTATGGAATGAATTGGATTCTTACAAACATGATACTGTGAAGTTTCAGAAGTAAACTGTAAAGCTGTTCAATCCCTTCATATATGGAACAGAAGCCCATATTTATGGAATTAATCTTTACCCCTGTAGATATCACAATTGTAATGGAAACTAAAACAATGACAATAACGCCGGATTCCGGCCGGATACCGTCGGTTAAAAGCGACTGAATGTACCTCGAATTGTGACGCTTGCAATGCAACATGCATGTTGTATAGAAATGGGTACATTGGCAGTGCTGATCTTGATTCCGTGGGGAATCGGGTTAGTGTTGAAACCTAGTTAATTTCATGTTAATTACCGAGAATCAACAGGGATTGTTAAAAATTTAGAATGGAAATTATGCCTGTAACAGGCCGTTGATGCAAGCGATTCTATTGCAATTTGATTCAATTAACTGCCACTCGTGAGTATGTATATCGCACTAAAGATTTATTGAGCTCTGCAGAGCCTATTATCCTTATCCAAAGTAAACTCATCAGCTCCCACCGCAAAATGACCATACATCAACCGATGAGGGTCATGAGCATGCTTGATCTTGAGCAGTTTGTCGTAATTGTCCCCATACATCGTCTGTTTCCAATCCCCCTTATACCACGGATCCATCTCATTCAGATTGACACCAGACCCTGGCGTTGCCTCCTCCATAGCGGGAAAGAACTCATCCACAAGCTGCTTCTTCAGCGCGAGACTCTTCTCGGGATCCTCCCAATCCCAAGGATTGTTAGGGTTGCAGTAGGCAATGGCTTTACGCCAGGCCGGGTGGACTGAGTTGGGTGGATGTGAGCCACGGATCGGCGAGCCTTCGTCCACGTTGATGAAAGAGCAGCCGACAAACCATGTGCCATCGGCGGTGATAGCGCGGTATGCATCCATCAGCTTGGCGTTGGATGTGGGGTCTAGCACCGTCGCACGCGGGATGAGTCGGCTGGAGATGACGGGGAAGCTGGGACATAGGTTTCCGTAAGGCAGGGGCCCGTACGATGACACCAGACTGTCGGCATAGGTGCGTGACTGGCCAGTCTTTAGCTCATACGGGAGGTTCAGCCGTTTCAGGTCCTCAATAAAGGGGGCTACAAGGGCGTCGACGGCGGAGGTCTCCTGGTCCGGTAAGACGAAGCTGAAGACTTGGAGTGTGGCGTTCGTGACGAGGAACTGGACGTTGTTGGGAGTGTTCTCCACAAATGATGGACCTCGCTGGAACCAGTTCCCGATGGCTTCCCAGTATGCGGCGTCGTTCGTGTTGTTGACGACGAGCGTGCCTCCGGCGACGGGTCCGTCTGGGTATGCTTTGATTGTCACGCTGAGGACAACTCCGTACGTCCCGCCACCGCCGCCAGCGAGTGCCCAGTACAGATCTTTGTTCTTCTTGGGTGTGGCAGTCAGATACTTCCCGGCGGGGGTGACAAGTTCCCATTCAAGGACCTGGTCGGCGGGGGCGCCGTATTTGGTAACAAGCTGCGAGTGACCGACGCCTTGCAAATAACCCCCGGCAATCCCACTGAGACCACATTCGGGCGCGACAATCCGGTAACCTGCCGCATTCATGGCTTCATAGGCCTCACCCGCAATGACGCCGGGGCCGAGCCTTACCGCCGCCCCAGAATACTGAGGGCTCACGTAGTCGGGGATGACATCGATAGTCTTGAGGTTGTACATCCATAGGGAGAGAGCTCCATGACCAGTTGATTTGCCCATGTAACTTGTAATTTGTCAGCGATTGTTCTTTCAATGGAAAACATATGTCTCACTCAAGACCGGTACTTTTAACCACGAGACGAATGTTGTTTTCGCTGGCGAATCTCAAGCCAGCCTGCACGTCTGCGGGTCCAGTAACATTGATGGAGTAAACGGCACGGTTGCCGAGCTCGCAAGGCACGGATTGCGGTGTAAATGGTGAACAGGAAGTGTTGAGGAAGTAAGCGTTCATAAACTCGCCCGGTTGTGGTTGACTACCATGATAAGCTTGGGTTCATCTTTTACGATTCAAAAAGGGTATTCCATACAGAGTTTGCGCACCAGCTTCATTGAAAGCGTCCTGTAGTTCCTCGCATGCGGGCTCATTGAAGGCCGGGTAAATGCCAGCATCGTGACAAATGTGTGCCAAGGGAACAGTCCCGATCAGTCTCCCACCGACCGTACTATTCAAGTGATCCCATGCCCCCTGTTTCGGCCAGCCCTTGTCACCGGGGATGTTTCTGCATTGCAGATCTGTGAGACTGTTGGGAGGTCGTGCAGCAGCCGCGACGACGGATATCAAGAATGGCCAGAACCGGATAGCCATCTCGATAATCATGTGAGAGGGTAGTTGTTTACAGCTAATACCATTGATCAGAAAATGATGGAAATGCAGGGGGTGCCCTTACATAAATTCTCCGATGTTTCTACATTAATGGAGTTCGGCGTCTTTGCGTCTCACCCTATCCTTCGGCGGTTTTTTCTTATCATATCCATAAGCTTGAAAGACTTCGAAATTATTTTTGCCGAGCCAATTAACAGCATTCTAGATTATTTTTAAAAAATGCCTAGAACAACTAAACGATAGCAGACAGAAATTTTAAGCGCCCACAAAAGGCGCATCTTGAAAAGTCACACAAAACTGCGAGCTTGTGAAGTGTGCCGAGAGTAAACAGGAGCTAACCACATGAGCATTATACGCTGTTCCTTGGGGGAATATATGTATTGAAGTTTACAGGAAGAACGGGGTGTAATAGCTCAAGTGAAAAGGAGCTGTTCTGGGCGGCGAATCTAGATAGCTAAAGGCCTGTAAACTATTGTTTCTGCCTGAATGCCCTTAAGACTTTTAACCGTGTGCTGTACATCAATATTATAATTGAATCTATTCCGGTCAAATTTGTATATTCAATCCTTGAATCTCCAATCGCGCAATCCAAGTCATGGGTCTGAACGCAAGGTGGAAGCTCGGCCACGAGCTTAGTGTTAGGGCACTTTGCCACAGAGCTAGCGGACGAGGGTACACCCTGGGTCTCAAGAAATTATTCGCTCGGAAATCCAAGTGTAAATCAAACGAAGTGGTTGTTGGAGTGGGGAATGCCAATCACCGAGACATCAGGTTCCATTGTGCTTTCCAAGGTTGAAAGTAAGGTTTGATAATCCATGGATACAACATAGCTAAATTGCACTACACTTTTCATATCTTCCTCATCTTAACATGGCCCTTGGCAGATATTTAACCCGACCTAAGGAGATCAAGCATAACCTGCTTGTTAGGGTGATATGACCTCTGAGCCATTTGCACCGGAGAATCGTCATGGTTTCGCGTGCCCGACGGTTGAGCCATGGGGTCTGCACCCGCGTCTAGTAGCAATTGGATGATATCGGTCAGGCCAAAATTAATAGCGCAGTGTAGCCGAGTTCCCCTTGTTTCATCTGTTACATTAGGATCAGGGCCATGGTCGAAGAACTGGCGAATGATGCCTGGCATCTGCGGTTCTGTCCCACAAAGGAAGTGCTTTGCAGAGTCCATATCAGCGCCGGCGTCGAATAGAGCGGTCACAACGTCAGGGAGTGCCGATAGTCTGCTACCTAAAGTGCTAACCTACACTACCCCTCGTCTAAGATGCCTATTCTGGTTTCCAACGTCGTGAATGGTCCGGATTCTACGGTGGACGCGAGCTGGGTTGACGTTATCAGTCGAGATGCAGCCTCTGGTAAAACAGTCCTCGGCTATGTGTGAACCGGGTACCTTTGCATGAGCAAGCAGGAATACTTAACGCGGCTCAGCTCAGGCGTTTTGCAGATATCACAAAGCAGACCTATGGGGTAAGAGGGAAAAGGTAAAAAGCTAGCGAGAAAAGCTGGGAAAATCCGACTGACTAGTAGGCAATTGACCAAGAAAAATTTGGCCTTTACTCAAAAAACATCCCAGCTTTTTCTTTAACCCACAACCTTGCCTGTGGACGGAGTGGTGCATTAAACTGAAAAAGGTAACACGAACTGTAGAAGGTTATTTATAGCGGAAACATTCTAAGGAAACTGGCGAGGGTGGTCAAACCTGTGGATCCCATACGCAACGGCGTCATATCAGAAATGATTACCTGTGAACGAAGTTGAATAAAAAAGTGGATTCTATTACATAGAAATCGACTAAACAATCTATGTGCTTCGCAGTCTAGAAACAGGTAATAACAACAAAACAACAAATGAGCAAGACATATTATGAGCCCAAAAGCAAAGCAAAACAAGAGAAATCGCACGGCTAAAGTAACGAATCAACACATTCAACAGGTAATGTTTCCTCAACGACGTGATTGAAGGACCTGGCCATCCTCACCGCTGCCGCCGACAGTCGCCTCCTGCGATGCCAAAAGGTAGTCAAATCCAAGGGACTTGATCAGTCCAAACCACTTGAGAACTGGCATCGACTCCAGACCCTCACGGTCTCCTCGCTCCTGTTGGATGTACGCGCTGAGCTCATCTGTGTGGACAGCTAGCGGGCTTTCGTAGTGCGAGAATTTGGTGGTAGGAGTAGTAGTAGCAGGTGCAGCGGTAACGGAATCGCCAAGCCACTGGGAAACCTGCTTGGTGGGGATGAGGTCCACGCGACCAGCCCATACGCTCATGTCGGGCACCTTGCTCGATGCGTCGACGTAATGAATAAACGCATCCATCAGTTGCTGTTTCTCCACAGGATCCTGTTGCGTGGCGGGGAGGAAGCGATAGATAGATGACGGGACGTCCAACTCCTCGGCAGAGCGCTCAAGGATGCGTTCGCTGGCCCACTTGCTACCGATGTAACCCTCCGTTCCGTCCGTGGGGGGCACATGAACGGCCGCAGAGCTGGCTTCATTTGTGGTAGATAACTCCGGGAGAACGCCCACGCTCGAGATGTAATGAATGGGGACTTGGTTCACGGCGGCCAGTTTGGCCAGTTCCTTGGTTGGGTGGACGTTGCTTGGGCGCAGCACATTGTAGTTGTCCCAGAATGATCTCACAGCACCCATGTGGAGAATTACATCCACTTGGCTTGCTAGCTGCCGGAACTCATCCACGCCTAGTCCTAGAAGAGGAAGGGATAGGTCACCTGGATGATAGGCCACATTTGAAGCAGAGAAGAGCGGACGTGCGCGAGGCTTGTCTCGCACGGCAACACAGTGGATTGCGGCCACGTCAGACCTTGCCGCAAGTTGCGGGAGCATAGATTGACCGAGGAAGCCTGTCGCACCTGTGACCAAGACAGTCTTGGCGGTAGCTGGGCTCTTTGGGGCGAGGTCGCGGAGGAAACTGGGGACGGTGGGAGGGGTGGTTTCCTGCTCCCAATTAATGGGGTCGACGGTCGGGCTTTCCTCTATCTTGCGCGCCATATCGCCGAGGATACTGGCTCCTAGGAGCTTGGCCAGGGGAAGAGCGACATTGAAGGCCTGGCGAATGCAGGCCTGCAGACGGATGACCAAAAGGGAGTTGCCTCCCACGACGAAGAAGTCAGTTGAAGGCCCTAGGTCAAGCCCGAGCTTGTCGACGTTCTTTCCCAAGACTTCCCGCCACACATGCCTGAGTTGCACCATGGTCTCGGTCAACTCGGTATCGTCCTGTGTCTGCTGAACACGGTCAGGCAGCGGCATAGCCTGCACTGCTTTGCGGTCAACCTTGGAGTGGTTGCTGAGAGGGAACTTGTCGAGTGGGATGGCCATCACCGGGATCATGTACTGGGGGAGAGAGAGACGGGCCAGCAAGTCCCGCAGGAATGAATCTTTGTCCGCAACATTGTGCTTGGGCTCAAAGACAACATGGGCTACTAGGAATGGTGAATCACCCTCACGAAGGGTGACGACAACTTCTCTCAGCGCACCATCCGCAACACAGATCATGTTGCTCTCGATATCACTCAGCTCGATGCGAAGTCCACGGATCTTCACCTGAGCATCGCCTGCCATCCGACTATGGAACACCATGGCCCCGTCCTCTTGCAGATGGCCGATATCACCGGTGCGGTACATGCGCGTCCAGCCGCGGGCGATATCTTCAGATGTGGCAAACGGATTCGTCACGAAGTGTTTGTCGGTGAGTTCCTGGTTCTTGAGGTATCCCCGAGAAACGCCAGCACCACCGAGACAGATTTCTCCCGGCATGCCAACGGGCACCGGTCGGAGTTGCTCATCCACAATGTAAGTGAAGTAGTTGGGCAAGGAGAAACCGCAAGGAATACGGCCCATATCTACCAACTTCTCTGTTTCGCGGTAAGGGATCTCCATCTTATGCGACGAAATGGAGATCTCCGTCGGACCATATGAGTTGAAGAAGCGGAGCTCCGGGAGATCAAGGCTTGCGAATTCTTGGGTGACGAGGGTGGTGAGCTGCTCACCACCGCCGAAAGCGAAACGCCAGCTGTTTGCCTGTCGAAGGGTGTCACCACCGTACTGCATCCAAAGCGAGTACTCGGATGGCGTCGCCTTAGTGTAAGTAATGCCTTGCTCTTGGATGATCTTTGTGATCGAAATTGGATCGCCACGTTTATCAGCGGGAACGATGTACGCCATGCCTCCGTTGCAAAGGGCTGTATACATCTGATCCGAGGAGTGGTTGAAGGTGAAGGCACTCTGCTGGAGAGCGCGCTCCGCCCCCAGTCCCCAAGATTTAGTATATCCCTCAATCTCATTTCGGAGACCTGCGTGAGTGACGACGATTCCCTTAGGCAGCCCTGTCGAGCCACTGGTGTACAGAATTGCTGCGGTAGACTCTGCGTTTGAACAGTTGGGGATGTGAGCCGTGGCTGTCTCTGGGAGACCGGAGACATTGATGATGCTGGAGGCTGGTGCCTCTACCTGTAGTTGAGGGGCATCGTCCTTTGTGGTGTCATCAGCGAGGATGGCTAGAGGTTCGCAGTTCTTGGCGACAGTGGCAAGGCGAGCCAACGGGTTGCGGAGGTCCAATGGCACATAGACTGCACCAATGCGCATGATGGCAAGCATGGAGCATGTCCAATCCGCCGCAGGCTGCTGGTAGACAAGTACCCGAGAGCCTTCGCGGACACCAGCATTCTGCAAGGCCTCGCTTATAGCCTCAATCCGGTTCACCATGCCCGAGTAAGTGAGAGACTTGCCATTGCCGTCCATAAGGGCGACTTTCTGCGGGTGCTCCTCGGCAACCTGATCGATCCGGAGGGGGAGTGTTCCGGGCCAGTCAGATGTCAGATTGAGACCTATCTTAGAGTTAGTAGTGTTTTCCCTATGGAGCACATGTTTGGCGAGAGGAAAGGTAGACTCACCACGGCCGACCTCGACCGCTTTGGTCAGCTGTCCTTGTCCAAAGATGGGTGTAGCCTCCAGAGTCAACGATGCATCACTGGTAACAGTCTCAAGGAAGTTGACGTAAGTCTTCAGTAAAAGGTTAGCAGCCGTGAGGTCGTAGAGACTCGTCTGTACTCGAATCATCACGAGCGTATCTGTAGCATTCCACTCGGTCACATCCAATGTAATGTCGTACGCCGTACGTCCAGGGTGGACATCTTGGAATTCAAATTCACAGTTACCCCAAGGGTACTTCTGTTGGGCACCCTGTCGGTAATCCAAGAAGGCCTGGAAGAAAGGACTGTGGAGCGAAGAACGAGCGATACCTAACTCCGTGAGCAGCACATCAAACGGCAGGCGCGATGTTCCCAGCGCTGCATAGGTCGTATCCCTGGCTTCTGAAACCGCATCAGCAAAGGTTTGGTTGTTCTGACGGCGGAATCGAAGTGTCAGAAGGTTGAGGAAGAAACCAATGCTGCCTTCCACGCTGGTGTCGTTGCGGGCGGCGTCGGCGATACCGATTGTCAGGTCCTTGGTTTCCTCGCCAGCGAGGCAGAACAACATGGCCTTGAATGCGGCCAAGTGGAAATGGAAGGGTGTAGACAGCTGTGCTTTGGACACAGCTTTCACTCGGGCGACCAATTCGGGTTCGAGGTTGATAGCTACTTGGTGGGCGGCGAAACCCTTCATGGCCACCCTGGAGCTTGTACGAGCCATTGGCAGGAGCGGTAAGACAGGAGGCTGCTCACCGGCGGGGAACACTCCCTGCCAGTATGTCAGCTCATCGCTCATCTCTCCCTTCTCAAGGGCCTGTCGCTGAGCCACCGAGAAAGCAGGATATTGCCCTGGCGGCGCCCCGAGAGACTGGCCGTTGTAAGCCTTTTCCAAATCTGCGGTAAAGATATTAAAGCTGGCGCCGTCCATAACAATGTGATGGTAATTAATCAGCAAATGATGATTTCCGGATGAGAGCGTCAGGAGAAGGATACGCATCACATCACCATTTTCCAGGTCAAACACGTGCTCCTTCAGTGTCTTATACTCGGCAGCAACTTCATCCTCGGAAGCAACCTTCTTGCGCTCGAGTCGCATCGGGGAGCTTCTCAGCACCTTCTGGTAAGCCTCACCGGCTTCGTTCTCATTCTCGACGAAGCACGTCCGTAGTGCTTCATGCCTGGTTGTCACTGTTCGGACCGCTCTCTCTAGGGCGCCAACATGCAAGTTTCCAGTGACATGGAAC